CATTGCGTTGCTGACAGATAACAGAACACATTTTCTTCTTCAACCTGCGTGCGTACGATCGTATCAACAAGACTCCTGCTCTGTTGAAACTTGAGGAGGATGCCGGTGTATCTTACCAGGATATCCAGCGTGGTATTGCCGAGACGATCATGAGTGATAGTGTCCACCCTGCAATTGGCAAGGAGGGCGACAAAGGCGAAAAGGACTACGAGACTGGGGCTGGTGAAATTGAAGAAAAGATCGAGCGGTTGCGCAAGTTCGAGCAGCGGCTCGAGGCTCGCGAGTCTGATGAAGGACTGTTTAGCAGAGACACAGTTGCCCACACCACCATGTTAAATGGGGGTAAAATGTCCGACGAGGCTTGGCAGGGTGACCCAGAAGGTGAGAAGGACAATTTTGTCCAGGAAGAGCTCTACATTCACGGTAAAGTGTGTATCGTGGATGACCGAGTTGCTATCTGTGGTAGTGCGAACATCAACGATCGAGTAAGTTTTCTCGTCTAAGTTTATACAGTGTGGAAGTGGGTGAACTAACAATCGCAGTCGCAACTCGGATTCCATGACAGCGAGCTTGCCATCGTTATGGAGGATGAAGATCTCATGGACAGCTGGATGGACGGCAAACCATACAAGGCAGGACGCCACGTTGCCACCCTTCGACGGGAGTTGTGGAGAGAACATCTGGGACTGCTTCCGGCACAGGACTACGACGCATCACGTGAACCCAACGCGCAGCCCCCAGGTGTCTGCCCCAACAAGATCCTGGAGGGTCCCGAGAACGACTTCGTCGCGGATCCCCTGGGTGAGCGACTCTGGGACATGTGGACTGATCGGGCCACTGTCAACACGGAAGTGTTCCGGCTGCTCTTCCGCGCCGATCCTGACGACAACATCCGGACGTTTGAGGACTATGATAAGTTCTCGCCTAAGGGATCGAAGCAGGGCCACCTGTTCGATCCTTTCCAGCCGGTTAAACAGGTTCGCGAGCAGCTTGACAAGATCAAGGGACATCTTGTGTGGATGCCGCTTGATTTCTTGAAGGACGCTGAAATGGCTGAGCCTGGTTTGCAGGTGAACCAGATTACTGAAGTGAGTATATTACCGCTTGTGCTTGTCGGACAAGACTAACATATAGCAGAGTATCTACACGTAAACGTAACGACCAACTTGGAATTTTGGATATGGAAAAGATCTGATGATATATTTTGTTTTGATGTTATTTACGTTATTTACGATTTTATATACCACGCACACCTCCTTTTCGGATTTACCTATTGATGTTCATCGACGATAGTTCTAAGAGGAAATGAATTAGTGTCCAATCGATCTAGGTCTATGATGAATTCAAGGAGTGACATGATCTTTCAACAAATGGCAAGATGGCCGAGCGGTCTAAGGCGTCAGGTTAAGGTTACCTTAACTCATAACTTCTCGAAGTTTCCTGATCTCCGACAGGGGGCGTGGGTTCGAATCCCACTCTTGTCAGTTCTCTTTTTTTTTTCTTCTTTTTCACTTCACCCCTCTTTTTTGGTAAACGGTTTCTATTTCTTTTTGTTACGAATGGCAGGGAATTGTGCCCTGTACATTATATGAATAATGGTGTCAAGTTCTGTCCTTTAGCTGGAGCGGTTACAATAATAACGACATTTTTGATATATATATATATATTTTTTTTTTGGCCGTGGAGGACGAGTCACAACGCATCTATTCAAATATATCTTGTTATCCCTGACCTCCCAAAACCATTCGCGAAACTCAAGGTCCATGTTTTGTCCCACGAGCCTCGAAACACGGACGCAACCAACTCCATGTGTGACGTCGCACAAGCCCAGAGTACAGACAGCAGAAATAACGTAACAGCTCAAGATAGATTAACTGATTTGATTGCTCATTAATGTCTATGCATAGTGTAGTGTAGTGTATCTCAATTTAGATCAGTCCAATGAAATGATTCCCAAAACGCCATGAAACCCCTGAAAAACAGAAAAGAAAAAGAAATAAGAATCCATCGCAGTAACACCTTGACCTTAACCGGAACCCCGAGCTTGCAATGCGATGCGATGCAACGAAATGAAACAGAACGAAACGAAACGAAACGTGATAATAAAACAACACAGCAGTCGCACGAATAAGGAATGCAGCAGATCAGTCATTATTAAAGTGGCGTTCGAATCGAGGTAGCGCGCGAGTGTAGGACAGTTTGTTGTTGTTTGTCGTTCAGTACGTGTGTGTGTATGGTAGGACGCCGATTAACACCAATGCCGTTCAGCCAGGTTATGAGATCCTGCTGTGATTCGTAAAGAGATATTAAGTGTCGAGGTTGAAGTAGTAGCGAGAAAGTAGTCCGTTCGTGAAGAATGTGAGATAGAGACGGAATGCAGGTCGAGGGCGTAGCGAGCGTGGACTAGTCTAGGGCATATCTGGGAATGAGTCAGTCATTGTTCCAACGGACGGTTGAAGGCTGCACAACATACCGAAACATGTATGTCTATGACTTGGATTGGTGGCAGCTGTGGCAGCGGACGTAGCCACAGATCTTGCAGAGCCAGACGGCCGTGAATGGACCGCCGGTGCAGTCATGGCAGTGCCAGGTGAGGATGTTGCCGTTGCTAGCCTGGGTGATGGCAAAGGAGTGACCGGAGCATTGGTTCGCCATTGTGTAGGTTTGAGTAGGTATGTGTATAGGTGTGATTGAGTGAAGCGGAGAGAGGAGGCAAGTAGATAGTAGGTAGTGTATTAGAGAAGATAGGATTGATTGAATAGAATTGAATGGTTGGGAAGATTGGAGATGTTGTGATGATGATGAGGCCTGGGAGATCCTTTCATCATATATATATACTCGAGGACACAGGTACAGGATGAGATTCCATGAACCTATACCAAAATGGACATTGTTGGACACAGCACAATCCGGAGACCGTCCCTGGTCAGTGGTACATAGACAGAAGGTCCAGACCGCCAGGGTGGGAGGTTCAGTAAAGCTGTAGAATGGGGAATAACACGATGCACATAGCCGAGAGTGTTCAAAGCGTTTGGATGGAAAGAAAATAGAGGAGGTATGGAAGATGATGGATATATCAATTGGGTTGTGGACCGTGGATTCCGAGGCGATGGACCCGATATATTTAGCAACGATTATTGGAATGCATATCACGATCTTTGGGTGCGACCACCAAAAAAGAAAGAAAGAAAAAAAAAAAAAAAAAAACTCGAGAGATCATCTTTCAAAAAGAAAAGCACATTCCAGGATCCAGCCCTGCGGTCCTCTGGGGTGTCGATCAGGATTTCAGTATTTGAGAATTCCATGATATCAGAGTGTCCAGCTATACAGTACTAGAGAGAGCGCAAATATGCCGGATGCACTGATCTTACCCTTTACAAGGTATCAGATGATTTGCATCGATCGATTTAGTGCCTGGAAGTGCTCCGCCTGGCCGGTCAAAGTACGGTACTATTCCATCGCCGAAGAGCACCGATAGTAATTCACCCCCCCCCAAAAAAAAGAAAAAAGTGCGTAATAATAAAAACAATCACTAACCAGACTCGTTATTACTCTTCAGGGACAGGGACAGGTACATAACAGGGAACCCCCGGAAACCCAGTCGACGCGTCTCCCAATGATCAGGAAACTTCAATAATCCGAGTGAACGGACCCATTAGGTACGGGTTTTATTTTATTTTATTTGTTTTTCCAGAGTTGACGCATGTTATTCTTATTTTGTTCTGTGCAGACCACACAAATCACTTGCTTTTGCCGGGATCCCTCCCTGTCTCTGTTCTCCCTCGCAGATCAATTCCGACACCATCCCGCGCGGAGGTCTGCAGGGCCCCAACAACCAGGTTCATTCGTCCTGAACTAGGCCCAACTAGAGACAAACTATTTCTTTTCTTCGCGCCAAAGGAAACACTCGTTTACGGTATACGGCATACATAGTACGCTATGTGGATGCTACCCCTCCATAGTCCCTACCCCGGTATTTCTCCAAATAATCATCATCACCATCATCGTAATAACAATAACAATAATAAAAATACAAAAACCTGACCAGATGTTCCAATCCGGCGGTAACCGGCAGATCGTCGAGTGTCAGGAAGTAAGCACATTTAATTCTTCCGAAGGGGATTATCAGAACACGGTGTACGAAGTAGGCAGGGAGTAATCTGTACTTTGAGCGGTAGCCAGGGAGTGTTCCAGGGGTTCGCTCCACCGGCGGCACACACATATATGTACGAGACCAGGATCAGGAATCAAGGACTGGGATACCCACATGAACCATCATGGATACCTCTGGGCTTGTGTGATATGGTTTGCTCGTGAGCGCTTCCAGCACAGTACAGTGTGTCTGTACAGCGTGCAGTGACTCGGAATTACCAGCTGAACTATGGAGTCAACATTTACCTGCGCATTATTATTGCTCGAACCATTCACAGTCCGGCGATCTGGGTCCCCAAACCATTGGCCAACAATGGCATCGCATTGCTCGAACTTTTGCCTGTACGATCTACCGGATGCCCTTCCCCGGTGGCTTTTGCTCAGCTAGATAACATAGTAGATTAACCCCACCGATTTCCCAACTGGGTTTTACGCCCGAATTTCCCGTGTTCCTGTACTTTGGGTCTCCCTTGACAGGTCTTCTTTCAGCGCAGTCTCATAATGTGATCTGTTGTTTTCTTTTTTCTGAGAACTAGCTTCAACCGCGCGGAAATATTCTCCATATTACGGTGTACGCCGTGGTTGGTACACCGCATTGACGGGTCGGGCGTCGCTGTTTTCTCGCTGAAAGTTCGTGATTATCCTCTTTCCGCTAACTTCATGTTTTCTTTTGCTCCAACTGCTTCCCATTCGACCGGATTACGACCCTACCAGCACTGCCACGACCGGTTAGGAGCAAGACAAACACCCCCGGTCAAATCCATGCTCCCTATTCATCCTTCATCTTAAGCATCCCGTTCGTTCGTGATACATCACATTTCACATCAAGCTTACTTGCTCGCAAGCGCCCCCCTCCCCCTGTATCGAGCCGAGTGCACCAAAAAGGAAACAAGGAAACTCGTGTTTGACGTGATGTGACATGACATGGATGACATGCAAAATGCAGAAACTGGTTCTATTGGGTCTTCGCTGCAGGTTCGAGAATCTGGGAGCGGTCCCGGCCCCCTGGCTACTGGCCGATCTGATCGATGATAGCCATAATCCTTGAAATGTAATACGGACATCGTATTTGGCTACATTATTGTGCTGAATTTAAAGCGATCGCTGCTTTGGATTGAATGTGACTGCGATTGCGACTGCAACTGGTGGTTGTGTACACGATACACGTACTCGGGAGAGGTACTTCTGCACTAGCACGGATGACAAAAAAGTACAATGTACCTATCAAGAGTGCTCTTCCCTGCTTTTTCAGCTTCAGAATGCTTGCATCATGTTTGTTGCCATCATACTTCATCCCAAGTGCTTATCCATACCATACTACGGAATCTCGAATGAAGAATACACCGCTATTCTGGTCGGTATATCTCTGTATTGCTTTTTCGCAGCTGACGCAAAACAGATATGGAGCGTCAGGTGTGTCGGGTTATCGTAGCATGATAGGTGTTTGTCTTGTAGAATACGGGGTAGCCGGTGGCGACTATAGCTGTAACTCGTTATAGCAATATACTCAGGGTTCATCCAGGGTGGAGAGCTCAGTGACTACGGGGTACGTAAGGATCGCCCTGTCTCCAATAGAGTAGACAAAGATAGATCGATTCTCGAATTAAGCGTCTCGCCTCACTCTCACCAACCCAACGACCGGACCGGACCGCAAACAAAGTAATATGCAAACCAAAACATTGGATTCATTCTAGCCCACACTACAATGTCTAGCAAAAAATACGCAATGTTCGAGATGTTCTCTGGCACCAGCCCCACCGCATAAGCCAAGCCCAATTAAGAACTCAGAAACCGGTGCCTTCGATCCTCGTTAGACACCTGCAAGCGCAAACACGCCTCATGCCAAACAAGTTGGCAATCGGACAATGAAAGCCCAGACAGGGTCTGAAAGTCTGCTCTCCCAACGCTCCGTTAAGAACACCTTGTGGAAAAACAAGATGCTCCTGCAGTACCCAGAGTGGACTGCATCGCTGGTTGTCTTTCGACATATTGCACATAAAGGTAGAAAAGAGACAGGGAAGGGAAGACGAAAAAAGGCGGTATATTGCCTGTTTGCGCGTTCTAGACTTAACCAGTCTATGTAGTAAAGTTTGGGCCATTTCGTAGATGCCCAGCCCGCCATGCAAAGGTAGACAAATGCACGATTTGCATCCCGAGAGAAAAAGAAAAGCGAGGTATCATGATAGAGATGACTTCCAGAATCCGGTTCCTGCAGAAGTCACAAGTAAAACGCCATGAAATAAATCATCAAATTTTTAGACAGTCATTTTCGAACACCGTCTTACCAATGCATCAAGCTTTGTATGAATGAAGAACAACGGAAGCCAACATATGCAAATCATTACTCATTCGTGTTGAGGTGGAAAAGTGCGGAGACACTGCATCAAGTTAGTCTTGAATGTTAGATAGCCAGAAGAAGACATACCTTTCACCGTAGTGGTGGCGTCTGATGCTCTCCGCGATAAGACTCGAGACATCGATGATAATCAATTTCTTCGACCTCTTCACAGTATCCGGAGAAATGGGGAATGTGTTTGTTACGACAAGGTAATCAATCGAGTCGCAGGCTTCCAGCTGGTCGAGAGATTCTTCCCCAAAAAGTCCATGCGTAGCAATGCAGTAGACCTTATTAGCGCCGCCACGCTTCACAACTGTCTCCGCGGCCGCGATCCACGATCCGCACTTGTCGATCATGTCATCAACAATGAAGACGGTTCTGTCGCGGACATCCCCGACCAACGTGATCGTCTTCTCGGATTCATTGTGTCTAGTACTACCCTCCTCATCGGACGACTCCGCAGCATCAAATGTGCCTCCAAGTGCGTGATCCGGTGGTAACGACGACGTAGTAGAAATGAGAGAGTTCACCATGGAGTCAGGAACAACGTCTGCATTGTGTTGATAACCGGTCAGGGCGGGGGTGGCTCCGCCTGATGCAGGCATAGAAGTAGGGGCCGTGGACGGATAATCATCGTCGACGAGTTGGCCCTGCACGAGGCGGCCTGTGATAACATCACACACACGAACATCTGTTTGCTCCTGTGTAGCTTCCAATTCAGAAGGACGACGAGCCGCAGGTGGTGTGCCCGGTCTTAGATGGCTGTCCGGCATAGACTGCGAGTCGACATCGTCGTTCGTCTCGCTAAGAGCCTCTTCTGGCGAGTCATTGGCAGATTGAAGCTGGAGACCGAACGGCTGGTTATCTTTCGGAGTGCGAACCGCTTCAGGTTCGGCAGCATCGAAGAAAAGCGTACTGTCTGCCATACTAGCAGACACCTTAGGACGTCGCCTGTCCGTTGTGACAATGCCAAAGTTCAGCTTAAGCGTGTCTGCTAGCGACGTAACACGTTTCGTGCCTCCGGCATTCTTGCTAACGACGACGGCTTCTCTCCAGTTGGGCACGTTCATCCGGATCCAGCGGGCAATAAAGGGCTCAGCAAACAAGTTATCCACAGGCTTGCCGAAGAATCCTTGCATTTGCGATGCCTGTGGTATTCGAACGAGTCTTAGTCCCACTCCAATAAGATTCGTTCGTCGCCAAATATAGAATGGAAGAAGCTCACATGCAAATCTAATGTGACAACATGGTCGACACCAGCTACTGAGAGAAGATTCGCAAGCATTCGAGCCGTGATAGCGCCACGATGGCTCTTCTTCTTGGATTGGCGAGAATATGGGAAGTACCTCATCTGGGTCAGCATCATTTGTGCATTAGTCAAACGAGATAGGCATCATACGGCATAACCGCTGTAAAAGAAAGGTTTCATCAGCTACCGCATACCAATTGAATCAGTAGTGGAAAAACCGTACCTGTGATGGATCTTGCAGAGCCACCTTTGCAAGCAGAGATCATGATCAGTAGCTCCATAACACTATCATTGATCTTGCTGCTGCCGCTCTGCACAATATAGACATCTTGGTTTCGTACTGAGACGTTGATGTTCACTCTGGTTTCCCCATTGCTGAATTTCCCTAGATCTGCCCGGGCAGGGACAGCTCCTAGACGCTCACAGATTGTCTCAGCCAGAGCCGGATGCGAAGTCCCGGTAAAAATCTGTACTCCTCTCATGATTGTAATTGTGCAAAGACAGAGAAAGTCATAGATAGTGTGATTATAAATAGGTTGAATAGGAAGAGAGCAAAAGTTTTGTGAGGTCACGAGGGGAAAGGGAAAAGAGTTGAAGCTAAAAAGAAAAAAACCGGAGAAAAAAAGTGTGTCGTCTTCGGTAGTTCTCGGTTCCCGTACCGATTCTTCCCCGCCGATGATAAAATAATGCCCCGCGATAGGACCAGTCAGTGGTACACCGATTGATTGCCTGTCACCATGTCGCATAAGTATCCTCCAGTCCAAGGGGGTGGCTCTCTGATAATTGCTTGGCAGGCTAGGGATAAGAATATCGTTGTTGTTGGGGGTGGTGAGGTATAACTGTCGTCCTTCATCCTTATCTCCGCGCCAGAAATATATATATCGATGATGCAGTAACTAACCACGTGCCTGGCATAGGTAGCTGCCGGACGCATCCTCCACGCCCTTAATGCCGATGCCAAAGTAACCGTGATCTGCCCAACATCAGGTCTAAACGATGAAGTAGCCTTTCGAGTCTCCGAGGGGCAGGTTTCCCATAAAGATAAGCATTTTGAGCCGGCGGATTTAGACGAAGCGGACATGGTACTCTGCGCCATTGACGACCCAGAGGCATCATCTCGTGTGTGGAGGCTATGTAAGGAGAAGCGCATTCCTGCGAACATTGCAGATGTGCCTCCAGAATGTGATTTCTACTTTGGCAGCGTCCATCGGGATGGTCCATTACAGGTGATGGTCAGTACCAATGGGAATGGGCCTAGACTGGCTAGAATTGTTCGGAAAAAGGTTGCGGACGCTATCCCGGACAACATGGGAACTGCAATAGATAATGTGGGCAAATTACGGAAGAAGCTGAGGGAGATTTCTCCCACCGCCGAAGAAGGCCCGAAAAGAATGAAGTGGTATGTCAATGGCAAAGCTTCTCTCTACCGACAACGAACATCGAAGCTGACAAGAAGGTGCAAAAGGATGTCTGGTGTTTGTGAATCCTGGAGCTTAGAGGAATTAGTGCAGATGGGTGAGCAGGATATGGATGGCCTTCTTTCCCACTACGCATCTGGGGAGATTCCAGGCTTTCAACAGATCCGAGCTGGCAACGCTTAACATGAATAATAGATAATAAATGCACACCCGGACATATCATACACCGCAGATAGCTAAAAGCACTTCGATTGTTAAGAAGAAATGTGTGAAAATGCTAATGATAACTTTACATTGGCCCACTAGCCTAGAATGAAATCTAAGAAGAATCGCACAAGGATATCCAAAACACAAGCCAGGCAAATAAAACATATTAATCTTCACAAAAAATAAAGACGACGCTCAGAATCTCAAGACACGCCACTATATCTACGGCTGTATTGCTGCGAAATAGAACTTCTTGGACTGATGGATGCTTGCGAAGGGGGCTTTGAAGGTGCTAAACCCAGCTTCACTTCTCCTACCCGGCGAAGTAAGGACCGGAGGGCAACGCGAATCTCGGGACTGAGATCACGGCCGAGCAGATCGAGGGCCAAGGGGTAGAATGTGTCAACGTGCTTATCGAAGCCTTCCGAAGGGAAGTTTGTGTAGCTCTCGAGGACGTCAACGACAACAGGGCGCCAGGCGACGATGTTACGGTGTTGCGATTCGTCGTCAAGGCGGACGAAGCTTCGGATAATGTCTGCGCAAAGTCTGTAGCAGGTTAGCAATTTGTTCTTAGATCGGTTTAATCAAGCGATATACTTACGGGATAAGCGCGGCCTCAGTCTCATCACGGCTGCTCTTACGTTCCTCCCTCTCATCATTGTACATGCGGTAGAGTATCTGGACGTAAGTCGCTGCACTTCCACTTTCTTGCTTGAGCAGGTTTGGCGGCTGCTTCATGAAGCCTTGACGCCAGAGCTGCATTCGGAGTTCCTTATCCTCATTGAACTTCTTGGCGAATTGATAGCTCTTCTTCAGAAGTCCCATTAATCGCAGGAGCTCATGGCTTGGAATCTTCTCGTAAACCTTATCGTTGGAGAAAAGCTCATGAACAGTCTCAATCATAAGTAATTGCAGAACGCAGTTCGTGATTATGCGGTTGAAGAAGCGACGCCGGGCCACAGTCACCGCAGTTGGCTGCTGCTGCATCTCCATCGTTTGGGGACGATAATCTTCTAACTCAGGGTTGGCTGGTGCTGGCACGTCACCTTCTTCATGCTCAGATGACTCATTCCGCAATCCGTTTGTCTGGGGGAATTCAGCGTTAGTCTCCTCAATCGGTGTTGCGTCGGTAGACTCCGGTACAGTTTCCCCGTTGGACGGCTTCCGCGCTTTGGAAGGCATGGAAACAGCTGCCGTAAACAGTTCATAGGCGGTGGTCTTGCTGAAGAGATCGACAAAAGCGCCAACCACCTTGGTCCAATGGTCTTGCTGAAACTTGGCAACATTTTGCAAAATCAATTGTTGTAAGCAGTTACTACCAATTCGTGCAATAGTATCGTTCTCTTGGCAGATACACAGCGTGAGAAGTTCAAGCACACCCCCAAGCATGTATTCCAGTTTATCGAAGTAATGCGTGAAAAGGGTGATCATGTTTCTCAGCGCCTGGATCATGGTAGTCGAGAGCCACACTGATAGGTCCTCGTGGTTCGGAACCTTGGACATTTCCGACTTCGATTGGAGAACGACAAAGATAGGGTAGAGGAGTTGTCTCCAGAGAACATCCCAGAACTCTCGAGGGAAGTCACCACCATATCGGATGAGTGTATCGAAGAGGTACGTAAGTGCCCGCGATCGCACCTCAAGGTCATCACCAGTCATGAGCACGTCCTGGAACGCAATCAAGAGGGGATACCAGAATTGTTCCTCCGGAGACTGGCGATTGAGTTGTTTCGCTAGGTTTGAGTTGGTATCCTCGAGCACATTCTCCGATGGCATGCCACGGTGAGAAAGAGGACACTCAGGAGTCCTCATCATCTTGCCCACAGTTGCCTTGAGTGTCTCGATAGCTTGCAGCGACTTTTTCTGAAACCTTATGTTCTTCGAGAACTCCGTAAGGCAGACAACAAGGTCAGGGAACGCCCCTTGGGTTATGACCACACCGAATCGTGTGTTGTAGATCTGAGCTACATGGTCCATAGCCATATTGACAATACCCTCATAAGGCTCTCGAGCGGCGACTGTGAACACACCAAACATGGTCTTCCAGCCAGAGCGGATATTGTGGCCCCGAGCTTGGACCATCTGTATGAGACACCGGAGAATCATGTCCTTGACAGTAGCAGTACTGCTATTTGCCATGACGTGCTCGAACGGCTTAAGGAAGTCCTTCTGGAATTTGAATCCCGGAAGTTCCTCGATTTCCATAAACCGCATCGAGAGTTGCCGGAGCGAGTCAAGCGCGAAGAAAACAACAGTCGTGTTTGAGTGGCACCCGACATGGTTGAAATGCTGTCCAAGTACTTCCCAAATCTTCGACCATTCTATCCTGACTCGCGTCATATTGTAGTAACTGATTTCGACCAGCTTCTGCAGACTGTATGTTCTGGGAGATTCGCTGTTTCCGGAAGATTGGATTTCCTGCCAACTCACTTCGCTTAAAGCGCGGATGAAATCAATGATAGCCTCGTGGGAAAGGTTTGCCGTGTTGGTGAAGATACGGTCTACGCCCCGGATCATCTCAGCTGACCGACTTTCCATTGCAACCTCTGCGCGGAACCCAGCAGGAGGACCGTTGATGGATCGAGGGCGAGGACGTTTGCCTTGGAATGAACTGCGTGAAGGATCAGGGGGTGCTTGAGGCATGATCCGAGCTCTCGAAACATCGGGCAGTGAGCCTTCATCGACACCATCGGTCAAAAGCTGGAGGCGATCAAGTTGGCTAACGCAGGTAAGAATTTCTCTCCAAGAGCCCTTTAGGGAGTTGCCCTCGGTAAGAGCCACTTCCAGCAGGACCTTCAGAGCTTCAACGTTTTTAGCCGTCATTTCCCTGATGTTCCCCAGGTTCGTGAACTTCGCGAGACCGGTGACAAAGGCTACTCTTGGGGTCTCCAAATCGAATGCACAGCTAATGCGTATCGCCAACTTCATGCCCTCCATGCAGAGCTTGAGGACCTCAAGATTCTCCGTATCCCGCATGGGAGCAGTCAGGCCAGAAAGGAAAGACATCCAGGTAACATTGAACATGGAACCGACATGGCGGACAGATGTGGCCGGAATAAATCGCGAGAGCGCTTCTCTAACAGCTGTTTTCCGCTGAGCACGGATCAAGCTTCGATAGAGCTGCTCAGTCTTACTGGCCATCTCCTCGGAAGCTTGGGCATATTTTTCACCTTGGATGTCCCTTCCAACAGTTGCGAGGACTTGTCCGGCTCTGGACGCCAAACCAGTAGGAGCAGAAGTCTCAATACCGAGATTGGCAGCGTGCTCTCTTTCGGTGACAAGCACAATTTCGTTACTGGAGATCTCATCATAAATGGTGCCAAGATATTCGGGAGGCAAGTCTTGGCTATCGTTGATGCCCCTGTTGTTCCTAATAAAGTCTTCCTTCGTCATACGCGGCCCCTTCATCTTGGAACTGTGCTGGTCTGTGTTCAACATGATGACAGAGTACGCAAGCACATATGCCGTATCGGCATTCGCAAACGCGTTCGGATTCTGGGTAACGTAGCGTTCTGCAAACTTGAGCATGAAACGGTCGATCTTCTGTGCTTCACCTGGCAACCGGAAGTGCTGCAAAAATTGGCGCAGGGCGTCCACAAAACGTCGCTTCTCGAATTCCATCATATCGACAAACGCATGCATAATGGCGATATTCTCAGCGTCACCTTCACCGAGATATTCACCTAGTATAGATTTGTCCAAGCGTTCATTTCCGAAGAAAAAACTGGCTATATCTTCGGGGGTTTCAGAACGTATAAAACCGTCTTTCAGCAGTAGCTTCATTCCACGTTTGGGCTTGAAGTTAAACTGTTGGACCGCATTCGTGAGCGCAATCTTTCTTTGCTTGACCCTTTCAATCTCGCTCGGGTCATCCTCTGCAACCGGCGTGGATCGACCAGTGTCACCATCCGTTACATCAATCCTGGGCGAGGAAAGATAGGTCCCCGCATTTGTGTCAATGGACTCCCTGGGGTTGTCCATCGACTTATGAGACACTACGTTTGAAGCACCGGTTTGCTCAACGATACGCTGTGCCGCCCAATTGTCCAGTGATTGCAAGATTTCCACCAGACTTTCGATGGCTTGATTTTTCAATACGTATTCTGGAGGGACATTTTGGAGATTAGGCTGTGGGGTAGTGGCAACGGCAACCGTTGTAAGCGATGGGGAGAGCGCGCCTCGTTGGTGCCAATCGGCCCCAAAACTGGAGAGCTTGGCATTATTCTCCTGATACTGTTGTTGTTGGGCGGCTGTTACAGTCACTGGGACACTTGCGTATCGTTGGAGTTGTTCAATAACACTGGACATATGTTAGCAAAAGTAGACCCTCGCACAGAACGCAATGCATACTTCTGGAATATATTCTCCAAAGCTGTCCGATCGCAGTCGTAATTGAGATATATTTCCACCAACGCTCGAGGCTCGCCTGCCAGTCTTTCGAGAATCTCCATGAAATACTGCTTTTGGAAGGCAGGCGAGTTCCGCTTCTCGAGTATAGCCAGGTAGATTTCCTTCAAGAACACCTCAAGCTCTTTCTGTTGCAAGTTAGGAACGATCATACATATGGAACAGCATGCGACAGACCTTCATCATAACTCTCATATGTTTGAGCATGAGCCAAAAGATTTCAGAGCAGACCTGGAACACTCTGAGTACAGAGCTTGAGCCATTCCGACTCAGACTCAAGCAGAGATGCGGCCGCACCGCCTGTAAAAGAGTCATGGCCTCCCCATTGCTGGTGCCACTTTTGATTGTAACAAGGGGAGAGGTGAACACTGGGACTTGATTATGGATCAGGTAGTGGATGAGGTGCAAGGACAACAGCTTTGTTCTCATATTTTGGGATTTCAGATCTTGCTGCTGATCATGGGTAAGGACCTTGTGGCTCAATTTGCAAAGTGCCCTGAGAACCAGGAAAGCATCCTTGACGTAAATCTCGTCTTCTTCATCTTCTGTGGTACCATCTGCATAGTCTCGCTCATCCTCGGGGATACCCGAAATAGACCGCGACGCCCTCTGACGGTTTATCCTGGCACGAGTGACCATGGTCGGAGCATTTTCATTAACAGACGCAACATCCTTGCTCGATTCGAAACTCTGTAAAGTGAGCTTCTCTGCCGGTTCTTTAGTAACCGGCTGGTCAATTGTAACAGCAGAAGCAGTCTCCGAGGCCTGATCCGGCTCATTAGCCGGAGATGTTTCGGACACATCTATGGTAATAGAGTCCGAAGCGCCGCCTTGCGATTTGTCGCCATCTCGCATTCTTAGTTCCTTCAGGTCAAGCCTCACACGCACCCTGTCGAAAACCGTGCTAACCATTTGTGTGAGGGATCCCTGGGCGATTTGCTGGTTCGGGGTTGACTTGGAGTATATGAAAATATTATAAATCTGACGCACAGCCTTTAGGAGACCTGCTCCATGTACCACGATCTTGTCGTTGAGGACTGCCGCCAAAAGAGACTTAATGATTTGCTGCTGAATCTCGACCGGTGTCGCTTCATTTTCAAAGCATTCACAAATAGCATCGATGGCGCGCTCGATAAGCGGCGGCTGCTCCGAGCCAGCTTCACCTTGCGGAGTCTCGCTGTCCTTAGCCGAGGGAAAGGCGAAGTAGGAATAGGTGATCAGTTTTCCTATGCAATCCAGTGCCGTGACTTGTAGAGGTATGCTGAGCGACTTGGTGGCAAGATGTAGTGGGCGAAAGATAACCTCTGGGTCAATTGGTTGGCGATCCGATTGTTTGACGTTGGTAAGCGCATCCTTCACAGTATCCTCCAGCTGCTTGCTTTTTCGAGCCTCCTTCGAATTACTGATCGTGTCCAAGGCCGTTATGATGAACACAGTTGAACTGACAGTCCCGGATCGCTGCGTCGGAAATGTCGCTGTTGTTGACCTGGAATCTGAGCGCAATCGACTTTCCGGAGCAGGCTCATCTTGCGGAGGCATGGTTACGGGGTCTTGTTTCTCGCTGGGCGATTCCTTCTCGACACTGACTGACGACTCGGGTGCTGGACTGTTGTCGCCGGCATCTTTTGATTCGGACTCAGGCTCTGGATTATTCTCGGGTACGGGTGTCTCAACGGCGTTCGTAGGACTTGAAGCTTGCTCTGGCTCGACGGACTCGGGTTGTGTTTGCGATGAATCTGGCTCTTCGGAGGCAGCAACCTCAATTGTTTGTCGTTCTGATTCTTCGGGGTTTTCGGGTCTCTCTTCTTCCGTTGGCTGTGAGGTTTCAAGTTGTGCTGGTGCATCCACGCCGGTCTCATCGTTTTCTGCCTGCGACTGAGCCGGGGATGATTGATTCGGCTCATTTACAGAGCCATTTGCGACTTCCGCCATTTATGCAAGACTCCAACTGGAGTGCGTGAAGGTACACAAATGACGGGTCCACATCGAACAGGGGGGAAAAGAAAAGGGAGGGGGAGATGGTGCAAGGAAAGCGGCGGGTTGGTCTCACTGTACAGTTCCTGGGGTTGTGCCTTACTAGCGGGCCGATAGGATGCGTGTCTACATTTCTACGGCGCGCGGTAAGTGCCGAAAATGACGTGCTTACATAACCCGTCTCCGGCGGCTCGGCAGGATGATTCCGGATCGCTCACCGGAAAGCTCAACAGAAAAGTTCCTGGACGTTGTAGTCCCCCAACTCTCTGATATATCAGGATAACCAAGTCTTTCTCTAGCCCGCACAATCTGTTAGGCTCACTGCCAGCCCCTTTCGCTTCTTTTTTTTGATTTCGCTTGAGCTGCGGGGCTACGATTGATATAGATACCCCATCTTGGCGCTATGGTTGCCTCTGCTGTCCGAATGCGCCCCGGCGCCATGTTCATGTCCAAGGGCGCCGCTTGCCTGAAGAGGCCTCAGGTTGTCCACAGGTTTAAAGATGCTGCTCAGTATGTTGCACCCCCACCCCTTCCCCAATACTCGGGGTACCTATATTGATGGAGGTTAACCTATTATATCATTGTTTAGAACTCAATTGCCCGCCTTGTCTGCCCTCTCCCGCTTCTATGCCTCCAAGTGTATGTCACTGAGAACTTTTTTCTCCGACTTACCCCGACTCTATATCTACAGCTTATTCGTCTGAAGATGGTTCAATTCTGACATGACGGAACTACAGCCTTCCCCTCCCACACCATCATCAGCATGCCGGCCTTGTCGCCGACCATGTCTGCTGGAAACATCGGAGCATGGCAGAAGAAGGCCGGTGATGGTCTGCAACCCGGTGACGTCCTTGTGGAAATCGAAACCGATAAGGCTCAGATGGACTTTGAGTTCCAAGAGGAGGGTGTCCTTGCCAAGATCCTGAAGGACCAAGGTGAGAAGGACGTCGCCGTCGGCTCTGTATGTGCTCTATATGACGTATCTCGTTAGGATAGTAAACAGATTTGCTAATTTCTCGATACAGCCCATCGCTGTCCTTGCGGAAGAGGGTGCCGACGTTTCTGCTTTCGAGTCGTTCAGCTTGGAGGATGCCGGTGGTGACAAGGGCGGCGCCCCCGCCGAAGAGAAGAAGGAGCCCGAGTCTAAGGGCGCCGAGGCCCCAGCACCCGCTGAGCCCGAGCCCGTTGCTCAGGAGCCTGACACCACTGGTGAGAAGCTTCAGCCCAGTCTCGACCGTGAGCCTTTGATCAGCCCCGCTGCCAAGGCTCTGGCATTGGAGAAGGGTGTGTCCATCAAGGGTCTCAAAGGAACCGGACGTGGTGGTCAGATCACCAAGGAGGATGTCGAGAAATTCAAGCCCAGCGCACCCGCTGCCGCTGCTGGCGCTAGCTACGAAGACATTCCTCTTACCTCGATGCGCAAGACCATTGCCAACCGCCTTCAGCAGTCCACCCGTGAGAACCCTCACTACTTCGTTTCGACTACTCTGTCTGTGAGCAAGCTCATGAAACTCCGCCAGGCCCTCAACGCCTCTTCCGAGGGCAAGTTCAAGCTCTCGGTCAATGACTTCCTTGTCAAGGCCTGTGCTGTCGCTCTCCTCAAGGTTCCCGCTGTCAACTCCAGCTGGCGCGAGGAGAACGGACAAGTTGTCATCCGTCAGCACAACAATGCCGACATCAGCGTTGCCGTTGCCACCCCCGCTGGCCTTATTACTCCTGTCGTGAAGAACGTTCAGGCCCTTGGTCTGTCCAGCATCTCCAACCAGGTCAAGGACCTTGGTAAGCGTGCTCGTGACAACAAGCTGAAGCCCGAGGAGTATCAGGGTGGTACTTTCACCATCAGCAACATGGGAATGAACGCCGCCATTGAGCGGTTTACTGCCGTCATCAACCCCCCTCAGGCCGGTATCCTGGCCGTGGGTACTACCCGTAAGGTCGCTGTCCCCGTCGAGACTGAGGAGGGTACCTCTGTCGAGTGGGATGACCAGATCATCGTTACTGGCAGCTTCGACCACAAGGTCGTTGACGGCGCTGTCGGTGGCGAGTGGATCAAGGAGTTGAAGAAGGTTGTTGAGAACCCCTTGGAACTCCTCCTCTAAGGGTGATGTGATGATGGACAGTCCTGGCGTACTTAGTAGATCTATGTATGATTGGGATTTCATTTTGAGTTATTTGTGTCTTTATATGTATTAAAAATCTGTTTCTTTTTGCGTCTTCATCTTGCAGACCGTAATGGGCCTGATTTCATGAGTTTTATTTTGAGCAGCTTCAATACAATTTCCTTTGTCTTTTCACCATCCTAGTATCTGAATAACATTGAATGGAAAAGGTTTCCTGGTTTAGATTGAACCTTGGCATCCACCCGGCACGTGCCGACTCCACCACCACACGATATCGATGACGTTATTGTCACTGCAAGGTTCCAGCGGTTGCTGCTTGCTTTAAATACCCTCGCCAGCCACTGTCGTTCTTTTCTCCCTCCCTCTTGTCCTTTAGAGATATTTACCCTGATCTTCCACACACATCCTTCCCCAATTATCTGGTAAGTCCACTCATGCTGAGTTGCCCCTCATGACACCATACACCATACACCATACACCATGCCTCAATGGCCATGTTGCCTCCGGGAATATGCAATTGACAATTCTGGAGAACTACTTGACTAATTGCTGGTATATTCCCAGACCTTAATCTACTCTAAAATTCTCAAAAAATTGTTCAGACTTGTTCGATACAATAACACACCATGTCTTACGCCGACGCCGCAGCAAGAGGAGCTAAGCAATCCCCGGAAGATGTGAGTATTCTCCACTTAACTGTCCCTTTCTTGTTGTTCTGTTCGTAATGTTCCACACTACTGATGACAAACGCTAACCACTGTTCTCATTTCTTAGGCGTGAGTTAACCTGTTGCAACAAGTCGTATGACTCGCTTGTGCAATGACGTAACTAACAAAACACAAAAATAGACGCGCTCCTAGAGTCGAAGCAATCTATAGAGACGAATCGGAGAATCCCGCAACTTTGGTCGACGTCGATTCCCCACACGTGTCATCCGTTGATCCGGACTTCCTAAAGCAAAACGTCAAAACCAGCACCCAGGCCGAGCGGCTGCAACGCGAGCAGGAGCAGCAGACCATCGAAGGCCAGAACAAGGCCCGGAAGGCCCGCGCGAAAGCAAAGGCTGAGAAATCCAGTTTGAGCGCGAACAAGGACAACCCGGTCTTTGTGGGTAATGCTGTATTGCTCGGCTTGGCCGGTGCTGGACTGGGGTACGGCGCTTACCAGAAGCATCTGAGCGGCAAGTTGTCTTGGGAGCTTGTTGGTCTCTGGTCTGGTGCTGTTGGTGCCTTTAGTGTAGCGGACTACTTTGTGAGCAAGTAAGTTTATTTTGGATATTAGCGTTGGGTTGCAAAAGACCTTGGGCTGACAGATGCTTTTACAGATGGCTCATCCAGAACAAATACCCCAAGAAATAAATGTAGGATACCAAAAGCAATTGGGATTTTGTTCGGTTAGAAGGCGTCTTTGGCCCGACGGCGGATTTCCTTATATACCATCCCCGCTCAATGATTGAATGATGTTATGTTATTCCTTCAAGCTAGAATGATATACTGTCATAATCTAGTACTAATTTGTAACCGATATTATCGCCCTCAATTCCGGGAAACTGTAGTACCAGTCTACGCGTGTATATGTCGAGCACACCCTGCGTAATGAGCAATATAAGTTGGCACCAGCACAAAGCAAGGCCATGCAGGAGCCAAAGCATTAGCAATCTGCAGGTCATATCAGTTAGACTAACATAGCGTAGAAGGAGGGGAAACAGCCTCAGATGAAGCCTCAGCCCAAGGCGGTGAGGGCCGTCAGAATCGCAAGAACATGTGGCCTCGGGGGCGTTGCCAATGACCACGTTGCTTGAGCCAACATCTACCGGCTCATGGATTTGGAATACTTCAATCCTTGACTATCCGGCGACATTTTATAACAGCTTACGAACCGGTATCCTCCTTGAAGAGCGCGTAGTCGCTTCGTTAGGCTGCGGGATCAACCATACACACTGAGCAGGAGAGCAAAACAAACAACATGGTGTGTACTGCATACCGAGTAGAGTCGATTATGGTGATATCTAATGACTTCTATCGCATAGAATTCGCTTTTCAATTCTGCACTTAAGCAATCGTCTGCGATCCGGCGGGATTTGGAGACTTTTTCGGAGTCGCCCGCGACGTCATCTGCAGCACTACAAGGTAAGTCGCTTTCGGATTAATACACATGTCTGCTTCGGAAGAAAAGACTGATGGTTGTCTATGTAGGCCAGATCGCAGCTTCGTTAGCATCGCTATCGCGGACGGTGGACGACTACTCGGCACTATCCAAGAAGGAATTAATCCCCGCAAAACAAGAAAAGGCGTTTGAACGGGTCAAGAACTTTCGAACAGAGCTTGGGGACTACAGACAGCAATTTGACAGCCTCCGTAAGGCGCGAGAAGATGCCGTAAGTTTCTCTCGTATTATATTGCGACTGTCGCTGACAACTACAGCAATCCATGTCGAACCGCAACGAGCTCCTTGGCCGTCGGCCGCACCATGCCGCGACCCCGGAAAACCCCTACGCACAATCCGCCCTCCCGCAACCATCGCCCTTCGCCCCTTCGACTACGGCGCGATCTGGACTGAGCTTTGGCGCATCGCCAGCCGACTATAACCGAGAAACGCACGCGTTGCGCGAACAGTCATTCCTGAGCAACACCAGTAACCAGCTGGATGAATTTCTCGACCGGGGGCGCGCGGTTCTTGCGGATCTGGGACAACAGCGGGAAGTTCTCAAGGGTACGCAGCGGCGACTGTATAGTGTTGCCAACACGCTCGGAGTCAGCGGGGATACGATTCGAATGGTGGAGCGACGGGCTAAGCAGGATAAGTGGATTTTCTGGATTGGGGTGTTGGTATTTTTCTTGTTCTGCTGGGCGGTACTGCACTTTTTGCGATGAGAATTGTCTCTTGTTTATTACATTCTTCTTCTGTATTTTTGCTTTGGTTTCTCAAGCGCCGGAGTTTGGATGGGTTGGCATGCGGTTTTCTGTTTACTCTAGGTTCTTGTATATCCTGAATGCAAAGCATTTGAATCGCGCGACTTAAGTACAGTTTCAGATATAGTACTCACATTAGCATCGGCAGACCGAAAGATTATCAGATATGATCGATTAAGCTTTGACATAGTGTAGAGTCCGTGTGTTTTCTGTATGCCATCACAGGATCCGATGATCCATTTCTCCGACCTAGCCGAGTTTCCACATGGATGGCCCTTGGGGGTTCCGAGATCTGCCATTGTTCCATGTTTCTCAGGGGCTTCGTTGTATGAAATGCTTCCTGTGCAATTGTAGCTGTGTTGTTGTTGCAATTCTGTTGCGCCGAGGTTGTTGCTATCCACCATAATAGAGAGCGAACACAAGTGCTCTATTGTACAAGTACCTATCTCTACAACCCCATGAATATGAACATGAATAGGAGTATTAAATTAATGGCAATTGAATAATAGTAGAATGAATAATAACACCATCCATCCACCCGACGTATACTCCGTACTGTTGTGGTGATATTGCGGCATCGGAACCGACAGCCGTTTTGCCCAAAACGATTAGTGGGCACTCACCGGGCAACCCGCTTTCTTCCTTTTTCCCTCGTGTCGCTCTCTTCCTCTTTTCTTCTTCTTCTTCCCCTCCACTCCAATCTATCAATCCTTTTATTTTCGCTCTACACTCTCCTATACCCTATATCCTCTTCACAATGTTCGCCGCTCGCCAGTCCCTCAACCTCTTCCAGAAGCGGGCTTTCTCTGCTTCCGCCAGCCAGGTGCGTTTTCTCAGCTCAGCACATCCTCAAGAAAAGAGCTACCTCCAAAGAGCTATCCAGCATGCTAACATCTATAACTACATAGGCCTCCAAGGTCGCCGTTCTCGGTGCTGGTGGTGGCATTGGCCAGCCCCTCTCTCTCCTCTTGAAGCTCAACCCCCGTGTCTCCGAGCTCTCCCTCTATGACATCCGCGGTGCCCCTGGTGTCGCTGCTGACCTCGGTCACATCAACACCAACAGCACTGTCACCGGCTACGACCCCTCCTCGAACTCTGGCCTCAGCGATGCCCTCAAGAACTCTGAGATCGTCCTCATCCCTGCTGGTGTTCCCCGTAAGCCCGGCATGACCCGTGACGGTACGTTCCACTAAAGCCAGAGATTTTAGATTGAAACAAACTGACTAGTAAAGACCTCTTCAACACCAACGCTTCTATCGTCCGTGACCTCGCCAAGGCTGCTGCTGACGCCGCCCCCAACGCCAATGTCCTGGTCATCTCCAACCCTGTACGTACATTTCCTGTTTGAATGCTGGCAGTGTCTAATTGAACAGGTTAACTCTACCGTCCCCATCGTCTCTGAGGTCTACAAGTCCAAGGGTGTCTACAACCCCCAGCGTCTTTTCGGTGTCACCACCCTCGACGTTGTCCGTGCTTCTCGCTTCATCTCCCAGCTCAAGGGCACCGACCCCGCCAACGAGAAGGTCCCCGTTGTCGGTGGTCACTCTGGTGTCACCATCGTCCCCCTCCTCTCCCAGTCCAACCACGCCGACATCGAAGGTACCCCCCGCGATGAGCTCGTGAACCGCATCCAGTTCGGTGGTGACGAGGTCGTCAAGGCCAAGGACGGTGCCGGTTCCGCTACTCTCTCCATGGCTTTCGCCGGTGCCCGCTTCGCCGAGTCCCTCCTCCGGGCCGCCCAGGGCGAGAAGGGTGTCGTCGAACCCACTTTCGTTGAGTCCCCTCTCTACAAGGACCAGGGTGTCGACTTCTTCGCCTCCAAGGTCGAGCTCGGCCCCAACGGTGCTGAGAAGATCCACCCCGTCGGCAACGTCACCGCCTACGAGCAGAGCCTCCTTGAGGCCTGCCTTGGTGACCTTAAGAAGAACATCCAGAAGGGTATTGACTTCGTCAAGGCCAACCCTTAAACGGTTTGTATAACTACGGTTACACATGGTATTTCCTATAAAATCAAAATTTTAATGATGTCTGTATGATCAATCTTTTTATTCTCAAGGCATTGCTTTCGTAAATTGTAACTAAAATTGGCTACGTAGGCCAAGAATCAAACAAATAGTCAAGCGTAAGACATCGAATAGATAAGACCAGATGAGACTTCAACCAAATCATGCCAAGGAGAAATATGAAATAGATAGACTCTTAAGTATAACTCCTCATAGCATCTAAATATCCCGGTCCACCACGAAGATCCCGATCAAACGTCTCGGCAACTTCAAGAACACGCTTGATATGGTCCATGGATAGCGGCGATTTCTCGTTAACGGCTAGGGCCTGCGCAGTGCGGACGGAGTTTTTGATCTGTCTCGTTAACATCGAACATAAAACAATGAGAAAGGTTGGTGAAGGGAAGAAGGGAAGGTTACCTGTCGACCATTCATGTTATGACGCGCAAGCGCATCGAGATCCTTATCCGTGAAGTCGGCCGTCTGCACACCCTCCACAGCCTGCACCTTACCTAGGAACAACTTCCACACACTACGCTTAGCCTTGGATGTGAGATCGCCATACCGCAACGCAATGTGGATACGAGACTGGAACGCATCGTCGAAAGTTTCCACCCGGTTCGTCGTGAGGAACAAAATGCCCTGGAAATATTCCAACAGACGCAGAAAGACGCTAACAAGCGCGTTGCGGTGGATATCGTGCAGGCCGCGCTTTTCGAGAAAGATATCTGCTTCGTCGAGGAGGAGGACTGCGCCCCATGTATGTGCGACGTCGAGGATGTTGTTTAGTTCTTTTTCGAGGGTGCGGGAGTTCATGCCGAGTTCGCCCATACTAACAGTGTACAAGGGGCGTTTGAGCAGTTCCGCGATGCCTTCTGCTGTTAGGGTTTTGCCTGTTCCCGGGGGACCGTGGAGGACGGCGACGAGGCCGCGGCCTTTACCCTGGATGACGTCGTCGATGTTCTGAGCTTCATTGTAGGTGTGAGATTCGACGAGGGCTTTTACGATGGTTTTCTGGTTATCGGGCAGGACGAGGGAGTCAAAGGCGTGCTGGTTCCAGTCTATTTCACGGATTCCGGAGACGGAGAACTCGAGCCACATTTTCTCGTTGAAGGCGAAGCCGCGCACGACTGGACTGGCGATGGTGAGTTCTTCATTGGTGAATTCGCGCTCGGAGATGCCGTCCATTGTCTCGTCTTGGATCTCGTTGCCGTATTTGTCGACTTTGACGCGAACGCTGTGTTGCTTGCCGTTCGGGTCTTGGACGGTTCGGTGCTCGTAGACGGTTATGTTGCTTGGCAGCGCATCTTCGTCTTCGTCGTCTGCGTCGGCTATGTTTGCGTCGGCGTTGCCGTCGTCTTGGTTCCGGCGGATACGGTCGACTGGGTAGTTAGGGTTGATGCGGGTGTGGGTGGTTGGGTCGACCATGACACGGCCGTTGACGTTAATTTTGGCGACGCCTTGCTCCTTCCTGCAGAAGGCCATGCCCTGGTGGAACTTGTAATTCTGGCCCTTTAGCGACGCGAACTTTCTACCGCGTTCGATTAGTTTGGTCCGTAAGTCGTCCGCTTCGCGGTGGTGGTATAGCGGGTAGCACTCTAGGCTGGTAATTTTGCGAGAGCCCTTGAAAGCGTTTATGGCTTCTGCTATGCTGACCATGCCGAAGCGTTTGCCGTCGTAGCTTAGATAATGGCCCTTGATTCTGTATGACTCGCCATCGATGAAATGGGTGTATTTCGTGACTGACTCTACCTTGAAAGCGCGAGGCTCGTCTTCGTTGCCGTATGTTGATGCGTACGCAATGGTGTTTGGTTTGAACAAGGCCCACATAAGATCGAAGGTGATTGTGTTGGAGCTCAACATCGCATTCAAGGCCTTCTTGGTCTCTGCGTAGTCGGTATCGAGGTATTTGACGAGAACCTTGAGATGAGCGGCTTTGGTGGCAGCGCTCTTGCGCATTTTGCTCTTCTTCTTGGTTTTAGAAAGCTGTTTTTGAGCCTTCATGTACTGGCGAGTTTCTTCGAGGTACAAGAAGAGCATGTTGGGGTCCACCGATGGCTTTTCTTCGACCAGGCTGACGCCTTTGACGCCCGCCATCACTTTGGTGAGTGATTCTCGGAGAGGCTTGCTGCGGATATCCACTGTTGTCGAAGCGTGTTTGTTGTCGTCGTCGAAGGTTCGGCGGACTGTGAAGATGTACTGATCCCATTCGTCGGCGTCTTCTTTTTCAACTGTTTCTGAGAGTTTGTAGTCATGGATGGTATTGTCCCACACTGTTCAGTTAACATTGTAAGACGCAGAAAAGTTACAGAATGTTAACACACATTGATCAACCCGTTTGAATTCCACCTTGGTCCCTATCTTGATCTTACCCTTCTTGCTCTTCTTGGGCTCTTCCTCAGGGGCTTCTTTCTGGTTGATAGTATGGTTGCACCGAACATTGCGGCGTGCCTCGTTTAGCTCGGCTTCCATTGCCGTCAGTCTCTTGGCCAATGCAAGGATAATGTCAGTAGACTCAGCGCCCTGAGTTCCCAGCAGAACTCCAGGTTGCGGGACCGGTTGCGGGTTGTCATTAGAAGAGTCAGATCCATTGTCACTGCGATAGGACTCTGTTGTTGAATCTGTCGACCGATGCGCTCGGGCTTTCTTCATCTTCTTCTGGTTCCTGCGTTTAGACCTCTTTGTCTTTGATTTTGTCCGCTGCTGTGTTTCCTTTTCTGATCCTGAATCAGCGGTGCCCGAGGAAACCGTTTCTGGCGGAGAAGTGCTCTCATCGGTGCTCTCATTAGAGGACGACCCTGAGGATTCGTCTTCGCTGGAGGACGACGGTGAATCTTCGTACTTAGATTCCGGTTCAAGCTTCTTCGTCTTCTTCGGGCCCTTCTTGGACTGCTTGTTGACCTCCCCCACCACTGGAGTACCCACGAGGGGCGTTTCTTGGCTGCCAGGGGTTTTGCTAGTGCTGTTGCTGATTGAATCTGGGGTTTGCGTGGGATCGGCCATCTTATGGATCTAGCTTATGGATAGATAAGATAACAGGTGGATGGAATATATGTATGTACCTTTTAGCAAGAAGCAAGCAAAAGCAAGAATGTGGAGCGGAAAGAAAAGAGCGAGTGAAGAAAATATAAAAGAGAAATCAAGAATGAGCAAGTGAATATTCGTTGTCAAGCGGTGTGATTGACGTCTTGAGCGTCTGACAAACAACTAATATGCATATCAACCGGGCGTCATTCCTGCAAGGATACCAGTTTTGCTTACTTTTTGGTAGTACAATACACCTCAACAATACTATTGAGCTGAAAGAGAGTGTTGTGATTTATAGGGCTGCAAGAGCATTTGCATCTAGACAAGTTGATTGAGGTTTCACAGCTTGTTGTATTTTGGACTTTCTCGCATATCACGTGGTATCGTACGTGGCTCTCGACAGAAATACGGGCATCCTTTCGGATTCATGCGATTGGCCGGTTATCTAAGAGTGAAGATTCCAGCAAGAGAAGGCCATGAGTACCAAATCAGAAGGGTTAGTAAAAAGATCTCACGCGGGAGAATAGCTAGAGCGGATGGAACAATGCCAGACATAAAATGGAACTTCCCGTCTATTCATTCTGGCTCTTAATAAAATAGATTTGCTAGCAGTCACCATAAAAGCTATTGCTTCTATTCACCATAACACTCCCTCTGACAGATACACTCCTTCGCGAAACCAGCGTGCCGTTTACACCATCCAATAATGCCATAGCTCTCCTTTTTCAAGGCGGAAGTTGACTTGCACGAAGTTCTTGCAGTGATGTCTGACACCGAGAGAATCTTGATTTCTGAAATCAAGACTGAGAAGCATGAAGAAGTATGTCAGCCCTCACGCAACTAAGCAACGCGAGTAACCACCTGTCCATCTAGGAAGACACTGTCCCGGTTACCCCGAAGAAGCGAGACAAGAAGACCACTGATGCAAGCGGTGATGAAGATGGCTGTCCAACCAAAAAGACCAAGAAAAGCCGCACCAAGAAGACCGGCCCTTTGGGCCCCATCTCCACAACCCTCGACGAAGCCAGCGGTGAGGACAAAATGATTATCCGCTTGAAAGAAGTGGAGGGAAAGACCTGGCCTGAGATCCGGAAAATTATGGAAGAGACCACGGGCGCAAAGCTCGGAGGCAGCACTGTCCAAGTTCGCTATGCTCGAATGAAGGCGAAGTTCAGCGTGTTTGAGACAGATGATGTACGTTGCTCTATAGTCTATACACTACGCGTCTTGGATATATGTTATTGACAGACTATCAGGAACCCCGTCTGTTCCAGAGTAAGAAGGAGGTTGAGGAGCGCTTCGAGCAGGAGAAATGGCGGAAGATCGCGGATAGTATCGAGGCCAAGGGTGGGTGCAAGTACCCGTCGGCAGTAGTTCAGAAGAAGTTCAAGGAACTCACCAAGAAGGGCAATGGAGTTTGTGTCGCTGCTACTGCCATGGAGGGAAGGACTGAACCGAGGATTTAGGCTGTCTGGGATTTGTATTATTTGAACCGTATTCAATCAATGGGTGTAATGTAAGACAATGCAACAAACCAAAGTACATAGAACACTACCAGAGGCTCAGTCAACGGAGCTTGCCATCTATTCACTCCAGATTTAAATATTAAGATAGGTTTATGTATTTCCCTCTGCTTAGCACGCTACTTATTCACTTCAATAACACCAGGTCAAGCTGACCCTCACTCACCTGTCTTCTTGTGTTATACACTTCTCCTCTTCCATACGACACTAACGACAACCATCAAATATCACAAGAAGAATGTCTTTTACCGCGCTTAATGGTGAGGACATGGAGCTTCCATTCGCAGAGCACGAACCGATCGATTCTACCGGCGTCACCTTGACCTCTGAGTCTCCGACTTCCAAGATCAAAGAGGAGCCAAATGATGTAGTAAGCTGTCTTCCTACCATTACACCCCAAAAGAGCAACGATTGAATAACACTAACTGTTATCCAACAGTCCAAAACACCAGTCACTCCCCAGAAACGATCGCACGGAAAAAAGCAACCTTCAACCGACCCAGAAGCCGAAACAAACGACAATGACGAAGGAAGCCCCACGAAGAGATCCAGAAAGCCCCCCGGCAAGAAGATGACTGTCCTGGGTCCAGTACCGGCAAGCTATGAGGAGGCTAGTCCAGAGGACAGGATGATTCTGCGCATGAAGGAAACTGAGGGGAAGGGTTGGGGTGAGATACAAAAGGCGATTGAAGAGGTTACTGGAAGCAACTTTGTAGGTAGCACGCTTCGGGTACGCTATATGAAGTTGAAAGCCAATTTCGTAGTCTTTGAGAGAGAGGACGTAAGTTTGTTCCCTCTTTTGCTTTCTTTCTAGTTTCTTCCCCGGGTCATTAACAGAAGCTGACAAGCAACCAGGAATCCCACCTCCTACAAGGCAAAAAGGAACTCGAAGAGAAGTGGGAGCATGATAAGTGGCAGAAGATTGCTGAGTATGTCGAAATGAAAGGTGGAAACAAGTACCCTGCAGCTGCGATACAGAAAAAGTTCAAGGAACTAAGCAAGTGAGCTGGTTGCGTCGGTACCTGTACGGAGACTTGTTGTTTGTTCGGGCGGCAAAAAAGGCTTTCTTCAGGGTTATTCAGGACTTCGTCGAGATGGGGTATTCGGACTGTTATGGGATTCTCAATTGCATGGACCATGCTTTGCTCCGCGTTTAGCCCCGAGTCCCCAGGAAAAGTATCAGTTGAATAGTTGTCAGAATTTCGCTCTGGGTACGTCCAGAAGTTCTGATGTACAATGGAATATGCTACCATTAATTCTAGACTTAGGTAATTTATAGTGCCTATTGTTGCTTGTTTTATTCATTTCAATAACAACATTGAGCCCTAGCTCCTCGCTCAACTTTATTCTACATTACAACTAGAATGTGAGTACCTGTGAAATCGACGCCCACAATGACCGCCAGTGAGGCCGTTTACGGCGTCATTTCCACACGGCGTTTCAGCGACCGGTTGCTGCTTTAACGGATCCGGCCACTATTATTTAATCAAGTTTATTGTCCATACCGAGCCCTAGAGCTATGATAGACCCTTATTCGTGGACTTGAGGCTAGTAGCTATTCTACAGTCTTTTATCCCCATAAGCTCCTGAGGCACTAGCCTCCTTCTATAATCTTTCTGATCCTTTTCCTCTCCCCAAACCATCTGTATGCGCAGGGCATTCGAGCAGAGTGCTCTCCTTGTGTTTCAGAGCAGAGTGGGTGTGGCCTGAGCTGGCGATTCAGCTTAGGCTACCCTCCCTGCTATCCTTCTCCTGTTCTAATCGTCTCTTCCAGTGCTTCCAGTCCCCATTCATTGTCTCTTCGGGCCCTTTCCGCCGTTTGATGAGAATGTGCTCGGGGTAGAGCCACACTAGTACTAGCCAGGAATTCTAGCAGCGCTCTGGTAGCTCTGGGTTCTCCTAACAGTCGTCCCTGTGGGTGTTCCTCTGCACCAGCGGGTCTCACGCCCCCATCCATCTCCAGATCCTTGTAGAGCTTGTTTCGCTGGTGTCGCCATTTTCGGCATTCAAAGAGAAGATGGTGTATTGTTTCCCTTGAAAAACCACAATCTCTGCAGGTTGCATCCTCTTGGGCCTTGATTTGATGTAGATATACTCCAATGGCTGCATGTCCTGAATTCAGTTGAAAGTACCGGCTTGCTAGATGCTTGGGAGCAACTGCAGCTGTTGGGTTGAGCTGCCAGTTTTTCCGCGGCTTGTACATTCGTTGACTTCGTTGAGATTGTTGGCTGAGCTCTTTGGTGAGCCATCTCTGCTTCCATGTTGTGATGGCTTCTGTTCGGGCTCTACAGGCAAATGCCAGGGAGTTCTCTCTTGGGCCTCTTCCTGGGGGTTTGTTGGCTGCCTGTTTTGCTACCTGGTCGGCTTTCTCATTTCCTTCTATCCCTGCGTGTCCCGGAACCCACTGGATGGTGGGTTGATGACCTCGGGCATGTAATCTCTTGGCTATAGCGTGTGCTTGGATTGCTAATGCTTGGCCTGGTCCAATCCGGCCACTATTCTACACCCACAAAAAAGACAACAGTTTTGTCTTGCGTTTTTTCACCCTGCTCACATCTCCTCACCTACATCGAATTTCGACATCTATATCGCAGGCAAAGATACTAAGAGTATACAAAATAATATTCAAAAAGAAAGATTTGCAGCGGAGACTTTCAGGAATCCCCGACAGGCCGCACCTGACAGCGTATCTTCAGAATTCAATCAAATACTCAAGCCTCTACCGGTCATATCGTGGGGACAGCTTGCAATGTATCATTTGGGTGTCCCAACTGGGGCAGGCGTAAGTATTTCCTCTTTTATTGTTTGGTCTTGTTCTCACTATCATCGCAGGATCACATGTTTGTTGTCCGAGACGAACATCATCAGACGGCGATTCAGAAGCTCAAAGACCCGGGATTCATTCAAGCCCCTCCTGATCGCCGGGCCGCCCCTGAAATTATGGAGTCTCTCCCAGATCCGCAAGCCGTCCTTGACGAGATTAACAAGAGTTACGAACGCCTAGACTGTTATTGCACATCATTCCAATTCCCGCCTCACCTTCAGTTCAGCGGGGACCAAATATTTTTAATCCCCAACTCCTTCGCGCATTTACCACTGGACAATCTCAGCATGACTTCAAATTCGTCAAGCCAGAGGGCTCAGCCAAAGCAATATGAAGTGTATGGCAACTTATTCTATCCGCTTGAAGCGGTATTGGTTGAGAGCTTTGTTAAAGGAGTTATTCATGACATCGAGGAGGTTGGATATTCGTCTTGGCAGTTGCTACTAAACGCCTGGATATCAATGAGGCGGGGCCATCTTGAAGTCAACAATGATATTCTCGATAACTGTGCGGATGAGCGGGCAGTAGAATGGTATAGCACGCACTTTGGTCGGATACACGAGGCCCAGTATGGTGGATGGGACCTCTGGGTTTCAAAACGTCTTGGTTCTGGAAAAGAAATGCCAGTGGATATGAGGGGAAATCCTATCTCCTGACATTTCTACTGCTTGAGGAGGTCGGCGATGAGTTGTAAGACCCAGATACTTAAATGAGAAGAATAGAGCATTAAATAATTCTCCAGTGCGTGATTTGTAACTTATGCAATGTATGTTGGTAGGGTCCGTAGTGTGTACAAACAATCTGGCGGTAGGCTTAAAGATTGAGGCCTTCTGTCCCATTTTTCTTTTTCTTTTCTTTTTCTCCTTTTTTGCTTACTTTTTGAAAGAAAAGAAAAGAAAAACTTCTCATTTGTTTCTTAAACTAATAGATGAATAATGAACGCAGACGGAAAGAACAATGAGTAGAATCAAGGATCAACAACAGTAGAAAGTCAAGCGGAAGCAACAGAGCTAGCAACAGTGTGAGCCTTTCAGACATGGTAGTTTAAATAGTGAGACATGGAATAAGTACGTATCTCAAAAGCCATGCCACAAGTCGCCTCCATAGCATCTACATAAGCCCCAATTAGTATTCATTCTGACAAGGACGACAATAGGGCGTACCAGTTGTTGAAGATTGCTGGGCAATTGATCTTTTGCTTTAGGGCCTGTCACATTCCTGGACAATTTTTCAGTAGATCTGCCAATGCAGCTTTCAACTTTTCAATATGACTGAAGTCGAGTTCCGGCGTGCCAGGTACAGCGAAAATGATCAAGCGTTCCAGATCACGAATATCAGTCTGTGCTTTGGGCCCTGTCGCTGATACTGTGACAAAATTTTCTCACGCAGAATCCATTGAGGACTGAATTTCTTGACCGGATATCTATTGATAGTCAATGTCCTTTGGCTAGCAGTCTGGAGATTGTACTGAGGCCGCTGTGGCCAGCTTTGGTAATCAAATACCTCAAGTTCCACCAGTTGCTCCTTGCCTCCCGGCAAGCAGAGTCTAAGCCGGGATGATGTGACAAAACTGGTTAACTGGACCGAAATCAGATGGAAATGATGTGAGAAGCTGGGTGGTTAGCCGATCCGCTGTAATCTGGCGCTGATCCACATGGATCACTAAATCCACATCTTCTGTCCTTCGATTTGGGTCATGGGTCAAAAGGCAGACAGCAGCACCGCCCATGATTGCATAGTCAATCTGCAATGTATCCAGTCTTTGCGCCAGCGTTGAGGCTATGGACCTCAATTGCTCGGGAGGGAGAAGAGTCATCGCGTTGAAAACTTTCTGTAAGTCACTATGAGATGAGGTCACATATTGGAGCAGAGCTTCATAATACAGATTCAGGCTTACCGCAATTGTTCAAAGCGACAAACAGGGCACTGGATTATTCGTGGATGTGAAAGGTTCTTAGGTTGTCGGTTTACTTTCAACAGTTAAGAATGGATCAGATCCCAAACTTATAGATATTGTTATCCATTTGCATCATTTGTATCTGCTCAAGATGTTCTGAAATATCCAGCGGTAATCAAAACAAGGGAAGAGCGTCATTGCCATAGTCACCTGGCAAGTGCGAAGGATTGTGGAAGGAGCGAGCGGTGCAAGACTCACTGTAGTGGTTATTTAAATAATGTGATAGGGCACCTGTCACGGGCTCAATAGCTAGAAGATATTAACGAATTGATATTCCTATCTAAACCAACTAGTAGCCATCGACGAAAATATCGAATCTGGAGAAGAAAAGAAAAATAGAGGCAAGTCTATTTACATGAAGAAGTCCCATATGGTTGTGTGTGGTCTCGCTAAGCAGCTTTTTGTCTTGATTGCTTCCATGATATTGTTTGCCGTGTTGATGATGTTTGCTGACGAAGGCGCTGGGCTGAGCCGTTACATAACCCCCCTTCTTATGTGGAGTCTGTCCCCAGACTCTATGCAGCTGAGTTATCATCAGGGTGGTCTTCAATCCCATCGACTCCTTTCTCCCAGGCCTTAAGTCATTCCTGTAGTCGACGTGGTGGACCTGGATGATCAGGGTATCTTTGATGGTAGTCACGTATTCGATGTGGGGATCCCTTGAAGTTGGTGGCTGGATACCAAGTTCGATCCTTGTCAAATCCTATCCACTTCACCTAATACTGCAACTGACGTCGACATAGACGTGAAGCAAGCACCTCTTCCGCTTCCCATTCCTGTCCATCGGCCACCACAATTGGTTCTGGAGGCTCAGTCACCTGTCCAGGCAAGGGGTCATATGCTGCCCGTCGTAGTTTGTCAGGTGAAAACACAGGGTGTATTTTCATTGAGCCAGGGAGCTCTAATCGGTAGGATTTACCTACTTGTTCGAGTATTGTGAAGGGCCTAGCCATCTGGCTATCAAGCTTCTTGTTCGGTCGGTCTGTTTGATAGTGGCGAAGGGAGAGCCACACCTTATCACCCACACCAAAGTCAACAGGGCGACGTTGGCGATCTGCTTGCTTTTTCTGCTGGTCCTGAGCTTGTTTAATCTGATTGCCCACGGCTATCCATGTCTTCTCCATTCTTTTGACGGCTTCTTGGACTCGTTGTCGGCTAACCCTCATCCCGGGGGAGGCTTCCACCGACCGGGTTCCAGTCAAATGAAGTTCGAGGCTCGTATCCACAGTCAATGAGGAATGGAGACGCATCTGTAGATTCTGAAGGTAGTGCAGCCGCGGCGAAGTCAATCAAGGGTAGTAGTTCAGACCAGTTATCTTGGTAGCGGTTGATGAAGGGTCTTAGACGGTTGATAATATGCTGATTCACAATCCCAGTCTGTCCATTGGTTTGAGCATTATAGGCCATGGAAAGCTTCAGCTTCGCTCGAAGAATTCGACAAAACTCATTCCAAAATGCCGACACGAATTGGGGTCCACAGTCGGATACAATAGTCGATGGAGGCCCTCTATGGCGGTAAATGTACTCAATGAACATTCGTGCAACATCTTCAGAGGTGGCAGTCTTTTTGCAGGGAATGCTGATGGGTCTCTTGCTAAATCAACCCACAATTACTAGTGCGGCATAAAATCCTCTCTTGTCAGCTGGGAAGGAGCGAAAATCCATAGATATATGCTGCCAGGGCCGCTCTGCAATGGGCAAAGGTTGGAGCAGTCCAGGAGCATGATCAAGGGGATTCGCAGTTCTCCGGCACTTTGAGCAATTCTGTACATATCTCTCCACATCTTGTCTCCAAGTTTGCCAGTAGTATCGTGTTTTGATGAACTGTTGGATTATTGTTCTTCCTGGATGTGCAGTTGATACTTGTGCATGCACTTCATTAAGCAGACAGGTGCGGAGCTCAGGGTCATCATTAGGAACAAACAATTGGTTTCCTTTCAGTAGTAGACCATCTTGCAGATTCCAATCATCCTTTCCTGCCCGAGCTCTCTCGCGATGTTCTTCCGCTGTAGTAGAGTTCCGGTTCGCACTGAGCACTTGGTCCACAACTTGTAGAGTGGGCTCAAGCGCATTGATAGCATGGGCTTCAGCAAATTCGTTGACCTGGTTGGTTTCCATTCGCTGTTCAACGGTTTCTGCTTTTAACAAAATCTGTTGGCAATAACCATCCTTTTTCTGCACTTCTGTGCTGGGTCGACTTAGGGCATCAGCCAAGGTATTCTCTCGGCCGGGACGGTAGTGGATTAGGAAGTAAAACCGGGAAAGGAACTCCGCCCACCGGGTTTGTCGTGCATTCAACTTCTTAGTAGTCATGAAATATTCCAGGGCGCGATGGTCAGTATATATGTTGAAACGCTCTCGAAGTTGCAGTCCTTCTAGCTCAGCTCGCCACTCCTGCAATGCACGAATGATGGCCAAAATCTCCTTGTCATGGATCTCATAGTTGCGCTCCGCGTCGGACATGTTCTTGGAATAGTAAGCCACTGGGTGTCAGAGATCTCCGTGCTTCTGCGAGAGTATTCCAGCTACCACCCCATTTGATGCATCAGTTTCTAACTTTGTTTCCAGTTCAGGATGATAGTGTCGCAGTACTGGGGCATCAGTTAACCATCTCTTCAGTTCCTTGAAGGCCTTCTGATGCTGCCTAGTCCAGGTGAAAGGCACATCCTGTTGCGTTCTATAAATAGGAACCTCTTCCGTATTGCTAATTTGTTGAAAGTTGCGGCGGATGAGGAGGAGTATGGTGAAGAGGAGCCAGGGGTTGATGAGGGTGTGTTTAAAGTTGTGTAAGGCATTGATGGATTTGAAGATTAATGGAAGTTGTGAAATGAGTATGAGAAAGGCTTGTGTGTATCTAGTTTTAGTAGAATAGTGTCACTTTCAATACCAAGAGCAAGTAATGGTAATTTCCGGTTGCCCAGTACAGTATGATGGAGCTTGCCTCATTCACTGTGGACTTATCACCTCAGTAGTACCTTAACTCTCTCCCTTAACTTGGCTACCTGTTTTATAGACTCCTCCTCACACTCCTTCTACTCAACAACAGCGATCCAAGCTGAACTTCTCAAGGAATATGTCTTTCACAGCCATAAACGGCGAAAACGCGGACATCCTTTTTGCAAAGCAGAACCCCGACTTAAACGAACTCACCATGACCACAGTCAGAACAGAGGACGGAGAAAGCCATTCAAAATTCCCCTAGTGACTCAAGATATGCCAACTAACTTCTGTATCAACAGACTAACCTCCCCATTCCAACCCAAACCCCATCTACGACTCCTCGCAAACGAGCCCGCGGAAAGACCACATTCAACGACAAAGCCGACAACCCCGAGTCTGAACAGGGCCACGGTCATGGAACCCCCAGCAAAAAGTCCAACCTCAAACTTAAATCCCCCACTAAAAGACCCCCCGGCCTCGGCCCTATCCCCACCACCTACGAACAAGCAAGCCCAGAAGACAAACTGCTCATTCGCCTAAAAGATGAGGACAAGCCATGGTCTGAAATCACAAAGACACTTGAGGATAGCACGGGGATGACGTTGGGTGCTGGGCTGCGGTCGAGGTATGCGCGGATTAAAGCGAATTTGGTGGGGTTTGAGGAGGGTGATGTATGTATTCCCCTTCTCCCTTCTCTCTTTTTCCGCGTGTCTTGAGGTTGAGGCTGATGAGTATGGTTGGATTGGTAGGGCCCGATTCTGTTCGAGCTCAAGAAGGATATTGAACATAAGCAAGAACTTGAGAAATGGCAGAGGATTGCTGAGGGGATTGAGGCAAGGAGTGGGAATAAGTATCCGATTACTACTCTACAGAAGAAATTTAAAGAGTTGAGTAAGGTCAATGGAGGTGTTTCAGATGCGGTGGTGGTCAAGGATGGAGAGTAATCGAAGATGCAGGGTTCTGTACGACTTGACCGCTGTATTGGGCCGGATTGGATTAACCCTGGAACGAAAGATGATTGTCAATGCAAGAACAACAGTCCATTCATGCTAAGAGGTATCTCCATGTATCAACAAATAAAGGAATAAATTTCATTCCGCAACACAAGACCGCAAATAATGCAAATATAAAATCAAAAAAAAAAGTCATCAAATAACCATTTCCCGACGCCGGCCCTGCATGCCCAATCCCAATTCGCCAAGTCTCGCATCTTTCGTAGAATCATCACTATTAGTCCTTGCCACGGCGGTAGGCCGGACCTTAGCCCCCACAAACCCCCGTCGATCCCGTCCTGTTCGGCCCCGGCCGAGCCAGTTGTGCTTAAGCGCTTTGCTGAGAACCTCGATTCGCTCTTGTGGCTCGTCGCCGGTTTGCACACTGGCGAGCACGCTGACGCATTGCAGCATGCGGCCTACTGTCTCGGTGATGAGGTGGGAGGTGTCTGGTGCTGAGGATGAGCGGTGGATGATGGTTGGCCGTGGGGCAGGAGAGGAGAAGGATTGGAAGATCAATTGGTCTGGGTTTGAGGAGGTGTTTGATGCTGCGCGGCTGCGGTTGTCGCCCATGCTCATTGAGTCGGATGAGTAGCTGCCGGCGGCGGCATTGAGGAGTGTTGACGACTGAGAACTGTAGCTTCCGAAGCCTGCATCTAGTGATGTCGCTGTCCCTGGTCGTCCGCTGGTGGTGCTGCTCTTCGCTGTTGTTACGCTGAGACCCGAGTTGCCTAGGTTGATGCTATCGAGACTTAATCGAGAAAATGTGTTGAGCAGGGTCTCGTAGCGACAGATAATCACCATGTCGCGGAACGCGGTCAGGACGAGGTTGCGAACTTCCAGCACACCTCCTGGCGGACCGTATGGTATCCCGTTCATGGACGTCCCGCTCCAGAACTCGTTGGCTTCCCGCAGACTCATCACGGACCCGCATCCCTTGAACTCCAGATCCAGAGGAAGGAAAACCGCTTGTATAAACGGGAGGATCGTGCCAAAAGTGAGCATCCATATCTGTACCAAATGAGGAACCAGCTTCTCATCCGGAACACCGCTCAAGTTGTGGTTTAACGACGCGAATCCCGTATCTAGTAGCTCGCGCAGGTCGTCGATTATCGCAGTCGGCGTGCGTTTTTGCACGCATCGTTGGATGTGAATCAGAACCAGTTTGTTCAGATCTTCAATCGCAATCCGCACATCCTCCCCGTCAAATATGACAAGGAGCTTCGCTTTCAAAAAGTCCCATGCATCTTCAGGAGTCATGTTATTCAAACCGAACCCCTGCAGTGTCTCTCTGAGAGCGGCTTCCGCGAGAATCCCCGTCGAACTCCCAAGGGATGAAGGACCAGGAAAAACAGCGGGAGTACCATTACTGCCTGTTGCATTTACAAGCCCGTCAACCAGCTCTGATTCCGCTAATGCCTTTTCTTCTTTTTTCTTTTCACGTAGAGCCCGTCCTCCATGGAGAATGTCAAGGCCACTGACTGACTTACCGAATGTAGTAGAGACAGTACCGGGTGACTGAGGAACAAACGAGTAGAGCGACTGAGGAGCGTTCGGATCTGATGGCTTCGAATTACTCCATGCTGACGACAAGGGCAGATGGCGATGTTCGTCAACGCGATCTTTCAGCTTCAGCTTCTGCCGCGACAGGAAGTGATGCTTATGTTTCTCTTTATCCTTGTCCTTCTCCTTGTCTTTATCCTTCTCCTTCTCCTTGTCCTTCTTCTCCTCACCGGACGTGGGCTTATCAGCCGGTACAACCGTGGACGCAGATCCATTCGACAAATTGTACATAGACGGGTTATTCGACGGCAACGCCGGCGTATCAGGTAAAGCAGGCGTCGACGTGCTGACAATCCTCGACAACCCACTGGCACTAGCAAAGCTCATCTTGCTGGGCGACGGCATACCCCGATCCTTGAACGGATCCTTGTCCCGACTGATCCCAATATGCTTAGGTTTCGAGAATAACCTTTTCTTCTTCTCGCCCTTCTGTTTTTGTTCCTTCTCAGGGACAGGCTCCGCAGGCATCCCTGGAGGCTGTAACCCGGGACTCCTGGGAAATGCGACATTGGCCGCCGTCGTAGCAACATTTGTATTTCCCCCGACTAGTCCATTCTGATATGACGGTCCCGGCGTGATGTTTGGGGCAGCTAATAACGACGGCGGCGGCGGGGGAGGAGGCGAGTCGCTCCCTGTCCTCCTATTCCTCGATACACTATCTTCCGACTCCTGGGAGATCGCCTGCGGCCGTCTCGGGGGATGTTGGGCAGACGACTGCTGATACTGCTGTTGCTGCTGCTGCTGTTGTTGTTGTTGTTGTTGTTGTTGTTGTTGTTGTTGTTGCTGCTGCTGCTGCATCGCCGCCTGAGCGGCGATCCTCGACGCGGAAATCGTAGCATCTGTCGACGAGGCTGTCGGGAGCGACGGCTCGAAAAACCCTTGGGAGTGATGCCGAGACCGATGCCGTTGGATCTCGGCCCTCTCTCGCCCTAACGTGGTGGGTTTCCGACCCAACGGCTCATTTTGCGGCATGTTGGCGACTGGTCGCACGGACGGGTTGGCAGCGGACGAGGAGGTATTGCTGCTGGTGGTGCTGGTGGTCGTTATCGAGGAGGTTCGAGGGGGTCGGGACGCGGTGGCTGTGCCAGGAATGTTGCTGGTGCTGCTGTTGTGGTTGACGGCCGAGACGGTCGTCACGTTGGACGCAAGCGAAGATGCATCGCTTCCGGACGAACCCGCAGCGCCCAATTCATCTTCGAAGGAGGGACGAGAGGGAATCTGGGCTGCTCTGGAGGGATGCTCCGGAGAGCCCGAGAATCGCAGCGTGTTCATAGCGAAGTGGCGGAAATGGAAGTTTGGAACGGGGCGGAGGGAACCAAGGAGAGAGGGTGAGACGATGATGTTGAGACGTTGGACAGTGTTACCGCGACCGGGTTAAGGAGCGCATGTTTCGTTGTTGTAGTTGTTGTTGTCTGGAAAAGACAGTATGATTGTTGATTGTTGTCCTGGGGAGAGAGTAGCCAAGGACGCCCATCACGACGATCGATCGCTGTTTAGCACTCCGTCTGGAACGTTTCCCTTTCATTAAACGCCGACACACCCCGCCCGAGGCTTTTTTCACTACTGCGCCGACCACCACACTATTCCACACCACGCAACACTAGGAAGTGAGAAACCATACTATACAGATAGTCGAGTATTCTCGTTTTAATCGCCATGTCGACCTCTACCAGAAACCACCTGCACGCCATCTACACCTCCCCTCAACCCTCCACCCAGACCCAGACCTTCCAACACGACCTTTCCCCAGCCCCGGTACCCTCCAACACGTCGTCCAAGGTGGCCTATCTGGGAGAACTGAGACAGTTGGTTCCGAAATTGCAGGACGAAATCAATGTGTTCCTGACGGAGCGCATGGAAGAGGATAAGAAGGCTGCGGAGGCACAAGGGAGGAAGGAATCGGAGAAAGAAGCCAAGGAGGAAGAAAACTATGGAGAGGAAAATGTGGAGGAGGATGCTTGAGGTTACGCAGGTTCATAACGGTCATGCATTGCGAGATTACCCGGTATTCTCGTTATATAGACATTCGGAATATCGACTATCAATTATACGGAGTACCACAACGGTAACACCATCGCACACAACATCTTCGGATCCTTGGATATCGCTATCCTGGGGTATCAAATCGCAGAAAAACATCCCGCCGCTCTGCCCGAACCTCATCACGGACAGAGGTCATAAGAGAAAGAAAAGAGATAAAACAGAAAAAATGCAACATATGTCCAAAACCAACAAATGCAAAATGCAGAGTATTGTCATGAGGTAGTCGTCGACAGTCGATTCGCACAACCGAGATGAACAACCGTGTTACTGTGATTCATTAGCGGGCATCTATGTGCATAATACAAGGAAGACTTACTCTGGAAACACATTAATCACACTTCCTCCAAGCCGCTTGTGGCATATTCCACAAATCCTCTCCTCCGTCACAGTAACATGCCTCGACCTCGAAGACTTCGGGTCAATGCCCTCGCCGACCAGCAATTGCGCCTGCGCCTTGACGTTTTGGACTTTCTGCAAGCTCGCCACAATCCTGCTTTCGTTGAACTTGGAATTGGCGGCTCGCATACGGCCTTTGAAGTAGAACTCTAGTTCTTTGACCGGTAGTGATTTGGGGATGAGATCTAGGGCGGAACTGGGAGGGAGACGGGATCCGTGCTTTGCGAGTATCTCGAGCGCGGGTCCATATTGTGGTTTATTTCCATAGGGTGGGGCGAGATAGAGACCTAACAATGTCAGATGAATTGACGAGGGTTCCTCTTTTGCTTCGTCTTTTTCCCCATCGAGCGTAGCTTCTTTCGTGGCTATGTCCTCCTTGTGAACGTGGTTACAGTACCTGTAGTGGTCAACCGGCGATCCTGAAGATACCCATTGGCTGGATGACATACTCTTCTGCTTTGGCGTAGTCCTCAAGTTTAAACACGTAAATCTCCAAAGCCTGTTTATGTTGTCCCATCTTGCTAAACACAATGGCTCTCGCTTCGAAGAACTCAGGATCTAGCACAGTTAGCAAACCAAATATTGCATCCTTGGATGAATCGCCTACCATTCCGATCCAGCCGATCAAGCATCTTAGCCGGAGAATACTGCGAGCTCGATCTAAGCGTCTTCAAGAACCTGTTGTGCCATTCGGCACGGTCGTCGTCACCCGCAAATTCCCCTTTGTTCAGACGATCCAAATAATGAAGCAAGAGTTTGAAATGCAAGTCTGGCGTCGTATCATTCAGCTCCCCAATGATATGCTCGAGGTACTGAACAGCCAGGGCAATGTCAATCTTCTCAAGAAATTCCAGGACCTGATGTCGAGGCAACGTCTCTGCATTTTCAGTGTCCGCCACGAAAATCTCCATCCCCAGCTCAGGATCCTCTCGCACTGGCCACTCCGCAAACTCGAGAATGAGATCGATTTTCGCTGGAGGCAGGTTCTGCAGATATCCGACTAATCTCTTAGGTCCATGCAGTTGCGGAACTGACTCGTCTTCTGTTTCTGCTTGGCCGAATTTCCGCAGGAGCTCGAGAGCTTGACGATGCATCCTTTTGCCGTAGAGGAAGTCAATAAGGTCGTTATAGCGGCCAGTTTCCTCTAGTCGTTCCATTACGACGTCTGGGTCGCAGAAGTTTGCGATGCGGAATAGCGAGCCAGCCAAGGAGGGCGTCGCGAACATGTGTGCCCGGAATAGAGTCGTGTCCACGAGCCTTGCCTTCTCCCGAAGTTTCTCGGCGAAAATTTCCTCTCGCTCATCTCGCGAGAAGTCGAGCAATTTCACGACGGAATCAGTGAACTCATCTTCCGCAGCGTTAGTTGGCGGATCCGGGACCTTGAGTGAGCCATCAGGGTTGAGGAATCGCTGAAACCTCCTCCGGACGTCAGCAAGGTACGCCTGGAGTTCGCGAACGGCGAGTTTGAGGTCTTTTCCTTCTAGACGCTTGTCTTCCTCGACAGGCTTGCTACGGATGCTACCCGCGTCATCGAAGCCGTCAGTTCTTGTTCGGAGAATGGACCTCATGGATGGAGCGTGCGTCAGTCTGGTAGGGCTTGTAGCATCTTCGGAAGTCGCATTATTCTGGTTCTCCGGCTTGGGTGAGCCTTCCGATCCGCTATCCTCGGATTCCTCCTCTTCGACGATGATGGAGAGGTCGCCAGCAATCAACTTAGGATAGAGTCTAATAACAGTTTCTGGAGGAGCCGAAACTTCCGTGAAGAGGTCCATCGCTTGCCGATATTTCCTGACGTTGAACAGGCCCTCGGCCTTTTCGAGCTTTATTTGGCGTAGCCGGCCGGGTTTATCCTTTAGAAGTGCATCCTCAAGCATGGCAAGCAAACTGATTGCTTCGTCCAGGTACCCCTTCTCAACTAGAGTGTCGATCTGCGTATCGTAGCTCAGAGCTTCCATCCTCCAGATAACCCGATCACTAGCAATCAAAAACCCCTTTCCGGCATGGGCCAGGCTGATCGTAGGCTGGGGGATATGCATGAGATTGGCTGATGGCAACGAGACGGACTGAAGCAGCGACTGAGTTTCCGGATTCCTCACTTCCAGCACACCCTTGGACGCATCATGCAGCGCAAGTAGGAATGGATACGTGTATCCGATATCTGCTGGTGCATGGCTCCACGGTATTTGTCTTCGACCCAGCGAATTGCCATCTGCGTCGATGAAATGCGTGTTGATGTCCTTTGCCAGCAGTATCTGCCCTTCATTGAGTCTCGTAGAGAGAGGCTTCGGACCCATCCCACTCATCCCAATGTAACTCATACTAGCAGCCCCAACACCAGCTAACCGCCCAGTCTCCTGACCACCCAGACCTCCAATACTCCCCGGCCCAACAAGCTCTGTGACCGATGAACTCTCAAGGTCCACCATAACGAAATTCGATCCAAGACCAGCTACCAGCTTCGTCCCAGATATCCAAGTAAGTGTTTTAATCCCACTAACCAGAACCATCTCCGCTGTATCTTTCTCCGGCTCCATATCCCGCCATGTCCACAGCAGTATCTTCCTCTTGACAGCGACCGCAACCCGAGACACGATCGATGGCACGCCAGTCTCGGGATCATTCACGATATTCGAGGTAATGGCAAACGTTGTCGCGCCTTTCGTCTTGGTGAGCTGCTCGTGCAATTCGTACGTCTGCAGGTCGTGGATCGACACGTAGCCGCCCGATAACGAGACGAGCAGCTTGGCCTCCTTGATCAGGGCCAGTTGCTCGATTTTGTACCGGGAGAACTTCTCAATTTCGCGTAGGAGGTCGGTTGGTTTCGTCTTTGGTATCGTAGCCCGAGGTGAACTTGCTGTTGCGGGCCTAACTCCATCATCGCCCTTCTTGACCGTATCTCCTTCGCCTCCTTCGTGGTGTTGGACCCCGCCGTTGGTGTTGGCGGTACCCTCCTCATCGTAAGAAACTTCGTTTATGCGGTATATTCGTAGATTGCCATTGTTCAGCCCCACGAGGAGTCGATCGCCGTATGCGAGGACCGATTCGATTCTGGACTTGTCCCGCTGCTTGAGCTCGACGAGAGGCCGAGCCGTGAAAGCAGACAACATACTGTGCCAATGCACCTCGGTTATTCTCACGCCTGTTCACCCGTTCCAGGCACAAGATACAATCATGTCCAGCAAGAATATCAAAGCCGAAACGCTCAGCTATTCGTGCTGCCGTCTGCTGCTTGTAGTTGTTCCCGATCGGCGGACGCTGGTTATCGCGGTGTTAGTCAGGTTTTAGTCAGCTGGTTTATCGATAGGGGCTATGAGATCATAGGCAAGCAAAGGGACTACAGTTTACCACCGGTACTATTGCAGAGAAATCAATATGAAAGTAATATTATGCAATGTAAGTGCTACTATGATATTTACTTATGTATGCTTTTTGAGAATAGACATTTTCGAAGGGGACACGCCACCAAACTCAGAAAAACGTATTTTCCAAACGCCTCGGTTTTCATTCAATGCCGAAGTAGTTGATGGACAGGAGGTAAAGAGTGGTTATTCACGGGACGGGAGAGGGCAGGTAGCGTAATATAAGAGGTAAAGGATGTTGATCGATTATAAAAACCCGGAGTATAGTCAAGTTGAAATGAGGTAGGGTATGCCGTAGATGGATGGAGATACCCAAAAGGGCATTTATGCAACGTATTTTGACGAATAGAACGACACTCGGAAATGAAATAACTGACAAGGCACAGCCTGCAAGTGTAAGGTCGAGTCACATGTAATTACACAGCGCATCGGGTTGAATGTATGTTCGAATAGCCACTCCATCATTTCTGGGGATCCGACGGGAACTCCTGGTGGTGTGCAGAAGTACCCTTGCCACGCCAGGTGGATACTGCCGGAATATCGGCCTTGAAGCGTTGCTCTTCCGTTCCGTACGCACGAGGAGTGAGCTTGATCAACGTATGAAGAGGAACTTCCATCCACGGGCTTTGCTCTTGAGGGGTATTGAGGAAGTAGGCATAGATGCAACGTAGCACAGCTTGATGAGTGACGATGATGACGTTCTCACTGCGCTCCAGCTCCATGATAATGGGCTCCAGACGAATAACTACATCACGGTAAGACTCTCCGCCTCGGTAACGGTAGTTATACTTGTCTTCGTCACGTGCCGCGAAGTCCTCGGGATATTGGTCGGCAATATCCTTGTAGGTCAGGCCATCGCAAACACCAGAGTCAAGCTCGTCAAGTGCCTTCCATTCCAGTTTCCCAAAGCCCGGCTGACCTACCAGATGACGAGCAGTCTGGATCGTACGCTTCAAGGTCGAAGTCCAAATGACAATCTTCGTATTGGGCGGATATCCAGATTTTCGCATGAGTTCAGGGAGAGCTTTGGCGTAAGCCTCGCCCCGCTCAGAAATGCTGGAATCACCGCCGATTTTTCCAACCAGGTTGTACTCCGATTCTCCGTGCTGGGATCGAGATTAGCATATGCTTTGGCTTTCTTTCGCTTCTTTTGAGTAATCACTTACACGAGAGAGCCAGATCGAACGTGGTTTGATATGAAGGTTTTGGATATAGTAGACCAACCGACTCGACAAATAGTCCTTGATCTGATTGATGATAACGGTGGAGCCGACATTGATGAGCTTGACATAGGTGTAATGCTTCTCGTTCTCGTCGATGGTTTCATAAACCTGCTCGTAGTTCCGGATACGAGTGCGGAAATCGAGCGCAGCCATCTCGGGATCCTGACCCTTGTAATCCGGAGAGGTGGTTTTGACTTCGAGGATGTTGTTCATAATGACCTCCTCATCGTCACATGTCGACTCGACGAACAAGGTTTCAACATTTTCCTTCTCGCAGGATTCATAAATCCACTGGCGTCGTTCCCTGGTCGAATTGGTGGCATCGAGGATGGCAACGACACCTTGACCTTTTCGGAACCAGGCAAGCATGTCGGATACTGCAGCCTCAGCGGCAGCTCGCCTCATTTTCTCCCCTTCCTCATTGTGAGGTTCGAAGAACTTGGCCGATGGCTGCGGCGTGTTATGCCGACGATAACTGCCGACGTTGAACACACGAGCGGGAATACCAACCCAGGCGAGATACCGCATCGCCTTTCCGGCTATGAGACTCTTGCCTCTGGCCGGAAGGCCAACCATGACAACACAGATTTTTGTGTCATCTGACTGTAAAATTCTCGATGGTGAGCATCCTTTCGACAACATTTCCAGAAAGCTTCCTTTTAGGCTGTAAAACAGAAAAATAATGAACTGATACGGGGAAATCCATGCCCAACATCTTTGTCACTGCTTTATCAAGGCTGGGCGTTCCGACAATCGGATGCCGGAATCGAAGATCCCTCCTCGATCACGAGAAACATGGGGAATGATTGGATCCCACTCGAAGTGACAGCAATTTGTGCAAGGAAACAAATGACATGACATGCCCGATCATAAAGCCGTAAATCTAGCTCGCGACGGGACGGGAGACAACATAGTAAAAACCAAAAAAAAAAAAAAAAAAAAAAAAAAAAAAAAAAAAAAAAAAAGAAAGAAAGAAAGAAAAAAAGAAAGGAAAGGAGAACTTACGCTGGCGAAATAACTCTTGTGCCCTCGCTCACCGCGATTGCTGCTGAATGACATGGTGAACTATTTTGTTGAGCCTCTTTCTTGACTTCGGGTAATGATGGGAGAGTCGAGACTTCGGGGATGGGTTTACCGATCGCGCAGGAAGCCGAGAATAGGAGAAGATCGGGAAGGGTATTAGCAGGAATAATTATGCACCTCTTTATTTATTTTTATTTTTTTTGGGCGATGCTTCAGCGACTCAAAACTATTGAGCGTAGTCGAATGCTCCACCGGACGGACGAGACAGATCCGGCTGCCTCAAACTAGCAACTTTGAGAGAGTCTTCAGCTGGTGTACTCTGTAGAGGAAGAAATGACAAGATAATTCAGGGATTATTCTAGCAAAGGACTAGGCCCCGGTGGTGGATGCGGTGAGGACGAAGAAGGAGAAAGGACAGCACAGACGTCATGCCGTGGGAAAGCACGACCCGGACAAGAGACAATGGTTGGGATATAAAGAGGATAGAGGGGTAGGAAGAGAAGAACAGAAATGAAGAAAAGGAACAAAGACAAGAAAGAAAGAATCCAACCAAAATAGACAACTGCAGACAAAGCAGTGAATAATTCACATCAAATCGGATGATGCCCAAGATCGCTGGAAGGTCCACGTGATTTTCCCTTTTCGTTCGGGTAAAATCGAGCCCGTGGAGATGGAGATGCTGAATATTCAACCCCGGACTCAACCAAGAGAAACCCCTCATTTACTGATTTTTAGACGTAAAAGGCCGAGAACTTCTTGTCTTCGGGGGTTTACACGGTACCAGTCTGCCCGGATTGATCATCGGAATGGTGCCGATTGGACCAGGGTCCTTGGTTTACGGAGGAATGGATGGACTCTCGGTATATCCACTGGACAAAAGGAGGGGAAGATTACTACTAAGAATGCTCGGTTCGGAACTGACATGTATGAATCTGCATGCAAGATTATCCTGTTCGCTAATGATCATCACGCTTTTTTGAGTATGGTAAACGTTAAAATATGCCCAATTTCCAAAACTCCCAACCTGTCGTTACCTTCCTCCAATGCTGTTGCTTGAAACCAATGAAATCGAGCAGAGGTGATGCTCCAACCGGCATCTGGGTTTCGCTGGATCAAGGCCACAGGTACCTGCAGCATCATGCATGACAGGCATGAACAAAACGTCAGACCTGGTATTAACGAAGCACAGCAGCCGCCTTTCCCCACGATTTCGTCTCGCTATTGACACGAAGATCAGATTGCGATGTAGTCCTTTTGCAGCAACACACAGGAATGCCATCCTGTTGGGAAAGCAACGACCCAAAACTTTTTTTGCTTTTGCGTTTATCCCATCAAAACCGGTGGTAGGCGTAAAATCGGTAATCACTCAAGGTATTTTATACAGAAACTTCGTCGGCAGCAGCGATCTCAGTCGTCTCGGTAGAAGGCATCTTGCTTCTCTCGTCCCTCCATGTCTCTCCCCGGGCTCGTTGGACCCTAAGGTTGGCGCCCCAGGGACCCTCCTTGCCATTCATAGTGTTCATGGCCTCCTGAGCCTCTTCGACAGTGCTGAAGTCGACAAAAAGGTAGTAGTGGTCACCGGGTTCGAATCTCTTGGAGGGGTGAGGAGTAAACAGCTTGCTGACATTCTCACTAAAGGAAGAAACCAGGGTTAGTATCTCAAAGGATCTTCCGTGCGACATAGAAAGGGGATATACGTACACCTCGTAATCTTTGAAGAAGTTGTTGATGTTGATGCTGAGAGCTTCGTGGTCGGTCAATTTGGGCAGACCGCCAACGTACAGACGACGGCTCGAGTCACTGTTCACCTTGGCGAAAGTAGGAGTGTCATTTCGCCTCCAGCGGTCGACGGAAAATAGTGGACCCTTCTCTCCATCCATGCGCTGTTGCTGAGATTTCACCACACCGGGCTTAATCTTGACAGGGCGACCAAGCATGTCATGGCCGTCCAATTCGACCATTGCCCGATCAGCGAGGTCCTTTGTCGGCAGGTCAACGAAGCAGTAGGAGGGGTTTCGGCCCGTGAAAGGATCGATCGCAATGTCGATACGCTCGCTATGAAATACTCAGTCTGGGATCATTCATAAGACCAGAACACGTCAAGGTTCATACATGGAGAATTCCGCCGCTGTAAACAGGGCTTCCACATCTTCAGACTTGGCAGTATAAGGCATGTTGCCGACATAAAGACGTCGGCCCTCGGAGATAGCATGGGGAACGTGTGGGCTTGGTCTGCTGAAAGCCAGTCTGGAGGTGCTTGTCCTGGGCTTGGGAGAACCCTGACCCTCCACATTGGGGCTTTCTTCTCCCTTCATACGCCAGTTGGGGGAGTTGAAAGCACGACCGTTCGTTCTCACACCATTCTGGAAGGGTGATCTCCCGGGAGCTAACGACGCATCAGCAACTCATGCAACTTTAGGTTTATATTGGAATCAGCCCCAGATGAGCAACCCCAATGGTATTATTCGTCCTACACACTTTCTTGCTGCGGGATTTCAGGAGCGTCAACCATTTTGTCTGTTGAATTATCCAAAACTCGAATAGAAACAGCGACGAGTACAAGGTATCCGGTCTGCAAACAAGAAGCGGCGCAAAGTCAGCATCGACGTATATCTGCGGGGGAAGAGAAAATGTAAACAGGCTGCTTACCTAGACAACGGATACTAAGGGGTATCAAAAGAAGAATAGCAGAGTGAACCTTTCAAAAAAAGAACTAACAAAAAATATTCGACAGAAAACAAATCAAATCAACGCAGATACAGTTCCTTCGCCGACAATTCCAGAAAAAATGCCGCCGAAAATCTACATTTTTTAGGCGGTGAGGATCGTCTCTGCAAATCATGCAAACTTCCGTCACGCTATTCCTGTTCCTGTACGGAGTCTGGTTGGTCCGTTAGCGATGTTTTCTGCCTGCTCACCGCCTGGCGTCACTCGACTTTTCTTCGCGGAATTTTTCTTCCCTTCAGAATCTGCTCCAACATGTCTTTACCAGGTTGAATTGGGGTTTCTGGATAAGACCCGTTCAGTTCCAGGGGTCAATGGCTTCCAAGTCCTGATTCGACGTTGCTTTCTTTCCGACAGTGACCGCCAGACTCTGCCTGCTTGACAAGAAACGAAATGCTGTTATGCTAGCTGGCTAGCATGATGACCATCTCGATATCTACAGCACGCTGCTCTACTAATACTCATGGTGAGTCTTTCCCTTACATCCCCTTTCCCCTATCACCCTTCACTTCTATGATGAAGCATGATTTCACACAGACCTGTTCCAATTTTATAATGAGGACACACAATCAGTCCAACTGCTATCTGAGAAAATTTTCATACTTTGCCTGCTCGACCATCTTTTCGTGTTCATATGAGCTAACGTTTACAAGATTTCTAATCTCGTTTTGCGTCGTTCGATGTTAAGTCTTCTAGAGTTATTGAAGTTGAATTATTATGTTCGATGAATCTGGCATGATAGTCCGTAGTGTGAGCTTATACGTTTACGTTGAGCCCTAGGCGGTGTAGCTGTGCTTTGTCCTCCCGTTCTCTCCAATTTACACGGTGCTGTTCTAAAGCAGTGCTCCAAGATATAAAGACCTGGGGTTTGAATAAAGAAAGAAGCATTGTCCCATGGTTCCATTAAGTAGAGAGCCTTCACTGATTAAATTACATGACATTTCTAAAGATAAATCCACATCCCATAAACAAATCATCCATCATCGATCATATCTCATAACTAGTTTTTAATATTCCCTCCGTAAATGACCAACCCAAACAAAGAGAATCAAGGATAAAAGCTATCCTCCGGCCTTAGAATCGAAACATTGGCCTCCGTGTACCGCTCAAATCCCTCATCTAGCTGCGCCCTAATACACCGCTCCCTCTCGCTACCACGAATAGGATGCAGATACTGCTCGATCTGCTCGATGAGAGGATCCAAGTATTCGATTCCAATACCCTCCATGAGATTCAAGTAGCGGTCATAGCCCTCGATGACGCGGCAGAGTATATCCCACAGGGCGACGAGGATGCGGGTGACTTCGTTGCGTTCGATGTCGACGATGTCCTCCAGAAGCAACTGACGGTTGCGGGTGTTGAGGAAGGAGGTGTAGACGAAGTTGTCGTATAGGTCGAGGAAGGTGGTTAGGAGGGTCTTCTCGATGGGGGTTACTTTGCGGAGCTGGCTTCTGCACGGCGTTAGTGCCTCTCTTGGGGTGTATGGGTGGAGAAGGTCTTACCCTAAGATCACATGGAGCATGCGACGATAACGAATGAAGAAGTTAACTCCCATGTCCCTCGAAACCTCGCCCAGGATGTAGTGCACGTGAGAACCGACGTCAAGCAGTTCAACCAAACGAGCGTCGACGACGGCCAGATAGCGCGTAATCACAGAAGCAATCATCTTGATGTCGTAGGTAGCTCCAGCAGACATGAAGTGCAACGGAGAACTGTCTTTATTGCGGAATAGGATCTCCCCCATACGGATGATCAAGTAAGAGAAATCATGAAAGACGCCTCGAGGGCCATCGCCAAGACACTGACTGCAGAGGAGACGTCTCATGTCATCGACGACGCGCATTTTGTCGGACTCTTCGCGGGAAGCATACATCCCAGAGGGTGGAGAAGCGTTTGAGGCTGGCTCGTTAGGGACTTGCGCTTCATAGATGCCGCTTGGAACCTGCTTGACGGTACTCTGCTCCTCAGCTTCGTCTTCTTCGATCGGCGCAAGTAGAGGGCGATGTTCGTCTTCGTCATCACTGCTGGAGAAGCTCGGATTGGCTATACAAGGATCAACCTCTCTGAAGCGGATTACTTCCTCGACGACCTTGGAGATGGCGTATTTGTAGGCCTGTTCGTGCTGGACGAAGTCGACGGGCGGGTACAACTCGCAAGTCTCGTCATAATCAGGGAACGGCTCAGTCTTGGGCTCAGAAGACTGAACAGTGGACTCAACAGGAGTCTCGATAGAAGATTGGATAGAGCTGACAGAATCAGTTTGGTCATTGCCTTCCTCCTCGTCGGTGAGCTGGCAGCTACCTTCGCGATTTTCAACAGCTTTATCGGAACCATAGTCGCTCTCTTCGTCATAGTCTTCGTCGTAGTTATCATCGTTCTCCTGCACGGCTTGAGCCTCACAAAGCGCGAGACCCTCCAACGTACTCGCCAGCAAGCCAGCAAGCGACTGGCGATACTCTCCCAGCCTCTGCGGATCAATGCTCAGGGGCACGGGCTGAATAGGCGAGCAAGGACGAGGAGGGGTCAGTGCCGCCTCTTGCCTAGCGTAGCTAAACACGCGAAAAGCAGCATCCGCGACAAGGCTCTCAGGAAACAGGTCTTCGTAGGTGGGAACGCGAAGTGGACTTTCAGTTGTGTGGGAGGAGCCAGTGTTAGTGCCAGCAGAGCTGGACTCGAGCATATCTTGATCCATCTTACCTCTTCGAGTAATGGATGGACGGGTAAACTTACTTAACGGTGGAGATTGCACAAAGTTTGAGTAAGATGAAGGATGATTAGATAGGAGAGAAAGAAGAAGGTATAGATACCACAGAGAAAGGGAAAAGCATGAGAAAAATCACATCTAAATGAGGGGTTCTCATTCACTGCTGTGAGTATGAGTTTGCAATCCATTTTAAAATGCTCCTTGATTTACATTTACTGTCACAAACAGTCCTATTTTCCTGGGTGATTATGCAGACATAGTAATTTCTTTAATGGTAAATCTCTTTTCTACTTCAAGTCCTTAGCTATCTCTTTGAAACAGTGGTTCCAGTGACAAGCCCTAATCTGGTATGGAGCGCGCCGCGAAACCGCAGGTTACGTTTAGTTTCTACTAGAATGAGGATCGTGTGGAATTGCAATAGTAAACGGCGATGAATACTCTTTCCACTTCCCTTTCCCTTTTTCTATTTTGGCCTTAAGACCGCAGGCTAGCCCTAAATCGAGGCGCACACTGAACAATCAACGATAGATTGAGCGATGAACATTACGCTAGAACGGATATACGAAAGAGGGATGCTTCTTATGGTTGGTTGGTTACGGAAGATGTCTTTTTGTCCGTTGAATTGCACGTAGTGGTCGAATTCGTCGAAAGCCATCTCGTCCGTGGACAGCAAGGCTGTCGATTGCGAGCGAGGAACCATGGAGATGCCATCGCCAGATTGTTGAAAGAGCTTTGGGGCAGAAAAGCAGACTGTAAGATACATGGATACAATTTAAAAGAGCGAGGGCATTGACATACGGAAGCAGATGGTATTCTGTCATACATCAGTCGCGACTAATTTGGGCCACGCTACAATCCTAGGATTTACCAGTGAAAAGGATAGTTCAATAACCAAGGATACATATGTATTCGACTAACGATTAATTAAACTACTATAACGCGACTGTACCGTGACTCAATCCGAGAAACGCTCACTGAAGGAGCGCTCCATACCGATCGAAAAAACCACGGCGAGTCCTCCCCCTTAGAGCACGCTAGGTAAAGGAGACCGAACGAAAGGAAGAACAAAACGTTCAGCCAGCCGACCGACTCCCAAGCAATGCTCAAGGTATGAAGGACCTGTTTATCTTCGCAAATTGACTAATTGGCACGCCATTGAATGAATCGTGACAACTTAAAGTAGTGCGATGGTCAATATGGAACAAGAAACATACAAAAGATAAGCGCTCCTAGCTATCCTTTTTGGATGGTCCTTGGGTGTCGCTAGACGAGGGAGCCTGTTCGTCCTCGTCCTCATCATCAGGTAACGGGACGTCCATGACGCGTTCCCCTGCCTTTTCCAAAGTCCTTCGGCTCCAGCTTCTTACACCCTTATAAACAGCCTACGATTTGTTAGTGACAGAAAAGGCACAAGGCGTGAGCTAGCTTACCGCAAGGAAAGTCAGAACACCAAGCGCAATCATAATCCAGCTTATGGAAGCCGCTCGATTCCTGCCGGAGTTTCTTCCGTTGAGAGTCGAGCTGCGTACCCATATCTGCCATGATAATGACCCCAGGAGTGTCTTGATTAAAGACAGGACCCCCAATGACGTAAACCCCTTCGCAAAGTGTTCTATCCAAGTGTAACTTGGAGCATCTTGCCTAGCATCACTGCCAAGGCTGGACTCCCAATATTCGACATGATATATGGTGTCCACGGGATCCACGTAAAGGTTGATGATTGGGTCAGCAACGAAACCAAGCAAGAAGACAGTGAGCACTAAAATTCCCAAGGTCAATGTAATTTGGGTCATGGCGCTACTGATCCAACGCGACCACCTCAGACGTTCCAAACGATACTGGAACCCACAAGTCGGGCACTGCCAGTAGTTCCTCTTAGCGTAGCCCGGGTCTGCGTGCCGCCACGATTGAAGACAACCCTCATGAACATATCGCGAGGACCCCTTGCATCTGCAGGGTCGAAGAAGCCGACCAGATTCCGGATCGGAGGACTCATATACCACCCGCGGCTTAGGCTGAAGGAATCCCGGCAGGTTCTCAGAGGGGGGATGAAAGGTCGGGTAGACGGTCTCCAAGCAGATGCGGCATTCACGGGGTCCGTAGTGCTTTCTAAAACTGTCCGGGTTCGCAGTATCGCTTGTCTCTGCGGGGTCGGGGGGAGGATCAGAAGTCCGAGGGCTTTCTGAGCTCGAGGGAGCAGAGGAGCTTGACGGCCACTGCCAGCGTGGCTCACTTTGCAAGTCCATTTTGTGCCTGCACGGTCAAGTAATTATAATGTCACAACATAGCAAGTCAGGATTGAGCACAGGTCGGTCATTGAGCTCTAGCAGCTGTTTTCAAACAGTCACCGAGCACGGAGGGAAGCGAAGAAAGTGAACTGAAGCTGGGAAAATTTCATGGTGGAAGTGGAGAGACGAGAATGGAACTGCGCTAATTTGCTTAGTCAGGAGCAGGGACGAGTAGCCGCTCGCCTATCGTGGCTATCGTGGCTCACCGCCCCAGGCGCGGCTTGGCACCACCTTACCTAACCAGAGGTACTGCGTCAACGCCCGGTCGCCAGTGCCAGAGCGCAGCTTCACTCCAAACTCCCTCAGGCCTCATCTCTATTTGTGTTGGTTGTTCTTACTGAACTTCTTTTTTATTTCTTATCACGTATTAAGCTAGTGGAGGCCGTGAGTTGTCTCGATGGCGGACCGTTACTCGTTCTCGTTGACCACCTTCTCGCCCAGGTAAGATGAGCTCCCGGATCATCTGGAGGTGGGCATCTGCTAACGATACTTTGCAGCGGGAAGCTGGTGCAGATTGGTAATTCACCGTTTGTGTTGTCGTCATTGTAATACAGCTGCTCATTGTGTCCAGAATATGCCTTGAACGCCGTCAACCAGGGTGTCACTGCTATCGGAATCAAAGGTATTATAACATTTAGCTCATCGGGAGAGCTTGAGATAGCTAACATCAGTGCGTTGGGTTTTCACAGCAACGAACGGAATTGTGCTTGCTACCGAAAAGAAGTCATCATCGCCGCTCATTGATCCTCCTTCCCTCTCCAAGATTTCCTTGATCACACCGGACATTGGCATGGTCTATGCGGGAATGGGTCCCGACTACCGTGTTCTTGTTGATAAGGCACGGAAGGTTTCCCACACTGCTTACAAGCGGATCTACAACGAATACCCCCCGACTCGGATTCTCGTGCAAGATGTCGCCCGTGTCGTGCAAGAAGCAACACAGTCTGGTGGTGTCAGGCCATACGGTGTTAGCTTGTTGATTGCAGGATGGGATGAGGGTGTTGAGCCCAACACAGGAGAGGCTCAGCGGGGTGACGATGAAGATGATGTCAAGAAGGCGACTGGCCAGACCGGGGGTATTCTCAAGGGCGGCCCAAGCTTGTATCAGGTTGACCCCAGCGGTAGTTACTATCCCTGGAAGGCGACGGCCATTGGCAAGCACGCAACCAGCGCAAAAACATTCCTTGAGAAGCGGTACACCGAAGAGCTGGAGCTTGAAGACGCCATTCATATTGCTCTGCTGACTCTGAAGGAGAGCATTGAGGGTGAAATGAACGGTGACACAATAGAGCTCGGTAAGTTGCACCTAATGTACAGTGCGTTCGTGTTTCAAGCCACGTGCTAACCTTGTTTTTCTCAGGCATTGTTGGTGACCCTGCCGATAGCCTGCTGGGCTACGAAGGTGTTGAGGGGGCCCGGGGACCGCGGTTTAGGAAGTTGACGAAGGAGCAGATTGAGGATTATCTCAGCCATCTATGATTGATGATGCCTATTGTTGTGCCTTGTAGTATAAATAGACCATTGTTGAGTCTGGCAAGGTTCCACCAAGTAATCAACTGCGATGAATGACCATAGCAGTGCGACTTGACTTAGGGCGGGTTTGACATTCACCACAGAATGAAATGACGCTTGGTCTGAATGATAATGATTATTGCAGTCTTTTGTTGTAAATTCAATATGTACATCTTTTTGGCTGGAACATGTCAGGTCCAATGGTCTCATCCCGGGCCGCATCTTATTCTGGCCTGAGTGTGACAGCTCACAGGCCAAACATGCCGATTTGAAACAGATCAGGTGCTGATCTTATTTACTTTTTCTCCTTGATCTCGACAAATGTCACCTGTTGTGTGATTGTATCACCATTCTTTTAAACATGAAAAGCATCTGTTGACCTCCTTCGCCCTTTGCCCCTTTGCCCATCAATATTTACAAAATATGCCCCTGCCTACTCTTTCTTCTTGACAGGATAGTACCTTGAAAGCACCACTGGCAATGACCCCCCCAAACCCCATCAATGAAATAACCGGCTCCCTCTACCATTACGCCCCGGGATACAAAATCCTACTATCAACGTTCATCGCCATCTCTTGGTACAATGCCACCGAGCTCCTCATCCTCATCTTCTGCACCTTCCGCCGCTACCGCGGCCTCTACTTCTGGAGCCTGCTAGTCTCATCCTGTCTAGGGGTCACCCCATACTCACTGGGGTTTCTCTTCAAGTTCTTCTCCACGTACAGCCCATTCCTCGGCGTATCGCTACTGACGGTTGGATGGTGGTGCATGGTAACAGGGCAGTCGATGGTGCTGTATTCGCGGCTGCATCTGGTCGTCCGGGACGAACGGCTGCTGCGGAAAGTGCTGATTATGATCTGGGTGAATTTCGTGGTTCTGCATATCCCCACCACGGTGCTTACATATGGGTCGAATGCGCAGAATGTGCGGTCGGGAGAGTTTGTGCGAGGATATAATATCATGGAGAAGATTCAGATGACTGGGTTCACAGTGCAGGAGTTGATCATCTCGGGGATTTATATCTGGGAAACGATTCGGTTGCTGAAGTTGGGGTGGGATGAGAATAAACGGAGGATTATGCATCGGCTTGTTGGGATTAATGTTGTCATGCTGCTTTTGGATTTGATTCTTTTGGCGCTGGAGTATGCGAATCAGTATGCATTGCAGATCACACTCAAGGGCATGTTTTATAGTATCAAGTTGAAGCTTGAATTTGCTGTGTTGGGTAAGTTGGTTGATGTTGTTTGTGGTGAGCGGCTGCCTACGCAGTTGGTTTTTGAGGAGCCGGGGTTGCCGTTGAACCCGGTGGGCACTTCTGTTGCATCGTCCAGTCATCTGCTCGATGCTAGGCCGGTTCATACCCCGGAGTCGACGGCGCAAACGGTACGGCAGGGTGTGTCGAGTGGCAAGAATTCGAGCCTGGAGCAGATTTCTACCTGGGTAGAGAGGCAGCGGCAGAATGATTCATGAGCTGTATCATAGCGAACAGGATATCAAACTTCAGCGTACCAAAAAAAGGCGTTGATGTAATAACACAATAATCCAAAACAAACCAAAAGGAACAAGTTATTGTTTCTCTGATTGGAGCAGGGCAACATCGTCCTCGGCCCATCCATAGTCCTCATCGGAGTCATCTTCGTCATCCTCGCTGTCCGCGATTTCATCAACTTTTCGCTTTCTTTGGCTTGCTGGCTGGCCGGCCAGTTGACTAGGTTGACTAGGCGTTTGACTTGGTTCGCCGGGTTGGTTCGCCGGTTGACTTGCCGGCTGGGTTGGAAGCTCGCGTGATTCTGCTACCTGCGGGGTAGCACTGGGGGGTTGTTTCTTTTCTATCCCACGAAGGCCATCCTGCATCACAATCAGTTGGCTGCGGCAGCATATATCCGAAGAGAACTCACCAACTCAGTAACAAACGGAACAATGTTCTCCTCCAACCTCGACGCCAAAATTCTCCCTGACCGTTTCATAACCTCTGCGAAGCGTGCATTAACCAAAACAGGCAAATCCCCGTCCACCACAGCATAAAAATCGCGGTACAGCACAATTCTCGTAGAGATACAATTCTCCCATGCTCCACCCGACAACACAGGACAGAGCGTCGCACGCGGCTGACCCTTGATCTTAGTATGTGTCTGGTTAATAGCAAGCACCGCCAATCGGTGAGTAGTGGCTAATTTCATTAATTGGTTGGCTAGATCGCTTGCCACGTTCCAACGCCGGTTCATGAGCCATTGGATTTTTGATTTGTCGGTGATGTCTGATTGGGCAAAATGGGCTCGTAGTTCTGTTGGGTTGGGAAAGTAGGAGGGGAACGGGCCTGATATTGAGTCGATTACCAGGAGTGAGGTGCCGTCGGGGGGAAATGCTTTGGGTGGACGGAATAGTAATGCGAGGAGATGTGGGAGGGATTTGGTGCGGAAGTAAAGTAGGTTTTGGATCAGGTCTTCTAACTTGTCGCCTTCACGGGATTCCAAGGCCTGCCGGAGCATCTTCCTGACACGCGGTCTTGGTAGAGGAGACATGGTATCTGTAGTATGTTAACAGGGGAGCTAGACCAGTCATCGCACTGCATACCAATCCAGACCACTTTCCGTCCATCCAAAAGGGCATTGACAGCCGTATTCAATCTACAGTCATGTTAGATAACACTTCCATATCAGAAGGAGCAGACCTACGCCAACGACGTCTTCCCCACGCCAGGAGGCCCATACACCTCCGTAACCTGACCGCAGCATATCCCTTTGGGAGTATAAGTGTTCGACCCGAGAGCATCCTCCCTAGAAGGTGGGCAGAGGGCCCCATCGAGTCTCGATAAACCTGTTGAAATCGCGCTCGCAGTGGCAGACGCGCCGCCGGTCGACGCGTGTAGAGATTGCGATGCCGAAATGGGAATTACGCGATCTGCTGCTGTTATAATACATTCACGATGTTTTTTATTAGGTGGAATTGCGACTTACGAGTTTCCTCACTGGCAAGCCCCAAAATATCATGTTGGCTCATGATGGCAGACGACGTGACGACCGGTTGGGAGAGCTCAGATATTGTTCACGACTTCATTGCAGTCCCAGCAGCCTCATATTAGTTCTGCAACATCTGGTCAAGACCTTATGCTGCTGGCACCTCGCGTCGGTGCCTTCGTAGTTGTGAGAATAACGCGAAGCCGAGAGTCCCAAAAAGGAAATGCGGATCCTCCGATTCCGCTCCGAAGCTTTATGCATTAAATTGGCATTTTCTTCTTTTTTTTTTTTTTAAGCATATAACGTCAATTATACTTTCTAATATTTATTGAAGCCGGATTGTATAGTGCAAGCGGTGAAGATGTTCGACATACTTCCCAAATTCCAGGATGCTGCACTCATCACAATCCTATGTATACTCCCACTCCTCATCCTCAACCACAACCTACACCAACAAAAACAAAAACAACCACAAGGTTGCCGGAAATTAAACCTCCCCCCAGAAAAAAGCAACCTCCACGACGAACACTCCCCCAAATACGCCCAGGGCGTCCCAGAAACGCACCACGACCCCAACGGCAAGCCTTCATGGCGCATCAAAGCTCTATTCACATATCCGATCAAGAGCTGCGCTGGCGTCGAATTGAATGTATCTGATGTTGTGCCTACGGGTTTGAAGTATGACAGACAATTCTGTTTTGCGGAGTATGTTGTGCCTAAGCAGCAGGATGCTGAACCGTATTGGACGGCGAGGACGCTTCGTGATAAGCGGTTTGAGAGAATGGCATTGATTAGGTCGGAGGTTTGGGTGCCTGATTCTAGGGTTGGGAGTTATGCGCCGGATTTGGATGAGGTGAAATCTGAGGGTGTGATGGTTATCTCCTACCCGCGGACATTCTCTGGTGCCATGTCTTTCCTGGGGGAACTGGGAATAGCATTGGGCGTCATATCCAAAGAGCACTCCTTCCAAATTCCCCTCTCACCACCCCCAGACAACCTCTCATCGTACCCTAACACCCCCGTCAAAATCTGGAAAGACTTCCCCATGGCCTACAACTACGCCCACCACCTCCCCTCCTCTCTCTATGACTACCTGGGCTTTGACTCGGGCTCACAACTAACCCTCTTCCGTGTAAATCCCTCTCACCACCGCGAAATCTTCCGCTGCGCACCCCCAAAGCAAACCCTAGGCTTCCAAACGGTCACCGGCTTCGCAGACGCTTACCCAATCCACCTCCTTAGCCTGTCCAGCGTGCGAGATGTAGGCTCGCGCTGTGCTGATATCCCGCGGCTGAGTATTCGGCGGTTTCGCGCGAATATCATCGTTCAAGGTCCGGGGGCTTTTGAGGAGGATCACTGGAAGAGGATTGGGATTGGTGGTGCGGGTGGTGGTGTTGAGATTCACACGGTCTGTCGCACGGTGAGGTGTCGGTTGCCGAATGTTGATCCGGATACTGGGGTCAAGCATCCTAGTGAGCCGGACCGGACGCTGAGGGGATATCGGAGGATTGATCCGGGGTGTTTGACGTATGCTTGTTTGGGGATGCAGCTTGTCCCGGCTGTGGAGAGTAGTTCTTCCGCTTCTGTGTTTGGTGAATTGCTGGCTGACCATATGATAGGGTTTAGGATTTCGGTGGATGATCCAATTTCCGTGCTAGAGACCGGGGAGCACTTTTATATTAAGATGTTGGCGCCGGGGGAGAGGGTTCCCGGAGAATAGGTATGTACACTACTGTTTCATACTAGTTAACTAGTTATTTAACTAACTTAACAGACTCATGCTGACATAACGTGACAGGGTATTCATTGTATATATCCAATGCAAAATTTTATCTATACAGCAACAGAACTAGAAGTCTCCGGTTCCGCTTTACTTCTCGACGGCTCAGACTCGTTCTTATTCTCCTGGCTGATTGGAGCTTGCATCTGGGCGTTCATGATGGCCATCTCTTCGTCTAGATTTTCGGGTAGGATGAGGTTCAACACCAATCCGATCAACGCGGTGATCGCGAAGCCGTTCTCCATGACTAGGTCTATCGCATCGAGAAGGCCTGTCAGGCCGTGGTTGTCGCCGCTGTATGTAAAGACGTACGAGAACCAGTCCGGTACCAAAGTGGCAGCCATACCGATGGCAAAAGAAGCAGTGAGGATGAAGCGATTGCGTCGGGTGAACGGCACAGAGGAGATGATACGAATGCCAGAGACAGCAACCGACGAGAAGAGGAAAGTCGTCATACCACCGAAAACTGGACTTGGAATGGCCACAAGGGCAGCAGCGAACTTGGCGAAAATGCCCATGATCAGCAGGAAGAAGCAACAACAGTACCCGGCTTTGCGGTTGGCGCATTTTGTTAACGCGATGACGCCGTTGTTCTGCGCGAAGACGGACATGGGTGTGAGTGTGCATAGGCCGGCCAGGAGACAGGTGATACCATTACCCAGGATACCGCCTTGGATGCGAGAGTCAAATTCGGGGCCTTCGACTTCGCAGCGGGAGACGTCGCAGGTAGCTGTGATGTCGCCGATGGATTCCATCATGACGACGATGTATACAGCCAACAATGGTAATATCAGCGGCGGATAAATGGTGAGAGGGAACGTCTTGACCCATATGAACGAGGCGACTGGGGCGGCGTCGATTCCAGACCGATCAAAGTACCCGCAGGCACCTGCGACAATGCATCCGACTAGGAGTCCGATGATGACGGCGCAGGATTTCATGATAGGCGCACCAAACCGCTCACAGATGATGATGGTGACAAAGACCAAGAACCCCAGACCGATGAACTCGGCACTGCCCCAGGGAAGAGCATGTGGAGCATCTGCACTGGGACACAGAGCACGACTGGCCGGATCATTTCCACAGCTCCCTGAACCACCAGCCCAATCTTTCATACCAGTTTCCAGGAGCGAGGCACCGATCAAAAGGACGGTAGGGCCAGTGACAAGCGGCGGAAAGAGGCGTTTCAATACTTTGCTACTCAGGAAGGACAGGCCGATTTCGAGCAACGAGCACAGACATGATGTACCCAGCAGTGCGCCGTATCCACGTGGACATGGCAGACGATTTCCTTCGGCATCGACAGGACAATATCCCGATGAGTACATCTGGCTGAACGTACCGCTGGCAACAGTGATAGTCGCAAATGAGCATCCCACCACGGAAATCAACCCAGTTCCAACAAAGTATTTTGTCCTCCATATATGCATCCGCGTCATCTGAATCAGGGACAGCAGCCCAGACGTAATGAGCGAAGTCGACACGAGATATTGATACGTTTCGGTCCCGAAGTTCGCACCCGACGAACCCCCCAGCAGGATAGGAGGCGAGATAACCCCAGCCAACATGGCCAGGGTATGTTGCAGGCCCAACAGCAAAGCCAAGAGAACAGGGACTTGATCATCGAGACCGAAAAAGGGAGCCGACTGTTGGGACTTTTTGGTAAAAGGGATGCGAGGAGTAAAGAGGTAGGCGTAGTCATAGTCGCCGACGATGCCTTCGCGAGTGGTGAATGCCTTGAGGATGCGTCTGGCGCGGTTTGGCCAGGAACGTCTGGGATAGTGATCGAGATCCATGATTGATATTTTCTGGATCAAGAACTGGCGGGGAGACTGGGAGCCCGTGGTTTATATACATACCTGCAATTGGCATACACTGCCCACTGTGCTATACTATAGCAAAGAGTTCCTACATAGATACTCAGGATAAATACATAAAGCGATCGAATACGGCGGTGTAATCAGATAAGCGGATGGCCTTATCAGCGGATTCCTCCGGGATCGCGCGTGACGGGGCGCGGGGTTCCGAGGTCCTAGTCTGTACTCTGTACAGATCTAGACAGTTGCTTACTTTTGCTTGAGTGTGGGATGTGTACTCCATACTCCGTAGCACATACTTGTGGCATTCCGGGGAAACATGCTGGTTTTGGATAACTCTGCGGGGATACCCTCCACAAGTCTTAGTAAAAAGAATAAATAAGCGTAGCCAATGAGGCCTGCTTACCCGTAGACTCGAAAGTCATGTATGGTTCCTGCATAGTGTAGTACAATATCCTATCATCCTATAGAGAGTATCCTCGCGGAGTACTCCGGAGTCCAATACATACTCAACAATGCCGGAACCCGTATTTTGGGATATCTTTTATCGATAAGGCTGGTGAGATCACCGCCCTTCCTAAAATGGAAACGGCCGAGTGGCCAACGCGGCAGAAGAGCCACCAATCAAGATTGATGAGTTGAGAGACCGCCTTCTGCGGCCGAAAGCGTTGGGGACCCAACGGATCCCCGGCGGGCCAATCAGGGGCTGTGCTGCAAGGGCCTGAATAACCTCATGGTGAGGGATTCCATACAAAAATGATTAGAATATCCTCGGATCCCTGATTCTGGCTGCTCGACCACCGAGTATATAATTCGCCACTGTCACTCTCTTCTTCTTGTGTCAATTACTTGTGGATGTGGTGTTGGTGTGGCATATAAATCCGGATTTCACAGGTCTCCTCCGCTATAGATCCCCAACCGTCCGCCGTGTTCAGTCAGTCCCCACCAGTCAATCCTTTATCCTCCACTTTTCTTCTACTTTTCTTCTACTCTTCTCCTCGTCTTCTCTTCTCTCTCTTCGATTGTCCACCACCATCTTTGGCATTGAGAGTAAAGATATCTTAACAGGTGTCTCATCCGTCACCATGTCGGCCAAGGTAGACACCCGCCCTAAGGCTACCGACTCCAAGAAGGTCCATATCGCCGATACACCTTTGACTCGCCAGAACTGGTACAAGCATGTCAACTGGTTGAACGTCTTCCTCATCTTGGGAATTCCGGTCTATGGCTGTATTCAGGCTTTCTGGGTGCCATTGCAGCTCAAGACTGCCATCTGGGCTGTCACCTACTACTTTTTCACCGGTCTCGGAATCACTGCTGGTATGTTGTTCGAAACTCACTCTTGAATTAGCCATCCTAACTGACAATCCAGGATACCACCGTCTCTGGGCTCACTGCTCCTACTCCGCTACCCTTCCGCTCCGTATCTGGCTCGCCGCCGTTGGAGGTGGTGCCGTCGAGGGCTCCATCCGTTGGTGGGCTCGTGACCACCGCGCTCACCACCGTTATACCGACACCGACAAGGACCCCTACTCGGTCCGCAAGGGTCTCCTCTACTCCCACTTGGGATGGATGGTCATGAAGCAGAACCCCAAGCGCATTGGCCGTACCGATATCACCGACTTGAACGAAGACCCCGTCGTTGTGTGGCAACACCGCAACTACCTCAAGGTCGTTTTCGGGATGGGTCTGGCTGTTCCCATGCTGGTTGCTGGTCTCGGTTGGGGTGACTGGTGGGGTGGCTTTGTCTATGCTGGTATCCTCCGCATTTTCTTCGTCCAGCAGGCTACCTTCTGCGTCAACTCCCTTGCCCACTGGCTGGGTGAGCAACCCTTTGACGACCGCAACTCCCCCCGTGACCATGTGATCACTGCCTTTGCCACCCTCGGCGAAGGCTACCACAACTTCCACCACGAATTCCCCTCCGACTACCGCAACGCCATTGAGTGGCACCAGTATGACCCCACAAAGTGGACCATCTGGATTTGCAAGTCGTTGGGTCTGGCCTATGACCTCAAGAAGTTCCGCTCCAACGAGATTGAGAAGGGCCGTCTGCAGCAGTTGCAGAAGAAGATTGACCAGAAGCGTTCCAGACTCGACTGGGGTGTTCCTCTGGACCAGCTCCCTGTTCTCGAGTGGGATGACTATGTCGAGCAGGCCAAGAGCGGCCGTGGCCTCGTTGCCATTGCCGGTGTTGTACACGACGTGACTGATTTCATCAAGGACCACCCCGGTGGCAAGGCCATGATCAACTCCGGTATTGGCAAGGACGCTACCGCCATGTTCAACGGTGGTGTCTACTACCACTCCAACGCCGCCCACAACCTGCTCTCCACCATGCGGGTAGGTGTGATCCGCGGTGGCTGCGAAGTCGAGATCTGGAAGCGCGCTCAAAAGGAGAGCAGCGACTATGTCCGGGATGCTACCGGACAGCGTATTGTCCGGGCTGGCGAGCAGGTGACCAAGATCCCTGAGCCCATTCCCACGGCCGATGCCGCATGATTTCGTTATCTCATCTATATATATGTGACGATTTTATCTTCACGATCCCTTGTATCATTGTTTGTTTGCACTCATGGCGTGTTTGTGTATTGGGATGGAGTTTCATTCGGCGTTGGTTGGCACATAACGATTGAGAAAACGCATGTTCGGACACTGTCCCAAAAAAGCCGTGGATTAGATAGTTAATCTTGATGACGCTACGTATATGACCTTTTTTTACAATCTCCGTACTCTGTATTCTGTAGACTGGGATGAAACTGTAGAAAACGGAAGAAGTCCATCGAGCGGAGTTCAGTGGGTCGAAGAGCAACGGAGAGCAACATTTCGACCCGACATCCACTGTAGTATCAGTCAGGATCTAACCTCCGACACCCTCATCCTCTTGCACGACGAAACTGCCACGTATTACTCCGTACATAATACACGACTACCCCGCATCCATCACCATTCGCTCTCGTCTACTCATTCACGCCCTCGTTCTACTCGTGGGCATTCTCCTCGTCACCGTGGCTCCCCCGCTCCGACTCTCCTCCCCCACCACTCGTCTATCCTCCATCTGGAGCCATATCCGTGGCTCTCGAGTATCAACCACAACCTCCCCAGCTCTAACCAACCTCCGCCGTCTCCTAACAACCTCCACCATGGCCCCCGACCACCTCCGCAAACCACCGCAAGCCCCTCCCATCTTTACCGCAACCGCCCAGTCCATCGTCGACGATGCAAAGCGCCTTATCGAATCCTCCCGCAAAGTCCAGGATGACGTCGTCGCAAAGGTCTCCCCAGACTCGGCCACTTTCGCCTCGGTCATGAAGCCGCTCGCCCAGGATGAGAATGTCATGGCCCTCGAGTCGCACATTCTCGGCTTCTACCAGGCTGTTTCGACTGAGCAGCAGTTGAGGGATGCTTCGTCCAAGGCCGAGGAGTTGATGGATGAGTTTTTCATTGAGACTGTTATGCGTGAAGATGTGTTTAAGTTGGTTGATGCGGCGTTGAAGAAGGGTGAGGCTCTCGATCCTGAGTCGAGAAGGTTGCTGGAGAAGGAGCACAAGGATTATATCCGTAATGGATTGGGTCTTCCGGCTGGTGAGAAGAGGGATCGGTTCAAGGAGATTAAGAAGCGTCTGAGCCAGATTAGCATTGAGTTCCAGAAGAACCTCAATGAGGAGAATGGTGGTATCTGGTTTACCCGTGAGCAGCTCGACGGCGTCCCCGAGGACGTCCTCGGTGAATTGAAGAAGGGCGAGGGTGAGAATGAAGGCAAGCTCCGGCTAACCTTCAAGTACCCCGATCTCTTCCCTACGATGAAGTACGCGAAGAACGCCGAGGTCCGGAAGCAGGTGATGATCGCCAACGAGAACAAGTGCAACCAGAACGCCCCTCTGTTCCGGGAAGCCGTTGTCCTCCGTGACGAGGCTGCTCGTCTCCTGGGCTATCCCAACCATGCGGCCTTCCGCATCGAGGACAAGATGGCCAAGACCCCGCAGACCGTCAACACCTTCCTGGGCGACCTGCGCACCCGTCTGGCTGGCGGTGGCCAGAAGGAGATCAATGGGCTTCTGGCTCTGAAGAAGGCTGATTACGAGGCTCGGGGTGAATCGTTCGATGGTCGCTACTACCTGTGGGACCATCGGTTCTACGACCGTCTCATGCTGGAGCAGCAGTACTCGCTGGACCAGCAGCAGATTGCCGAGTACTTCCCGCTGCAGACTACTATTGCGGGTATGCTCAAGATCTTCGAGGAGCTGTTCGGACTCGAGTTCGTCGAGATCACTGGCGAAGACCGTGCCCAGATTGCTCCCACAGGCAAGGGCAACGACATCGTGTGGCACGAGGACGTGCAAATCTTCAGTGTCTGGAACGACAAGGGTGAAGGCAGCGGCTTTGTCGGCTACCTGTACCTGGACCTCTTCCCCCGCGACGGCAAATACGGCCACGCCGCCAACTTCAACCTGCAGCCGGGTTACATCGACGCCAACGGCAACCGCCGCTACCCGGCCACAGCCCTAGTCTGCAACTTCACCAAGCCCAGTGCCAAAAAGCCCAGCCTCCTCAAGCATGACGAAGTCGTCACGCTCTTCCACGAACTCGGCCATGGTATCCACGATCTCGTCTCCAAGACAATCTGGTCGCGCTTCCACGGCACAAACACCGTCCGTGACTTCGTCGAAGCTCCCTCCCAGATGCTCGAGAACTGGTGCTGGACCCCTTCGCAGCTCAAATCCCTGAGCAAGCACTACTCCACCCTCTCCCCAGAATACAAAGCCGGCTGGCAGGAAGCGGCGTCCACTTCCACCGAAGCACCGGAGCAAATCCCCGACGACATCATCGCCAACCTCATCCGCACCAAACACGTCAACGACGCGCTCTTCAACCTGAGACAACTTCACTTCGGCATCTTCGACATGACCATCCACGAACCCTCTTCCCACGAATACATTCAGAAACTACCCATCTCAACAACCTACAACACCCTCCGCAAACAAATCACCCTCATGGACGGGCCCGAGGCCATCGGCCTTGGCGATGAATGGGGTCACGGCGAAGCGACCTTTGGCCATCTCATCGGTGGGTATGATGCTGGTTACTATGGATACTTGAGTTCGCAGGTATACTCGACGGATATGTTCTATACGATCTTCAAGGATGAGCCAATGGATAAGGCTGCTGGTAGACGGTATAGATACACGGTGCTGGAGAAGGGTGGGAGTCAGGATGAGATGAAGACGTTGACGGAGTTTTTGGGGAGGGAGCCTAAGACGGATGCGTTTTACAAGGATATGGGGTTGGCTTAGGCCTGTCCTTGGCCCCTGTATCTAGACTGAGCTACGGTCCCTTGGTCGCAACACGAATATTGTAGTAGTGTCAGGCTAGTTGTAGAGAGCTATCGATAAGCTCACCGCCTAGCAGCCTCAAGCAAAATAAGATATGACAATCGAACAAGCATCCATACCATATTCAATTCTATTCAATCCTCTAACCTGTTATCACGACGATACAGACAACACGCACACAATGTCCGACTCCCATCCCCCCACTACTCAAGACCAAACCCCTCTCCTTTCGCAAGATCAAACCGAAAATTTCACCAACCTCGAAGAAAACAAGCCCCTCCCGATAAAAACCCACCACTGCCGCTTCTGCAACCACCTCCTCCTCGCGACAACACGTTCCTTATCTTTGTTGCCCCGCCGAAAAGATCCCGCCCGCGACGCCGCGCTAATCCTCCCACTCCCGAAATCGACTACCAATGACGACGAAGATGAAACGGACCAGAATCGTGGAACGAAAGGGGTGAAGCATTACTCCATCCTGCTTAGTACGAGTATACCGGACCGCAAGGCGACGCTGGTACGGCGCGAGGATGGGTTCGAGAAGAGGTTGTTTCTGCGGTGTGGGCGGTGTCGGGTTGTTGTTGGGTATTTTTTGGACGATGTGCACTTTCTAGGACATACAGATGATAAGGGAGCTGGTGAAGGGGGAGGGGCGAAGGTAGTGTATTTACTACCTGGGGGACTGGTGGAAACCGGTGCCATGGGCGATGAAGATAAAGTGAAGGCTATGGACCAGGAATGGAGTGGGTGGGAATGATTATTGCTACGAGGATAATAAACGATAAACCATTGAATGCATTATGTCCTATACTCCGTAGCTCGTGTGGGTATCATAAATCAGTTGGCCAGGATAGTGCGAACGAGGTCTGTCGCGTTGCAGTTAGCGATGCTCGTCTCGGCCCAAAGCGGAGTAAACGTACCGGTATAGTTAATCTCTCCCGAACTAGTATCAACCGCCTTGAGCAGCTCATCGACCTCTTCGTCCGACATTTTCTCTCCGAGGTTTGTGAGAACTGCGCGTATTAGCACCGATCGCCTTTACCTTCCAGGGATGGAGAGAGGGGACGCACTGTAACGAAGTTGTCCCACACCAATAAACCCAGTCAGATCCTTATCAAACACCTGGAAACCCCGACAGTATTCCTCCGGCTCGCCAGGGTCGCGGAAGCCACCGGGACGACTCAGCACCTTTGAGAACGCATCGAAGTCGACTGCCGCCCACCATCATCCGTTAGCCCATACTCTCATCACTAGTATAAACAGCGCAATCTGGATAGTTTGGAGACGTACAATCACCACCAATGCCCTTCTCCAACTCAGCAATCTCTGCCAAGGTCGGGTTCTGGCCACAAGCGCGGAGCAGATCGCCGAGCGACTCGAGGGCGACTTTGCCGGTGCCGCGCTTGTCGAAGAGCGAAAAGGCTTCTTTGTAGTTGGTGGAGGACTGGTCTTCTTGTGAGGACATTTTCTTCTTCTCGTGGAGTAGATTCGATGATTTGATGTTGGTGGTGGAGGTGGAGGTGGACGGATGAGGTTGTGATGAGGAAACAGAGGTGGTGGTGACAGGGAACGGAACAGGGAAAGGAACATAACAGAACCAGGGATACGGGAGCAACCAAAAACAATGCAGGAGCGGGTGTTGAGTGTCACTGGGTAACGATGACTACTCTGCTGCTTCCTTGCGTGGTACATGGAATGCTCTCGTTCTCTGGTTCTGTTCTGTTGCATGTCATTCACTCAGGGGAACGTACCATTGTGTAAGAAAATGTAGTAGTGTAATTGAGTGGTGAAGGTAGGTAGTATCAACAGAGACTGAATATCAAGACAGCAATTGACCAATTCCACAGGACAGTGATAGGACAGTGATAGTAAGAACAGAGAGAAGAGAAAAGGACAGCGATAGTCGAGTTATCAGATAAACCAAGTGGGCTGCCGTTGGGGGGGAAACGCTTTGTTGATCTACAGCCTCAACTCGGCCTCAGGCATACAATACATGACTTACTAGTAGACATTACTCGGGCACAGAATACAGACATCGTAATCTCATCATTACTTAAGATATATAGTACAGGTACAGGTATAGAAATAAATAATAATACATCCAAGAATCAAACTGTCCGGCTGTCCGGAGCACCTTAAACACTGCTCAATTTTCCAACACAACACCCAACCAGCTCTCCCGCCTCCTGGATCAACTCCCACCGACTGTCCACGAAACTGTCCCGCAGAATCATCAACAGTCCCAAACATTGGTTCCGTCCGCCCATGTGCTGCAGCTCATTCGGATCCCGCGCGCCACCGATCCGGCGTAGGAATGAGTGCATGTCGGCTGCTTGCTCCGCTTTAGTGCTCAGTGAAACTGGTCCCAGCGGACCGTCCAGCGCGTAGCCGTAGGACCACACCACCAAGGCTGCCATGTAAAGCACCCAAGGACGGTTGAGGAGGTAGTCGTCGCGGGCGGAATATGTGGAAGTAACCTCGTTGGACCAGAAGGTCGAGGTTTGTTCGGGAAGGAGACACTTGGAAAGAATCTTTAGAGCGTAAAATGTTGCATCCCGTGCGGAAGCTTTGGCTGCCCAGCTTGTCATCTTTTCGCCCGCGGCGCTGTGGTCCCGCGCTGTGATGGACCGGCCGAGGAGGCGTCCAGCACCTGCAAAGATCTGGCAGTCAACAATGTCCACGTGTGAGGCCATATGTGCCAGGGCGTGCAGTGCATCCCGTGAATCCAGCACGGGGTCCTCCGCGCCGAGACGGTGGGCATTGTATGAGAACAGTGAGCCCTGTCCAAGGGATTCGTCGTAGTCGCGCCGCCAGTTATCGAATGCTCGCACCAGCGACGAGCGCCATTTGTCCCGGCCGCCTAGGGCGTGCGGCACTCCCAGGGAACTGACCTGCAGATCCCGCTGGTTCATGTGCCAACTGACGCTGAGAAGTCCGGACATGAGGATTGCTCGACCAAACGCGTTGGTCCGGACAGATTCACCGTTGAGTGTCTTCTTCAGCCCGTCCAGGAACAGGACAGGTCTGACGCCGTTGGCCTTCAGACTGGACTGCATCCGGGCTACTTCTGCAGAGCTATTCGCTGACCAGAGAGCCTCATCGCATGGCAAGGGCAGTCGCAACTCGTGAGCAACCATCTTGACCGAATGTCCGAACATGGTTGCGTGCGTCGAGTCCAGCACAAACGCAGCAAATGCAACCCGTCGAGTGCCTTCGGCCTTGATCCAGTTCGACCACGACTCATCAGCGACCGTCGAAGTCGACCCAGATCGTGAGTGACCGCCCTCGTGCATGTTACCACACGCATCCTTTCCAATAAGGGAGCTGCCGCGACGCATCAGAGTCAAGGTTGTGTCGTGGTGAATGTGAGCCCGCTCGTGAAGAGCCCGGGTAGAAAACCGCTTCTCGTAGACTTCCAGCAAAAGCAAAGCCTGGAAGATCCAGAGCTTCGCGGGTGGACGGAAGTCAGCGTCCATGAAAAGCTCCCATCGCAGGTGCCAGGAAATAAAATCGGCCAATTGCGCGGACGCCTCAGTCACAGACCCGTGCACTTTGTCCATCGTGGCCGCCCCGATGGCAATGATGGCTAGGAGTAGCAGGTTAGGCGTCTCGTCTGTGGCAAAAGTAGGCTGATGCAGGATGGGCAGCTGGGGGTGGAAATGGTACCAGTAAGACCCGATGTATGTCTGCATCATGCGTGGGCTGAGGACATGCTGATCATCGTCCAGGTTACCATCCATCAGCGAGTCCTTACGCTTGGCCGCCGCAGAATAGGCTGCCTCGTTGAAGCGGATGGACATCAACTGAAGCAAGTCCTGACGTTTCTCCCCCGATAGGATACCCTGTGGTGGCCCAGTGTCCAGAATACTGGTGACACTCATAGGATGCTGCTGCGTCGGCAGCATGTTGTTGACTAAAAAACCCTGGCAGCCAGGGTCGTTCACTAAAAAAGAATTCGACATTTGCATTGTGTCAAGGTATCCTGGCATCATCCCGGTTGTTGCTGGCGTTGGGGCCACGGGGGGTGGCAATGGCGCAAAGCCCCCCAGAGACGGTGAGGTTGTGGATGGAGGAGGAGTGGCCATTTGACCAGGCTCGTTGAACAGCCATGCGGCAAAGTCATCCCCCATGGCAAACGGAGACCGGTTGTAGGTCTCGCCGCCAAACATGGGGTAGGCACAGGGAGACATGGGGTCAAAACCGGCATCGCTTACTGTTGGCCCGGGAGCCATCACGCTGGACTCGAGGCCACTCAGGGTGGTCGGTGTTGGAGCGGTGGCAGTAGCCAGAGAGAGATCAGAGTAGGTGACGGGAATGGTCATACCCGGCTGGGAGTCGTAAGTCGTGGTCGGATTAAAGGAGGTTGCGTTCATATCGGGGGCCGAAAAAGGCTGGTACGAGGTAGGGATTGCTTGTGATGTGGTAGTCGTCGACACAGGAGTTTCAAACTGCTGGGGATCCTGCCCCAGATCGCTAATGGGAGTATGGGATGACGAGCGGTCACTAACCGGGCCATACGGAGGGAAAGATGCAGTGGATTGAGCGGCAGGAGAAGCTAGGGTGTAGTTGGTCGAACTCTGAGGCCGGGAGAAAGGATAGTCGGGCATGTAGTGGTAAGTTCCCAGAGGCACCGTTGATGGTGTTTGTGGGTTGCTTGTAGCGGGCAGGATGCTGGAGGAGGGCAGTGTGGTAGGAGGAGTGGTAGAGGGGACGTTGGAAGGGACCAATGGCTTTCCATGGTGAGAAGCGGCCTGAGCAAAGTGATCGCGTTTTTGCAACTGGGAACCTCTTGTGGTGTGACGTTCCCGATGGCGGATGCAGAGATCCTGACGCACAAAAGACCGGTAACAATCGGGGAAATCACACCGGTAGATTTGCTTGGGAGTGTCTGTTGGGGTTAGCGTTGTACGGAATACACCGGGGAGGGAACGTACGGTTCAATTGATGACGGTAGAGATGCTCGGCACGAGAATAACTTTTCCCGCAGCTCTCATGGCTGCAGACAAACTTCTTGTCCGTGTAGACCTTGCGAGTGCGCTTGCGCTTCTTCGCGGCGGCATCGACAGTGGGTTGTACCGGGCTCATGTCGAGGACCTTGGGTTGACCTTGTTCAAGTTGGGCCATGGCTGTAACGACGCAGGGCATATTGTATCCGGTGTTCAAGTAAAGCAAACGAAGGGCATGACCAGTCTGGCTAGATATAGTGATCTCCCCAAAGGCCGGACGGGCTGGTACTTATAGAAGTGCGTATTCTAGTATACAGGTCTAGCACGCAGACCGTGTGGGGCGATTTGCGAATGGGGGGAGGAGGCGTTGAGCAGATCCAGCAGACGAAGAGGGTCAGCCTCGCAAACCAGAATTAGACCGGAAGGAAACGAGGATTAGAGTTGGAAAAAGAAAAGAGATTGACTCGTTTAGAAACCGGAGGAATCGAGTGAGTACTCTGTAAGTGTGCCGGCAGCAGAAGAGGGGTTCGAGGATCGTGCGGGATGAAGAAAAGAAAATAACAGCACGATCAGCAGAAGAAACAAGCCACAGATAGCATCATCCGCAGAGAAGTCTGTGGAATTTTCTGATTTCCATTAGAGAAGCAAAGATGAGGTAAGGAAGTGCGAGTGGTGCCCCTGGCGCTACTGCAGAATGAACATCCATATGACGCAGAGGGGAAAAGAGAAAAAGAAAAGAAAAAGAAAAAATAGCAGAAAAAGAAAAGAATTTAACACAATTAAATACCGAATCAGATCAGATTAGATGGACCCAGAAAATCAAGACAGGCGGCAGTCGCGGTTATGGGTCGGAGCATATAACCTTGATCATTGGTACTGGACCCTACTCTGTACATAGTACGGAATACACCTACAGACTTTTTACACAGACTTTGACAGTAGAGGCAGAATTACCACATTTGTCCGAGGAACCGCCCGACAATATGCACACTCGCTAACTTTAACTGGCTCAAGTCCGCACGATGGCCGATGCTGCCCTCCGAGTGCATGTCCGTGTGGAGCGATCTGCCGTGCCAGAATAATCAATACGGGTTTACGGCATACAGTGCGCTGTGCGATATTCATTTGCCGCGGTTGGACGTCCTGGTATTAAGCTAATTCCTAGCAGTCTCGGAAAAACACCACAGCCAGTGACAGTTCGCTACGCACGTACTTCTGGCCCGAAATGACATTAAGCAAAGGAATTGGCGGCAAAAGCAATTCTCTTGCATAGAGTCTGAAACACACTAGATATACGATCATACGGTAGATTATGCTGACGTTGACAGAAGATAGAATCCACGGTTACTCAAGAGTAGTCTTCCAGAATGCTGCAATTCTTGTGCTCTTTGATTCGGATCAGCCGAGGTTTACCGAGATTATCTGATAAGATACGATTGATTGTAGATCTTTGCCTATCCTAGAGCACACACGAGCCATGGTCTAAAGTAGAATGCACTTATCTGATCAAATTGCCATAGGGAAACGGTATGGTTCAGATGTCTGTACACATAGTATGTATGTCTTACCATCAAGGTGTTTTTGCTCGCTACTAGTACTCTGTCCTCTGCACTAGTACTACTACTCCGTATGGCATCCGCAGATCAGATCAGCTATCCACGGTGATCAAACAAATTTTCTATTCTCACCCGTCTCAAGATCAATGCGCACTCAACTTACGGTGTACAAACCCACAAACCAACAGATCAATCACAGTGCCCTCTACGCGAAACCTCCTCTCGTACCTGACTATCCCGTCCATCCTCAATCCAAGCTTCGGGGATCTGCGACTCCAGTATCCAATGGCATGTAGACACAGGTGCCTGTCCCTCCGCCACTGCCGCTGCATGCTGTATGCCATCCCATCCAGAGGAAATGAGGTCAACTAGGCCCACCCGCGCTTACTTGTTCGAATCCTGCATCTGCATCCGCATCCGCATTCCTGCGTCTGTTCGCCGTACTCCAGGCTGAATACGTGGGAGTCCCGGTGCAGCCACAGTCTAATGCCTGGCCAAGATCGTCAGGAACAGTTTCACATTCACCTTCGTCTATTCTAGTAGGCTGGTAGCCTGGTGGCCTCCAGGATGCTCCCATGCATGTAAGCGTGGTGGCTGTCTCGGCCGATCTCGGAAGCGCGGTATCCTCTGCAAAAGAAAAAATGTCGTTGGCTGGGATCCACCGTTTCCCTCGAGGATGACTCTTTGCTTGACGGTTTCAGATTCTGCAGCTGGACAGAAAGAGGAAAGTGTGTTGGCAGGTGACTATTCTATGACAGCTGCGTTCATCATCGTGCATATGAGCTCAGGAACAGGTTACTTATTAGTCGATCATGGCCAATAATATATTACTTGTAATACAGTACAGACTGTAGACAGAAATAGTGTAAAGGCGCAAGCACATATTAATGATTACAAGCGAGGTGGTCCCTAATAGGATTCGTGCGAGCATTGTGTTTTGACAGGTAGCCCCCGAGTAATGACAGTATAGAAGGCACAGTATTGACATCGCATGGGCCTCATCCATTGGTCAGGTTCCTTGCTTATCCATAACCTATGTCCAATGTAAGCGATTTGCAGCAGCCGAAAAGAGCTATGGTAATTGCTTCTTCCTAAGCCCACCTGTATCTGCTTCTGGGATCTCAGATACATTCCTGCGGAAATCTCAACAAACGAGCATCTTTATTGGTGTTTGTGTCATCGATTTTATAGTAAAATATTATAGCTAGATTCTGGACATGGAAATCTAGACTCAGAACCTTGTCTGATGTCTCGCGGCTGTGGTCGGCATTCAGATTCCGCATTCAATTAACCACTTTAGGCTTCTATGGCATTATTGTGCCTTCTCGAATGTCATATCCTACAGATTTCATATAATAAAAATGAACAGGGTCTAGAGATTGAAGTGCTACCTGAGAAGAAACAATGCTACTAGAGTGTCCAATAAACAGTGAATGTCAACGTTTCAAAAATATATATTCATCACTCACCCGAGGAATATATATCTGAGCAGTATACTACACTACATAGATATTCCCGAGTCGCAATGAATCACTACGGCACCCCTTCCCTCCTCCGAAATATACGCGGTATAAACCTATTCGCTTCTACTCCGTACATATTCCGTAGTAGTATACCGAAAATACCGCGAAGAAATCCCCCGCCTCTAACTCGGAGCAAGTAGTTCTGCGGGGAGGCCAATCACCGCGCCCTGTGCGTTCCCATTCGGGTGACATGCTTGTATTATTATTCTAGGAAGAAGAATAATGCTTATGCTTAACTGGAGCATGTCTCACTTGCTGTCATCTGAGCATGCAATTTCTCTCCTCTCCGCACTCTTCTGTACACCTGCGTTGTCTTGCATGCACGGAATACAGACCTAACTGTATCTGTATCTACAAAGTCTACTCTCGCACGAGCCTGTCCTGGAGCACAAGTCAGTGTATGTCCCATGACTCCACATCGATCGTATCCTATACGCAAGCGAACCAAGAACTTTCGTCGGATTCGACACTCCATTCCGTACTACAAGTAGTCTAGTTTATACTACTCCAAATGAACTAGTGTTACTCTGTAGCCGGCAAAAGAATATCTGGAGGTGGCTTGTGAGTCCCCTTCGGGCTGTCGGACTTGTTAGCCCATAAAGAGTAGAGTGGTAAAAATAACGGCAAAAGCAAAAATCGATCAGCCCTGCAGCTCCCGATATCGGCCAGCCCCGACAGATGAATGGCTGGGATCTGTTCACGGTCGCGAGCCTTGCCGGATTCGGTTTGTTTCTTGTGGCCCGATGGAAGGGCTGTGGTAGTCATAGTAGCGGTATACAGGACTGTACTCTGTTGTTTACATGTGACGCGGCTGGTGGTTGGTATGGTTGTACAGTAGTGTACAAGTAGGTGGAGTCCGTGTCTTCTTTCCTCATACGGAGTACACACTTATTAAAAATGAATATTTCCAGCTGGCAACATGACAGGACACACACCACACCCACAACACTCCATGATTATTATCACCTTGTGCCTGAGGGAGATCATGATCTTCCTGCTTCGTTGTTTCAGATGGAATGCTGTTCCTGACTTGCCCCGTCTTGGTATGCTCTAATACATGATGATATTCTTGTTCAATGCCCCCCTCTAGCCACTAAACCGGAATCGTGTCGCCTCCAGTCGCCCCAGGCCATCGCGAGGTGCCACGTTTCGTCGCCGGTACGAATTGGTGAAATCTAATATGTTGCCTCGGATTAGTCCACGTACTGATACAAAGCGCGGCAAAAAGAAAATCAGAAAAAAAGCAATACTAACCTTGTAGCAGGACTCGAATTTTTCGTGTCTCTCCTGATTGTACCTTGTCTGCCACCCCTTTCAGCAACCGCTCCGCCTCGCCCGGCTTCATTGTACCCGCCGGAAGCATCTGGAGCGTTGATTGCAACCAAGCCCCGGTTTCTTGCGGCATGAGTTCAAACATGGTCATCAGCACTCCCGACGCATCCGCGAAGCAATCTCCAGGGAAGATGAACATCATGCCCGTCAGAACCCGCTGCGCAAGCACTTGGCCTTGCGAGGCGATCAGTTGCTTCACGGCCTCTTGCACCTCCGGCGGATTAACGTAGACTTTGCCTTCGGGGCTAGTGAATTGTGAGACGATCGGCTTATCGAACGCAAAGCTAAAGAGGTCACGGTAATAATGTAATGTGGCAATCAGCGGCTCAACCTGCTGTAGTGTAAGAGCACTCAAAGCTGCGGAGAAGATGGGCACCGCTAGAGATGACGATATGCATTCCTTGGGATAGTACCGCACGGCGTCCGACGACAGGCGGAAAAAGTCCTCGATCACTGAAACACCCCCCCTCCCCGTCAGCTAACGCGAAACCTAACCAATGATATGAACCTGGATAATGCTTACCATCTGGTAGTTGCTCTGGTGGCAAGTCATTCAGGATCCGCAGAAACGCAATGGCCTGCTGCTCATAAAACTGGAACACGGCACTACTCGTCGAATGGTCCACCAGCTCAGCCCCCTCGGAGAATTCACGAACAACTGCATCCGTAGCCCACAGGAAGCAACCCTCCCGCGAGGCCTCGAACCCATTGGCCATGCTCTGGGCCAGAGTAGGCAACAGTGGGATCATGGCCGTTCGATACGAGATGATCATGTATCGCCAGCAACGGCAAACGCGCTCCAGAATGGGGGTCGATGTCGTAAAGTTCATGACAATGGTTGTCATGATGGACAAAATCTCGCCGCAGTACTTCACAGCCGGGTTCTCCACATTCGGACCAACATACGGCTGCACGACCTGGACGAAGATGGTAATCAACTGCAGATGATCTGTGAAAGTCAGTACTTTCTTTCCTCAATAATCCTCTCTCAAAAGGGCAGAATACATACCAGCAACAGCTCGCTGTCCCTCCTCATCCTTGGCATTGTTGGCCAGGTTCATGATGCGGGCCATGATAGGGTCACAGAACATTTTCATGGACTCGTAGATCTTGTCGAGTGGCTGCACCGCAACGACTGCTGCCACACCCTCGGTCACTTCCTCCTGACTACTGGGCTTCAACTTGTCAAGAACCGACTCGTAGAATGAATGGAGTTGGGCAATGTGTCCGCCCAGGAGCTTCTGGCAGTCCGTTCCAAGGAACTTGAACGCCAATGCAGAAGCCTGGATAACCTCTTGAGAGCTGTGCTGGAAGCCCGAAATAACGTAGTTCAGTTGTGCCTCCAGCGTCTCCGGATGCTGGGCTGTCCATTCGGTGTACCGAGCCAGAGCCATGATAGCCTGGAACCGCACCTTTTCTTGATTCGGAATTTGCACAATCAACGGAATCACCTGTGCCAGGACGGTATCCTCTTCAGGGTCGACCTCCCGGCCCATCGCTCTCAAGCTGAACAGCGGTGCCTCTAATTCTTGCCAGTTCGGGACATGCTCGTTGCTAGCCTGCGAAGCGTACTTGGACACCCATTGCTGAATCAACTGATAGGACTTAGACAAGCACTCCGTGACACCAATAACCGCGCAGCAATCCTTGAGTACGTCACCCATTGCATGACGGAAGTGACGGAATTTCTCCTCTGCCTCGCGATCACCACCAAACAAGTCTGATTCACCGTCCTCAGGTCGTGGGTATTCCAGGTGTTTAACCATGATGTCGACCAATCGCGAGAAGATATCGCTGAAAGCGAGTCGTGCGTCGTTGTACCGCTCCAGGGTAACGTACTGCTTCAACTCGTACCAGAAAATGAAGGTGAGTGAGATGGCGTCGCGCTCCCAGTCCCGGGCACTGCACTCCAGAACAGCCTCCACCAGTCCGCGGAACTCGTTTGGCAAGCGGGAAATAAGAACAACCCAGGCCTCACCAGCCTCCGCAAACAATCGGGTAACACCTTTGAACGCATCCGTATCTTCAGACTCCGAGGTCTCGACAATCTTGGGCCGGAGGGCCATGATCCGGGGGTATAGGGCTTGGATAACGGAGAGCGAGTCATCGACTTCTCGAGTGTCACGGTAGAGCGTACACACACTGTCGACGGCGGCTTCGAACGACGCATCATCGTCCAGCGCCTTCATGATCACGTCCATCAACGGCGAGTCGACGATCTTCGCTGCGGGGATTTCACGCATCCACGAGGTTATACAGTCCAAGAGACGCGGGTTCGTCGATGCAGTGGCTGAAACGACAGCAACGTACTGTTAGTCCAGGATCGTTTATCGGCCAGAAAAGGAGGGACGGCCACATACGGGATGACTGGGAGTATTGGATCAACAGATGCATCACCTGATCTGCATTATCTTCCAACAACTCCTTTGTTCTCGCGATAAGGTCCTCTTCCTATGTGACGACAAAACATTAGACTATGAGCTTGCTGGCCACTCCGGCTTCCACAGATGGGGTTGGGGAGGTAGTTTCGTCTAATTTCAGATGACCGAACATACAGAGAGGTTGATTTTGCGACCTTCCGTCACTTCTTCCGGAAGGATCTTCAAAAATTCAAGCACGCAGTCACCGGCGCTCGACCCCAGTGCTGAACCAACGGTCACGAGAACATCCTTCCACTCGAGCATCTGAATCGCAAGGCTTGCCAGACACACGCATAGCTGCGTCTGGATGGGACGAGGACCCGCCGCATATGCCACCAACAAATTCAAAACCGAATCTCGCAATGCCACGACGGACTCCGAGGGCAACTGGTCCAAATCGAATACGATCTATTGCGGTCAGTGTATAGGAACCACCCCCCGCACAGGGTATATAATGCAAGATTGTGTCAAGGCCGCTTCACCTTTCCTTTCAGTGTGGTTGCTCCGAACAGCTTTGCCTCCACGGGAACATCTGGAGATTGTAACAATTCGTGGGTAATGGTCCAGGCTTCGATCTAGCATATGATTCGATGTCAGATACCGCGTTGATAGAGTTGAATAAAAAAGCTATCAGAGAAGGGAGGACTTACCGATTTCTGAAACTTTTCAAGAAACTCGTGGGCATGCGTTTTCTCGGAGCGTGAAACGTTCCCTTGCATGGTAGCGACGGCCGCCAGAACCGGCGCAAAAGCCTGTCCTGCAGCCCCTTCCTTGCTGGCCATTGTGCACTGACTGGAAGGGAAGTCGTTGGGATAGAGAAAGGTAATAAGTAGGTAAAAGAGGTGGTGATATAAGAAGAGAACCGGGGGGGTTGTTCGGGAAAGAGGGGTTCAGATGGACAGGCTTCTTCAGCACCTTATCGATAGATGGTGGTCATGAACACTCATTAATATGTGTAGAGAACTAGTTCAGACGACAGAAAAATGCGCAGGAATGGAAAGTAAAAAGAAAAAGGGTAGTATAGAACTGTATTCTTCTGCGGAAAAGATGCAGGTGGGATGTTTGGCTTGACGGCCGACCTACAGGGAAAAAAGTTGGTGAGCCGCAACGGGAGTCCGTCATCACCGCCGTCGGTCTTTCTTCCATCTTTTCAACAACCAACGCGACGTCCTCTTTGCGCACCGTGTCTTTTTTCGAGTTCTAGCTCCTTGTGATATATCGTCTTTCTTTTCGCTTTTATTACGCAGCTTCTTTTTCTCTCAGTTATCAGCCATTATGTCCGGTCGTGCAGGCGGTGGAGCTGCTCGCAAGACGTTGCTCGCGCCAATTCATTTTATCTTCAAGCTTCTCCAGCAGCGATCGACCGTTTCCATCTGGCTTTATGAGCAATTGGCATTCCGGATAGAAGGCAAGATTCGGGTAGGTCCCTAGTTTTGCTGCTATGAATGAGGAGTGGGTGAGCTAATCGCGTATAGGGATTTGACGAGTTCATGAACCTGGTTATCGACGATGCGGTGGAAGTGAGATTGGCTACGAAGACCGAAGAAGAGAAGCGGAGGCCATTGGGTATGATATTCTTTTTGTTATTCATTAGCTGCGGTGTCAGGGATGCTAATAACGCGATTACAGGCCAGATCTTGCTCAAGGGTGACAATGTGTCTCTGATCCAAGCCGTCCAATGAACGTAATCGAGAAAAGAAGACCCGAGTTTCGCTGCGATACGTTAATGTCCTTTTGCTCCTAATAATCAATTCTACGGTCTGTCGGAGGACGATCGAAACATCATATACACATAGGAAGGGAAGCTATCTACACGAAAAGAATCCGTTTTTCTGGTTGTATCAACGCTGGCGGACGAAGAACTTTCCATCACCAACAACGAGGGCATCGATAGGCCAGTCATGATGTGTAACGGGGATTTCTTCGGACAGGGGAAGCATTTGTTCCTGGAGGGCGAGGGCAACTGTGATCAAGTGGAGTCAGAGGGTGTTTTCTGTCTGTTTTTGCTCGTTTTTCTTTGATACGAATTGTTCCATACTACGGCGCAAGAGGTTTCCTTACCAAGAAAAGGCATTTTGGGTGCTCCTGCTACTGTTTTGCCGTCTGCTGCTTTAGTCGAATACCTGGTCAAAAAGTGATCATAATATCCTTTGCCGTGACCTAGACGTCGGAAGCCTTGATCGAACGCCATGCCGGGCATAACGATCAGATCCAGACCCTGGCTGTCATGCGATGTAGTCTGTTCTTCAGCAGGAAAGGTGAGGCCAGTACCGCCAAAGCAGTTCTTCTTGCCATGGACCTGATCGTTCTTGAGTGATGGAATGCCCCATTTATCTGCCTCTAGTGACTCGAACTCTTCCATGGACTCGAGAGCGAGCATGTCCATCACGGACGTCTTTGGCAGCATGGCTGGCGGCTCGACGGTGTAGATGTAAGGAATAAAGACCTCTTTACCCTTTTTCAGAGCATCTTGGACGATGCTCGTGGTAGACAGCTCGCCGGATGGCATGGATAAGTAGACTCCGATTCTCCTGGCATTCTCGTATTCCGTCAGAGAAAACAGCTTGTTTGTAGCGACTCCGGCTGTCGATGTATTAGCTTCAGCACCGTAATCAATTGGTAGTGAATGGCACACATTGGGAAGAGAGTGAGTCTGCGGGGATTCTTCGCAGTGCGTCACGTATTTTCTTACGGAGGTCCTTTTTGGCCGCTTGCAAAGGGGCTGTCATCGCGGGCGACTAAAAGGAATAGGAAAAGATATGATAGTGCATATCTGTAGCATTATTATCCTTCTGTGAGTGACTCCGAATTACCTCGCCGCTTTTACGGGATCTCACGTGATCGACGCTCCAGGATGAAATGGGTTCCGTCGGAGGTTCAGGGGAAACCGGAGGAGTCGATCATCCGACTGCACGAGGCCTATATGTAGAAGACCCAATTAAAACGAACGATTGATATACTCTCTAATGTAGCCTAGAGTACACGGGTGGTTGAGCGTTTGATGAGTGCTTTTCTATCTATATGTGGCGAACGCTGGCCATATATCGGAGGTTCGCTAGTCGGACTAACGTTATCCCTTTGATCCGACCTATCAGATCTCATCACAGGACACGCACCGTAGAGCCACATTGCAGCTGCGGTGGCATCGCGTACAGCCCAGATCAACACCACAGGGGATGAAGTCCTAGAATTAGTCTTTATTATTAGAAAAATGATATACAGTTGGGAAAGAAATAGCCTACAAGTATCTTTAGGTTCATTTCGCCACTATGGAGGCCTATAAGATCGTTGCTAAATTAGTTTCAATATATGACTTTGAGCTTGCTGATCCTAGTGGTGATTGGACTGTGCATGATAGTATGTTCCCGAGATAGTCTGGTATCAAGATTCGGATCAGAGGGAGGAAAGAAGTGGCGGTTCCGGTTTGGGAAGAGGCAGTAGATCATTGATAGACTGGTGTGTAGCTGTTATACTACCTTACTGTCTCACATATGTTGGATATGTTGCTTTCTGCCATCTGTACTACTGTCTTCCATCTACGGCTGTTAATTTGCCTTGGCACACTCAATCACACTTATAGAAGTACCCTCTTTCAGATAAATGCGGATAACCTTCAGCCCCGAAGCTTCAATAAGCACCCTGAATTCCTCCTCACTCCTTTCCCTCGACCCAACGTCCATAATACACATATCTATCATCACACCGTAAGGATCTGGTGGGATAGATACCAACTTTTCGCAGATGAGCACACGAGCACGGGGATCCTCCGGCAGCGCATTGACCTAATTGCGCAGAAGATCAATCGCAACTTCGTTACTGAACCCATGGATACAACGGCAAATGTAGTATATCAGTGCCGCTGAAGTTGTGCGGTCATTCAGTTGGTCCAATCTCGCGTGCCGATTTCGTGGGTGAGGATCCAGCAGTCATTGCCGTGTAATCTGTGGTGAACGAAAATTAGGTCGAACAAACCCGGCGAATAGGTTGGGCGCGCAGCGGGGTATGTAGAACAGTATAAAGAGTTGTCGCTGATGAAGATTTGGTCGTTGAGGCTGGGTTCTGGCATGGCTTCTTCTTGGTGACGGGGTATGATGGAGGAAGAAGATCAAGATGATATTCCCATAATGTTAGCTTGAACACAGTAATCACATGTATAGGCTAGTGTATATTTTGCACATGTAGCTCTAATGACAACCTCGGAAAATCCGACAAAACGTTACAATAGGGTTACAAGTTACGGGTCGAGACCCATAAAAATGATACTAAATCATGGGTGGTAGATCCCCGATCCGCCTATAGGGCTTGTGTTTCGTTTCAGTGCAACTACAGTACAGTACATGCTCTGTATGAGTAGGTTATTGTATAGACAGGTACAAGACCTAGCAGGGGTGGACACGTGCTGGTTTTGATCAATGAACAGGAATACAAGAAAACATTGTCATACGTCGATGCGGGTTTGGCTTTTTATGTTGGTATCTCGCTAAGAGATATTTTCCGTACAAAATGCCATGAACGGCTTTACGGGCTTGTTACAAGACTCAAATATGGACAAGCTTTTATCATCATGGACCCCAAAATTTCCTCCCTACTCAATAAGATCGCCCAACTAAGCGAAAACCTCCAAAACACCACAAGTTCGACAGCCCGTGAAACCTGCAGAGAGCTGCTTCACGTCTCACGTCAGCTGAGCATTGTCTTGTTAAACAAGAGTTAGATCGTGGAGGGGTGTTTGTATGGGGCACTTATATTACCTATATCAACCGTGAGAAACATGGCATCTAACTGGAATCGCTTGCTAGACCATCGATCCGTTGTTGCTGAACATTGGCATCGACTCGGATTTTTTCAGATATTTAGTGGATAGTCCTACGCCCGTGGCTCTCAATGAGCTGGTAAAGATTCCTGGGCCAGACCCGGTACTTTTTGCTTGTATTATGAGAGGCCTTGCAAGTATTGATGCAGTGGATGAGGCTTGAGTGGAGGTTTATGACCCTAACAAGGTAACACAGGCATTCATGAGTGCCGAAGGGATGTCGGGCTTGGAGTCTTTGTGGGACCTCTTTACCTTAGTCTATTATGAATGTTTAACTAACAAGGGGGAGCCACAACATAAACCATCGCAGCTGGCAATCCACCTCCGAAAATCTCGCAGTCCTCAAATACCAAAGCCCGTCCCAAGCCTCACAAATGTGGTTCAGCCGATAACTCAACAAGGAAGCTCGTTAATGAGCTCTGTATGCCGTGCATGGAGGCTTGTTAGTTTGCAACGCATTGAGGTTTTATGCTTAGTTATGTCGATTGATACTGCGGTGGGAAAGAACCGAGCTGCAGTGGGGAGATCTCTTTGGTTCTGAATTTGAGGATTGAAAAAGCCTGGATATTATTGTCGTCGAGTAGTAGAGAGATGTGAGGTGACTGCTATTTTGTTGCTTACGATATAGTTTTGGGTAGTTCGTCGTATGCTAGAAAGATAGCTAGTAGTAGGCTTTTGATTACAGAATGACTAAAAACATAAATCGTACTTGTATATCCAATTTCGCAAGGTTCAGCAATGGACTAATATGTATTGGAAGAGCTAAAACCAAAAATAGAAGTTCGATGAACGAGATTGGCTTTGTGACCCTCTGTCTATGACTCACATTTGCTCCTCCCCCATCTTCTGTCTGTCCTTCATTTCGGTTCAACCATCTCTCTGCTTGCCATCATCAGGGTCATTCATATTCGAGAATCGACATGTTTCGAGCCCGGCAAGTGACTCGGACGGCCAACGCCGCTGCTCACCATCCACGGACTCCCATTACCATTCTGAGAAGACAAAGAATACTTGGGAAAACCAGGGGAGCCGCCTCTGCTGCGACACAGTCAATGTATTTCACGGGTTCCCTCCCCCCCCCCTTTTTTTTCCCCCGCATTGGCTTATACAAATACAATTACAGACCAACAATAGATGTCGCTGCTCCAAGCCTTCGTGTGTCACCGGCAGCGGCTGATGAATCGTATGTGGAATTCCTATCTGAACTGCAGCCCGCGATCGCTAATAATTGATACGATCCAAAAGGTTCATCGGTATGACAGGAGGCCATATTTTCCATGAGATGATGCGGAGACATAACGTGGAACATGTCTTTGGATACCCCGGCGGAACCATTCTCCCCGTTTTTGACGCTATCTACAATTCCCAATACTTCGATTTCATCCTCCCCAAGCATGAACAAGGTGCAGGTCACATGGCGGAGGGTTATGCAAGAGCCTCGGGCAAGCCAGGTGTTGTCCTTGTCACATCTGGACCTGGTGCCACGAATGTCATCACGCCCATACAAAATGCTCTCTGTGACGGAACCCCTTTGGTCGTTTTCTGCGGCCAAGTGGCCACCTCAGTCATTGGAAGTGATGCATTTCAGGAAGCCGATATATTGGGAATCTCCCGCGCCTGTACTAAATGGAATATCATGGTCAAACATACATCCGAACTACCCCAGAGAATCAACGAAGCCTTTGAAATTGCCATGAGTGGGAGACCAGGTCCCGTGCTCGTGGATCTACCCAAGGATACCACAGCTGGTGTGCTCCGGCAGGCAATCCCAACTGCGTCCGCCTTGCCTAGTCTACCTGAAATGCAGCAAACCATTCCGATCAAGTCCATTTCTCGTGTGGCGGACCTGATCAACAGGGCCAAGAGGCCGGTAATCTATGCCGGCCATGGTGTCTTGAGCTCCGAAGGACCTAGGCTCCTCAAAAAACTCGCGGATAAGGCCTCGATCCCCGTAACCACCACCTTGCAAGGACTCGGCGCCTTCGACGAACTCGATGAGAAATCCCTGCATATGTTGGGAATGCACGGTTCAGCTTATGCCAACATGTCAATGCAGAAAGCTGATCTCATCATTGCCCTTGGTGCACGGTTTGATGACCGTGTGACCTTGAACATCCAGAAGTTCGCACCTGCTGCGAAGGCAGCTGCGGCTGATGGCTGTGGTGGTATTGTACATTTTGAAATCATGCCCAAGAATATCAACAAGGTTGTCCAAACTACCGAGGCCGTGGTTGGTGATATCTCAGAAAATGTTGCCCACCTGCTTCCCCTTGTAAAGAAGACGACCATGGTAGACCGGTATGAGTGGTTCAAGGAAATTAATGAGTGGAAAGCACGGTGGCCCCTCAACCTATATGAGTGTTCTGAAGAACGATCGCACTTGATCAAACCCCAATATCTTATTGAACAACTCAGCAACCTTACTTCTGATCGCAAGCATGAGACCATCATTACCACTGGGGTTGGCCAGCATCAAATGTGGACGGCACAGCAGTTCCGCTGGCGCTACCCACGCACCATGATCACATCAGGTGGATTGGGTACTATGGGCTATGGACTTCCTGCTGCAATTGGAGCCAAGGTGGCTCGGCCAGAGGCTCTCGTCATTGACATTGATGGAGATGCATCCTTTGCAATGACGCTCACTGAGATGTCTACTGCTGCTCAATTCAATATTGGTGTGAAGGTCATTGTTCTGAATAACGAGGAACAGGGTATGGTCACGCAATGGCAGAACCTCTTTTATGAAGACCGCTACGCACATACTCACCAGCAGAACCCTGATTTTATGGCATTCGCCAAAGCAATGCGCATCCAACATCGCCGCATCAGCAAGCCAGAGGAAATCACAGATGCTTTGACATGGCTCATCAACACGGACGGTCCAAGTCTGCTGGAGGTTGTCACCGACAAGAAGGTGCCTGTCTTTCCCATGGTCCCTGCTGGGTCAGGTCTCCATGAGTTTATTGCGTTTGACGCCTCACAGGACAAGCAGAGAAGAGATCGCATGCGTCAAAGAACTTCTGGTCTTCATGGAGAGTAAATTTTCTGGTACTTTCTTTTTCCAGAAAGTGAATCCACATGTTATATATAAAAAGTTATCAATGAATGAAATGCGCTGCTGGTAGTTGTACCGGAATCAGGGTTCAGACTTCCCAATGGATATTGAAACTCACGGTTATCAATGCCTCGCCTCGTAAAGGCCGATGTGTACTCGATAGCCAACACGTCAAGAAGCAGCGTCCACTTTGTCACACATTAAACACTGGGACTTTTATTATATTTTATTTATTTTGCGATTCTACAAGGTACAGCATCCAAATGTCGGTTTGGCGAGGTGAGCTCCCTTGTTGGGGTCTATAAAAGTACTCTGTACAAAAGGCTTGGCATGGCAGGGGCCAAAGAAAGGGCAGTCGCCAGTCCATTCCACACGGGAAACTCCCCCTTTCGAGGGGGAAACAGTGAATATGTGAGTTGTTTTCTTTCTTCTTCTCTTGAATGTCAACTGTCAACTGCACTTCCACCCTCAAAACCCCCCCAAAATGGTTGCGGTTGGCTTCGTTAACTATCTACTTCTCACTACGGCTGTCGGTGCCGTTAGTGTCTCCGAGCTTGTTGGAACATGGAGCACCAAGTCGGAGAGTGTGTTTACGGGGGAGGTAAGTAACGTTTTTCTTCGCAGAGAATGGAGATATCTGACAAGATTGTCAGGGCTTTTTCGATCCCGTTGAAGATCGACTCATCGAACCAAAGCACCCGGGCGTTTCCTATTCGTTTACGTCGGACGGTTACTATGAAGCGGCCTACTATCGCGCTCTCGCAAATCGTGAGCAACAGTCTCCCCCAAACAAACCGAGTAGACAGAATGCTGACTTGTGAGTAGCCAAGGATCCTTCCTGTCCCAAAGGAATCATGCAATGGCAGCATGGCGCGTTCACCCTGTTTGTCAATGGATCCTTAGTATTGACTCCCATCGCCGTTGATGGCCGTCAGTTGCTGTCGGACCCGTGTAAGAAAGACATCGCTACCTACACTAGATACAACCAGACCGAGTTCTTCAAGGTACTTCACAGACAGAAACGGAATCTCCCGATTTGCCACTGACGAAGATATCAGTCGTACGCGGTCTCGACAGACCCCTACCACAAAGTCCGTCGCCTTGACCTCTATGGCCAGGACGGTGGTCCCTTGCATCCGATGTACCTTGCCTACGAAACACCCCAGATTTTGCCTTCGACGACCTTGAACCCGTTGCACACTCAGGCGCCCAAGGGCAAGCGTGATCTGAGTGGCACTTCCAGCCCGTTTGCTATACAGAACCTGATTCAGAGAGAGGGCTTGGTCAGCCCTGAGCGGTGGTGGTGGTTTGGTGTCATTGCGACTTCTCTGGGTGGAATCGCGTTGATGTATGCTTGATTGGTGCAACCCGACATGATGGAAATCTATTACGTTATTCGAGGAACAAAGGCATGGTTATGCATTGGGTGGGTAAGCACGGCGTTGGCAGTGTTGTTCAGTGTACACTATTCTGCGTGATGGCAGCCTCACACGAGCAATAATTTGTTTCTTTTGCAACGGAGTATCAATTGTCCTTGGAAATCCAGATAGATGTGATGGGAGAGTCTAATTTTTTTTGTAACGTACATTGCTATTATACAGTGGTCATGCCCGTAACCCGTATCGTATCTCATACTCATATTCATGCAGCAGCGACGGCCTCTCTGGCGATTTTGGCGACTTCAGATCTCTCTGCCGGCTTGCCGTCCAAGGCTCCCCCAGGAGCAAAAAGGGCCTTCAGCAATGAACCAACATCGGCCTTTCCGCCAGCTTCCTTGAGTTTGTTAAACTCCTGCGAGACAATCGGTCTGATCTCGTCCACGCCCATGGTCTTGACGTGACCGGCGTACTGTTCCAGGATCGATACGGCCAAATCCTCACCCTCCTTCAGATCAGCCCGGCCAGCCTCTTCAAACTGCTGCGCTGCCTGCTGGGCCCCAGAGACACGTTTCCGGATGAGGGACAGGAGCTGTAGATCGGTTTGGATGGGAGAAGGAGTCTTGACGGAGTTGTTGACTTCGGAGATGAGAGCACGCAGGACGTTCAGCCTAGACTAGTTAGCTCATCCGTCGATATAGGTAAGAATTTCATAATGAAAAATGGACTAGACACACTTAGGTGTATTCTTCGCCCTCATGGCATCCTTGAGATCCTGTCTGAACGTAGCCATTAAGGGCGGCATGGCCGGGCTGGCGGTTGAGTTCAAGCGCGCCTGGCGCAGGAGACTCAGGCGCGACGAAAAGCGAATAGGTCTGAACATATTGACCCAATTTATATGAATCAATTGAGAAAGGTTGTGGTTTTTGTACCGTGTTCCGTTGAAGTGGTGTAGTGCTGACCGCAAAGGCGGACAAGCAAAAGCTCTCCAACTTCTGCCGGCCCGTGCACGATTTTGTTTCTCTCTTTTCCTCTTTGACAACGGCTCTGCTGGCTGGCCTCTTCCTCCTCTGCTCTTCTCATGCAGGCTAATGCTCTTTATTCTCCATTGTCTTTCCTCCCCGGCTGGTCCTCTTTTGCTTTGACTTGAAAAATTATTTCTTATCTCATTGTTTGCTTTCTTTTAGCGCCGAAACGAGACTCTCTTTACGCCGGGGAGCGCGACTCCCTCCCTCTACCTCCTCCCCTTCCTCTCCTATAAAAGAGCTCTTCAGCAAGCTGTGAATCGACACAATGTCTTATCCGAATCTTCCTCCGACTCTCACGCCACAGAAGCCGCTTCCAGGAGCTTATTTCCAGACTCCTGCCCCCGCGAATGCCTCTAATGCGCCGCTCTTTCCTCCCAGGCCAACGACGCCTTCTGCTGTTGCTTCAGCCCCAGAGCAAGCCTCGCCTGCTTCGCTCCCTAAGCTTCCTCCAGCAACTTCGAAGTCCAAGAATCAGACATTGAGCACAGAGGAACGCGGTGCAGGGACGATCAATGACACGCTTGCTCAGGAAACTCGCTATCCCGACCTCGATAGCTACTTGTCGCGTGAGTTCTAACATTGGAATCCAGAGATCGACCGACTGACTGTTATATGTTACTAGAGGGCCTTTCATCCGATTATGATATCCCCGTCGCGCCATCATGGGCGCCGTTCCAGAAAGTCAAGATGTACAATATTCCCGACCAGATCTTCGATCAGTATAATCGCGCACAGGTGTCGACTAGTATGGGTCTTTTCGCAGAGTTGAACCACGCGTGGGTTGCGATCGATAACGCTCTCTACTTGTGGGACTACACACACCCAAATCCTCAATTGGTGGGTTTCGAGGATCAACCTAACAGTATCAACGCCGTCAAGCTGGCGCGACCTCGTGAGGGCGTGTTTCTGCCATCTATCGCCTATGTACTTATTATTTCGACTACTGCGGATGTTATTTTGCTGGGTATGGGCTGCGAGACGATCGCGGGAGGTACACGGCAGGTGTCCTTGTATCAAACAGGCATGTCGACAACCATTCGGGGTTTGGACATTGACGTTTTAGCTTCGTCGGACGCAACTGGCCGGATCTTCTTCGGTGGCTCATCAGACAACGATGTGTACGAGCTCATCTATCAGCAGGAGGAGAAGTGGTTCCAGGGCCGGTGCTCAAAAGTCAACCACACTAGCTCTCGACTGGCAGCCTTCACCCCGAAATTGAGCTTCACCCAAACTACCTTTGAGCACGTGGTGCAGATGGAAGTCGACGACACCAGAAGGTTGCTCTACACACTCTCGTCCCTTTCGACCATCCGTGTTTTCCACCTGAAGTCTGACGGAACGGTCAACCTGGCCATCACGAAACCCGCCATGGATATCTACGCCAACATTGGACATATTATCATGACAAACGAATCCCTCAACCCTAAGGTCAGGATTGTGTCCATCAGCCCTATCCCGGCTGCGGAGGCTTCGAGATATCACCTTATGGCGACCACCGCCACCGGTTACCGGATCTACCTGAGTGCTACTGGGTCTTATAGCTGGGCGCCGTCCCCGAATGGTGCAAGCCCTCCGACAAGCATGCAGGCGCACCATGTAAAGACGCCTCCATTCGACAACACCTCCACTGCTCCCTTGAGTCCTACATTCCAAGCTCAGCCCCGGTTCCAGGCTCCACTGGCTTCGAAGATTCCTATTCACTCCTTGGATCCTACTCGCTTTACCGTCCGTTACCCTCCTGGCTACTTCTTCTGCTTTACTTGCAAGGATTCCACGCAAAAATCCGACACCTTGTTCGTCTCCTCCCCTGATTCTGGACGTGTAGCTCGTGCGCAAGATAACCCGATCCCTGGAAAGGCCGGTGAGACCGCAAGTTGGCTTTCGCTGGGCAGCAGGGCGGAGGATATTGGCCTCTGCTTCCCACCAGCCGCAGCAACATCCTCTCCTGGAGGGTTTGGCAATGAGCTTGCCATTCAGTTCGATAACCCGGCACCGGAAATCGCTATCTTGACGAACACTGGTATCCACGTCATTCGCCGTCGTCGACTTGTTGACATGTTCGCCGCATTGGTACGCGGTGGTCGTGTTGATAACGGCGGAGACGAGGGACTTGAGGGAGAGATCAAGAACTTCATCCGTACATATGGCCGGAGCGAGACGCTCGCAACAGCATTGGCTGTTGCATGTGGCCAGGGCGTGGAGATTTCCACGGACTCGCGGCTATCACAGATAAACGACCCGGACGTTCTTGAGTTTGCCCGCAAGGTCTTCATCGAGTACGGTGGTCGGCCTACAATGAACGAGAATGCCGTCTCTGATAACTCGACACCTGCTATCGATGCTGTCGTGCCGTCTCCCAGACACACAGGTATTGCCATGTACATGACGCGTTTGCTGCGGTCGATATGGAAGAAAGAGATCGGCATAGCCGGCAAGGACCCCAATGGAGGGGAAACCATCTCACCTTCAGTCGCTGTCGCGAAACTGCAGACCATCCAGCGCGACCTGACAGCGCTTCAGGACTTCTTCAAGACCAACAAGAGCTTTATTGAGGGTTTGAGCGGCCCAGAAGCCCTGACTCGCGTATCTACCAAGCAGGAGGAAACTGCTCTACAAGCAGAGCACCGTGCCCTTCACTCTCTTGTCCAGCTCGTTTCTCACACTATTGAGGGTATTTCCTTCGTCTTGGTGCTCTTCGATGAGCGGGTGGATGAGATTGTGGCCACTTTGCCTGACGAATCGAAGCAGCGATTCCTCAAGCTCACGTTTGAGGAGCTGTTTAGCACTAGCAAGGGCCACGACATTGCCAAGGAACTGGTCAAGGGAATTGTGAACCGTAATATTGCTAAGGGCTCCAACGTCGAGACTATCGCTGATGCGCTGCGACGGCGATGTGGCAGCTTCTGTAGTCCTGAGGATGTGGTCATCTTTAAGGCACAGGAGTTACTCAAGCGGGCAACTGAGGCTAATGCTAATTCTGAACTCGGTCGCAACTTGCTCAACGAATCTCTTCATCTGTTCCAACAGGTTTCGGATAGTCTTCCCATGGACTATCTTGTTTCTGCTATGGACAATTACATTGAGAACGAGTTCTTTGCGGGTATGTGTTCCTCTCACAGTTGTCTTATTACGATGTTAACATGTTGACTAGGTGCAATCCAACTCGCACTCAATGTTGCAGCACGCTCCGACAAGGCCAATATGGCGTTCTCGTGGATTGTGGATGGACGGCCTCAGGAGGTATGTTCAAGTTTTTCAAATCTCGTAACTGATGGATGCTAACGAACTAAGGATCCCCGCCGCGACTACTTCTACTTCAGGAAGCAATGCTATGATTTGATCTTCAAGGTCGTCAATGCAGTCGACAACCTCGCCGCTAACGACCCTGGTGTCATTGACGGACAGTTCACTGTTATCGCCAAGCGCAAAAACGAGGCGTATGGTGTCATTGCTGATTCGGCCGACGAGGTGTTCCTAACGAGTTTGTACGATTGGTATTTGGAACAGGGATGGAGCGACCGATTGCTCCAGAGCACATCTTCATTCGTCATTACCTATCTGGAACGCAAATCGGCAGACGACATCGCGCATGCGGATCTCCTATGGAGATACTATGCACAGTCTCAGCGGTTCTTTGAGGCTGCCAAGGTTCAGTTGCAGCTTGCACAGAGCGCCTTTGCATTGCCTCTGGGTCGTCGGATCGAATACCTTGGCCGTGCCAGGGCAAACGCCTCGATTTTCACACCGGATGTGGGCCGCCAGTCGCGGCAGCGCGTGCTGCAGGAGATTTCGAACCTCATCGATGTTGCGAACATTCAGGATGATTTACTGCAACGTCTGAAGGATGACAGACGGGTTTCCCCGGACCGGAAGCTTGACGTTCTTGCGGATGTCGACGGGCCAATCATGGACATCAGTACTGTACGTATACCACTTTCCTCATGTGATCCTCATATGTGAATTCTACTAACATGCACAGCTGTTCAATGTATTTGCTGATCCTGCGAGCTACTACGACGTTTGCCTGCAAATTTTCCACCTCGCAGACCACCGCAACTCGGCCGATATCAAATCCACATGGCAACACCTCCTGCAGGACCTACACGATGACACAGTCGAAAGGGGCGAACCCCTGCCCTACGAAGCTGTCATCGAAAAGGTCCGTAGTCTTGGTAGCCGTCTCCGCATGTCCGAGTTCGTCTTTCCCGTTCCGATCCTCCTCCCCATGCTCGAGCGCTACGCCCTCGAGTACCAGCGCGGCGTTGGCCCCGCGACATGGGTGGTCGATCTTTTCTTGGACCTGGGCGTCGCGCACGAAACCGTCTACACCGTCCTCGAGGCCATGTACTACACCGACGAAGCGCCCTTCCACGGCTCGAACCGGAAGTACATTGCAAAGGACCTCCTGTACCTGATTGAATATTGGTTCCACGAGACTGTCCGTCTTGGTGGAGCTGTGTTTGGTAGTGACTTGGTTGCGGAGCGAATCTTGGAGATGCTCGTTTTGTTACAACAGGGTGGTATTCTGCCAGAGCAAATGGAAGTTGCGCATGAACTTCGGGTGAGAATTGAGAATATCCTGCGGTGATATACTCAGGTGACGGTTGGTCAAGAAAAATTAGACGTTGGAAGCTGGGCGAGCTTGCTTTAGGAGGGAAGAACAAGGCTAGACCTGTTTTTGTGTTGTCAGCCAAGTACATTTATACTGTTGCATTTGAATGTGCTTTCTTGAGTTTTTGTTTGTACACTGGGCGTTTATAGTTATTTTATGGTTGCTTTTCATGGAAGAGGTGTGATGTTCTTTTGGATGATGGTAGTCCATAATTTATGTTTCCTACTATAAATATCAAAGATGTAATAATCAGTCTGTATTATTGGATTAAATGCTTGTAGACTCTTATACCAATACCTGTGACAGTTCAGATTTTCGATCATACTGCCTACACGCCTACAGAAAATGTACAGACTATGAGCCAGAAAACGAGACTCGTTTTAAACACTATTTTCGGATATAAAAGCAGTCAGACAGGACGAAATAAATCCAATAATACAGAATCAATTATTATTACCACCCATTTTAAGATCACCAAAAAAAAAAAAAAAAGAAACCCGAGACAGAAACACGCTGAAAAACCAAACCCAGCAAGCAAGTATAAGAGGACCCGAATCCCGAGCCAAAAGCAAAGTCTATCAGTCATCAAAAACAACCCAGTCTAGTAAACCAGCAATCAAAAACAAAAAGAAAAACCGTCTATCAGAAACAGACCAGACAAGACAATAGGTATCGAAACGTAGGCAGACAAGCAAGACAAGAAACAGGCGCACATGGGTATTAGGCGATGGCGATGACAATGGCAAAATAAATCGTACGTCTTTTCGAGATCAGGTCAAAGCGGATAAAGAGGAGAGGGAGAGGGGAAAAGAAATGAGGCGATTATTCGCTGAACTCGGAGTTGGAGTCGTGGGAGTCGTGGTCGTGGTCGTGCTCGTCAAGTCTGCGAGGGGGCATGGGTCTCTCGCCCAGCGCGCAGAGACGGAAGATGTGGCGGAGCTGGGCACTGTTGTCGTCGTCGAGGTAGTCGACAATAGCGGAGTCTATTATTCATTGTTAGCTTGCGCTCATGATAGAACTATAAAGAGGGAAAAGAACATACGAATGGTAGACCGGTTGTCGAAGATAACAATAGTCTTCGGCTGCCAGCGCACACGAGCCTGAAAGTCATGGCCAGTGGCAACATGGTTCATGAGGAAATCAAGCAGCCACTTCTGCTCGGGCACCTTCATGCCCTCGATCCTGGTGATGAATTCGCCGTTGAAGAACAGGCACTTCTCGCCGGTCACGGGGTGCACGCGAACGAGCGGGTGGACGGTGTCGACGGCGTCTTTGCGGACAAGACCGCCGGTCAGGCGGGTATGGTTGATCATTTTGGCTGAGGAATGCGTTGCGTCTAGCTTGTCCAGGAAAGAGGTGAATGTGGGGGAGAGACGTCTGCACGGGTTAGAATTGCCACATCGAGAAGAGTTGAGAAACTTACTGGTATGCCAGGTCGGTTCCGGCAAAGACGGTGTCACCGCCAACATTGGGGCCTTCCAGCAGACCAAGCATGACATAGCCCGGGGGCTGGATTTCGTAGCTGACATCCTGATGCCACAGGGTGGTCGTGGTGCGCTGGTCCAAGAACCGCGTAATCTCCTCCTTGTTTCCATCACGGTGGATAATGTGGAAACCAGGGTGGTCGCGAACCGTCCCCGAAACAGGCTGGTAGTTGGGCTTTCCGAAATGCCGCATGAATTCCTCCTGAACAGCCGGCCCCTCGTCAATCAAGTCCTGGTTCGGGAGCGCAACGACCTTGCGTTTCGAAACGAGCAGCGCGAGCTCGTCCTTCTGCGTATCGTTCAGCTTGTTCAATTGCACGCCATGCAGAAAGGTGCCGATTCTCGGCTGGATGTGCTCCTGCCTGGCGGTGCCGCTGAGCAGGTTGGGCATGGACTCGTCTGCGCGGAGAGCCGGGTCTTCATATTCGAATGGCCGCAGAGGGTCAAACCACATCTTGTCCCAGGTCGGGAGGTACTCGGGATACCGAGTGCGCAGCTTGTGTTCCTTGTTGACATCGACATAGGGGATGTTGATGTCGTAGCTAATGGGCTGTTCCGGCTTGTGGCTGTTGACCGGCTTAATGGGTTTAACTGAAGGAGCAGAAGAAGGCATTTTGTTTGGAGGAATTCAAAGAAATGAACAGGATAGATAGAAAAAAGCAAAAAGAGAAGGGCGAAAAGACTTTAAGAAGGTTCAGAGACTATGCAAGCAACAACACGAGTCAAACTCAAAAAAAAGGAAAACAGACGATCACCGGTCTAGAAAAATGAGAGAAGGCCGAAGATCCTGATTGATAACAAGAGAAGAATTATGGAAGACGAGGAAGCAAGAAAAGAAAGAGTTTGGAGAGGACGAGCGCCGACAATAAATAATGATCCGTCTCTGATAGACAAGACGGGAGAGTGATACAACAAGGCCGGTGCTCTCCACCGTCTCATCATTCATCTTCGTGTTTTCCTGCCCGATAAAGATTTATTTCGAGCAAGTGGATATCCTGATATGATCATTGTGGCACCACTGTGTAGTGCAAGTGGACAACCTTGCGCGCGCGCGCGCCAGTGCAAGCGCAACAAACGGCATTGTTGCTACATAGTACTAGTACTCCCTTTCATCTCCGGAGGGATATGCGTGAGAATATTCCGAAAAGGACCAGGGCCGAAGGCCAAAAAAAAAAAAAAAAAATAAACTATGCCGGGACGACAGGGGGTGTAGCGCAGTGTGTGTGCGTATATGGAACTGTGTGTGTACCAGAATTACACCAAGAAACGGTCCGGACGGGTCCACGATTCAACGGCAGACGGCCGGCGCCACTTTTAGAGTGACAATGACATAAAACATATCAAAAAAGGGAGTAGAGCAGACAGATCCGCCATGAAGGAAAACTGGAGAGACTAATCCTTTTGCTTAGTGAACCACCTCTGTTCACTCCGTACTCGGGGGAGAGTCTGCTCTGTATGTACAGTGTACCAAAAGAGAGACCCTCAACGAAAAGATTAGCGGTCAAGGGTCAATCCATTGGCTCGCGGGTCATCGGAGCTTGAATTGTCGTCCACTTGGGATATTATTCATGGACCTCTTTCACAAACGGGATGAAGGAATTGATCCATTGACTGCGATTGTCCACCGACAATGAATATCAGCATAACACCCCGGTTCGCTCCCTGATCCCGGCGCGTTTCCGGGACTTTGGCTCGCATTGGATGGAAGCTATTTTTCATTCCGTTTGTTTCTGGTGCAGAAATTTTTGTTTTTGCTTTTTCTTTTCTATTTTTTTTTTTTCACCGCTTAGAGGGACCTCACACAAACGCGAGTGATAAGGTCGTCAAGGGTGCCCGAAATGTAGCCGGAAAGTGGACAGGAGAATGATGGAATCTTGCAGCATGCAGCTAGAATTCCAAAAAAACAGTAATCAAAACCGCAAGCTGTGATGTTCAATATCACGATACAACGGGAGCAATTGAGCCGAGTTGAACTGCCCGGATGGGTCCTGTAACTGTCGTCGTCCGAGAAGTTAGCTGCAGCTCTCCATAGCTGGTACGTAGCTTCAGCTCTTCCCGTCAACCTCCGAGTGGAGAGAGAGTAAGAGGAGTCCGGAGTCATAGCTCTCGCTCCGGCTCGTTCTGTTTTTGGCGACTTGCTTCCTATCTTGCATCATCCTTGCATGGCCTCGAAGCCGTCTGTACTCCATGAGTATCTAACGTAGAACTGGATCCTCGATCGAGGCCTGTGGCTAGCCTTGAGATGGCCAAATGATCCAGCTGTGTTTGTCTGATTGTATGTATGCAACTAATTCTTAGAGCAGAAATGACATTTTGTTGACATGACTGATCGGATTTTACATCACGGAAGCCGACGTGTAAACCAGAATCCAGGGTAAATAGTGTATAGCGGTTGGGGGTTGTGACAGGTTCCCAATCCATGGTCCCTGTTGTCTTTGCTTTTTCTGGGCTGTCGATTTTCGGAAGAAACGTCGGTAGAGGATTCTGGGGTCGTACATTGTACGCATTCATTGGTTCGGCTCTTGCCTCTTAACCTGTCTGTTACCGTCGACCCTCTTTCTCATGTGTTCCCATCCCAGCCTGACTTTTACCCGAATAGTTTAATCCATAGTAGTGTGTGTACTCAGAACACAGCGTTTAGAGCCCACCGTGCTCCAGGGCCAGTCGTCATACTCACTCCATCTGGTCGTCTTGAATAGGAATAGCAGTCCGTTTTCATTTCGGGTGTACGGTTCGATACCCCCGGTACGGAACAGATTTTTTTTTATCAGATTCTCCACTGACAAGGCACTAAGAGAAACCGTTTTGTATCATCCGAACCAGCCCCATCCGAATCGGAAGGAGAGCGGTACTCTGTACAGTAATATTGGATCTAGGGCCAGTCGCAGAAGGTTTCCAGGTCATATCGAAGGGCCGTAGAAGAACAGTCGAACCCATCTCACCACCGTGGTCGCAGTCGCCAACGCACAGATCAGATCAGATAAGTCTTCAATCAATCGGTAACGATACAGTAGTCCCCGTTGCGGTATCTTTACAGTTGCTTCGATGTACTTTGTACCTGTTGCCTTTGATTTTTGGTAAATTGAATGTGTGCTACGTCATGCTGTATCATGATTGACATCGAGAACATCTTGGCTGGAGAATATGCTTCGTAGTGTGAGAGCATTTCTGCAGGCAAGCACAGGTCTCTTCGTCCTTTTGCTTTCCCCTTTCTTTCTCTTACGAAACAGAAAATCGCCACGTTGTCCCGATCTGGTCAACAAATTGAACAGCAACGTTCGCCCAAACCGGCCCGGTGGTGGTAGCTAGCGTAGGGAGCTAAAGCAGTAGCGTCTTGTCGTGTAATCTCCATCCGTCGTTTGAACTTTGGGTCGTCTTCGGCCCCAAATTGGGAACCACCAAAGCCAAAGGTGTGTGGAGACCCGGTGCATATGTTCCAAAGGGGAAACGATCAAAGGACCACACTACTGCACGTACGTAGTAGACGTAGGATCGCGATTCTGTACAGAGCAGGACTGTAGGACTGACTTTTGCTAGACCGTAACCTGACATGCAACTCCATGGTTCCGGTTTCCGGCACCTCGAATTCCCTTTTTTCATCGGATAGTTGCCGGCAGCATGCATCGCAAGCTCATACATGGGTGGTGGTGATGTGTGCTTCGGAGTAAGGGGGCGTAGCAATAGCATTCCAGAGCACACACTAGTGGGCTTTAGTTGCCAGGAAGCGAGTCAGTTTCTTTGTGGTTGTTCTCCCGTCGAGACCAAAACGCCAGGCGGAAAATGAATCCCAGGACTAAGACCCAGACGCTGTCAAGACCCAGTTAATTACGGTTCCATCAGCCAAACGGCGGCGGACTTGCGGTGTACAGAGTGCGAGTCTTCCATAGACACCGAACTATCTCCTACCTTGCCATTTTGCCATCCGAGGGTTGTTCGGGGATATGTGTTTATCCCGAATATTGTATGGGGCCGTCCAGAGTAGAGTTGGCAATGGATCCAACAAGCCGGGCGAGAAAAAGCAACATGAGCTTACCCAAATTACCCAGGAGAAAGGCCCGTAATAGTAGCCTCGATCCACTAAGCTTAAGCTATGTTTAGGAGGAACTCCCGAGACGCGTGAGAAAAAGCAAATACACCTGTTTTTTGCTTTTTCTGGTCACCTGACGAGCACTGCTTGCTGCGACTTCACTTGATGCTATTCAGAGTACTCGAGTCAATTGAGAGCTGTCTATACTCTATAGAATATCGTCTGAATCAGACTATTCTATAGCTGACCCGTGAACCCCCTTGTCCCACCGTTGCTCCTCTCGTCGCCGGTCGGGCTAAAATACGCACACACCACCAAATAACAACATGGCCGGATCCGCGCCGGCCTCGCTCTGGACTCGCAAACTCGACCTGCTGTACTTTGTTTTTTTCGTCATTCACCTCCCGATAATCTTCCGTATGTGCTGTCTATAATCGCTATGTCTGTAGACTTATCCTGACCTCGCAGTAATCGACGCGGCTCCTCTCCTACCGCCGTTCCTCCAGTTTGATGCCTCGCGACAACTTCGCGAATTCTACGTAAATACGTACAATGACAAGTTCTTCGAGCAGCCGGCGCCCGTGTGGTTCGTCGTATTTATCACTATGGAGGTCTGGTATCATGCTCCGTTGAGTATTTGGGCCATTGGTGCTTTGTTGCGAGGTACCCCCCCTTAACCACCTCCAGCATTTTCATGGGATGTTAATGTAATGCTAATGCACGTAGATGACCCCATGGTCCCCGTTCACCTGCTAGTTTTTGGCGTCCAGTCGTTCGTCACCTCGTTGCCGTGTCTGGCCGAGGTTTGGAGCTGGACGGATCGGACGGTGGTCGAAAAGCAGAATCTCACCATGTTGTATAGTCCGTATGTTGCGTTGGGTATGTCCACCAGCACGATATATCCATTGAGCCGAGCTAATGTTGCGTAGGTGCATTCATGGCGCTGGATATGACCTTCCGGCTGCGTGCCCGTCTCACTCAGAAGAGCAAGAGCGAGTAGTTGCCATACTGCAGAGATATCAAGGCCATCCGACAAACAGATGTAAATCCGAAAACCGCCACAAGGCGAGGAGTGAAAAGGTCACGTCAAGCAATATCTGGAATCACGGCCGTACGGTGCAGGCATAAATACCATGTATGCAGCATGTACATACGTAGCTGCAAAAGATTGATAATGGGAGATAGATATGACAAATCGTCTTCAATTCCCTTGCGCATTCCCGCTGGCCACCTGTCCTATGTAGATATGCATTGTAGATAACCCATTGCATATATATTGAACCCCGTCTATCTATAGTATCTCAAACAACCCCGTGAACGCCACATAGATCAACCAAGATAAGTAGATTACAGACAGTTCCCTGACTTGTAAAACAATGCCATCCTCTCAGTATCGCTGGTCGATCAAGATACGTCGTCACAAGCCAACGCATGCATGTCTCAAAGGCTTGATAAGAATTGCACAACCTGTGCAACGACAGCAGAATCGCAGTAGGCTTCGGCACTACAGGCATGAAACAGAATAGCGCTGGTTGAGACTGTACAGTGATACAGATATGAAAAGTACAACACAAGAATCAAAACTACCGCTTGGTATCACTTTCAAATCAAGAATCCAATGGCCCCGTCCAGGTTCCCGTTCGCTGCATCCAATGCCCGGATGGCCTCTTCCCGAGTGAAGCCCAGTTCCGTGATCTTTGCGATCGAGTCCTGTGACCACCGGGACGATGGTCCAGATGCCGGACGTCTCGGTGTGGCAGATGACGATGACGATGCTGCAGCCGGTGCACTGCTGGAACCACTAAACCCCTGACCGTTATTGTTGCCCTCGGCCTTGTGGGTGACAGCTCCTGTTCGTGCCCCGACTTCGGCACCCCCCTGGCCCTTGACGGTCGGTTCGTCTTCAAACTCCTCCTGCAAATGTCTGGGTATATCGGCCTCTGGCAGGAACGGAACGGCCTCGTCCTGGATGACAAGCGCCCCCCTCTTCAAGTCGATGCAGGCCTGATGACGTCTCAGCATATCTAGGCCCAAGAGGAGATCAATGTGTTTCCCCTCCATGACAGTAAACGAGCACGGTAGGAACATGCTCCCGATCTTAATCTGCGCCGAGTGTACTCGTCCAAGAATCGTTGCGGTTCCAACACCTTTGGCAATTCCTCCATAACGCTGGTCAACTAATCGCATAATGTTGCAAGCGGTTGCGCATTCAGGAGACATGATCGTAACTTGGGCACCCGAGTCAACAAAGGCGTTAAGTCTGTGGCCGTTAACTTCGACAGGGATGTAAAGCATCGTAACGCGACCGAAAGCTTTTCATTCCATCCGTTAGCCATGGTCCTTGCAAACCGCTCAAACAGATATAGGAAGCAACCGCCTACATTCAGGATGATGCTCCATGGCGTTATGGAGGTTCTCAGTCACAGCATTTTGGCGAATAATCTCCTCGATCTCTCTTTGGTTCTCAGGGTTGAACGGATCTGCGTTCAACATGGCAATGCGCGCTTCTTTCTCTGCCTCTTGCTGGGCCTCTCGCTGTTGCTGCGCAAGAAGGACATTACGGAATTGCTGTGGATCTGCAGCAGCCTCTGCAAGCTCTGGATTCTGTCGCCGGACCGCATCCTGCACTCGAGGGTCACCGAGAATATGTAGACGAATCGTTTCAGGATCGGGTGTCATCGCTTGTCGTCGTTGGAGGCTTTGCTGAGCAGCGGCACTTGGGGGTCCGGCTGGCCGTGTAGGTGCCGGGGGAGTCCGTAGCGCAACTTGAACACCTAGCATATCCCCTTCCCCGATACCAACATGCTCGAGTGTTTGTGCATCGTCGCTGAGGATCCGGTTATTGTAGAGCAACCGTTGGGAGGCAGGAGGGATGGCGGATTCAACCTCGATGATGGCTTTGAGGAGCTCGACGGTCATATCTCCGCCAACTTCCAGGTTGACGATATCGGAATCGGCTTGGTCAGGCCGGATAACGCTGACAGTGATACGCCTGTAGCATTGCATGTTGGTTAGCCAAAGTAGTACCGTAATAGTTGTTCTTGTCCTCAGAACTCACATCGTGTATCAAAAGTACTTTATGCGGCGGTCGTCTAATCCCGCGAGAAGCCCAATTTAAGCAGAGGCAATGAGAAATGAGGTTGTACCGAGCAAGAAGCGTGCTGTCCAACTCGGTCCCTTTCGATAGGCGAAGCACGCGACAGAAAATGGAAAGAAAAGGCCTGCAAGGTGTCAAGTCCCACGCAGCATGCGTAATGACCTCAAGCTGGGCAGATCACGGAGGGGAAAGTATCGCTGAGGCGCAAGGGAGATTCAACAGGAGGCAGCAGGAGGGGTATAGAAGAGAGAGAGGAAGAAAATATGGCGTACAGAGTACAGAGAGTACAGTAACAGCAGCAGCAATAGTAGTAGTAGTAGTAGTAGTAGTAGTAGTAGTAGTAGTAGTAGTAGTAATGAACTGGATGTTGTTCTTTTGTTCTGGTGAAGGGCGGCGACATGTGACGTGCGGCGGCGGCGGGTAGCTCAAAACGGCAACCTTCCAACTTCTTCCTCTCTCTTCCTTCTTCCACAACTCTTACTATAGTAGAATTCGTCTACTTACAGTCTTAGGAGTACAGTCTAAGGAGTACAGTCTACAGCTCAATTTTCACCATTCTGTGCGTATTTATCCGCGCCATCTTACTGCGACGCGTGCGCTGCCGGTCGCGTTCTAGATCGAATGAAAATCACCAAGCAAAGCGGGTGACCGTTGAACCTGCAGTGGGAACCGGAGGGGCTACGTCAACTGTCGAGAGGGGCCGGATTATACACACTCGGTTGGAATTAGGACGAGATTTGCCGATTGTCAACCTTTTTAAAGGATTTTATTCTGGCCTGAGGCCACCGGTTACCGCAGCTTATCTCGAGTTGAAAACCTGCACACAGGCCCGGATGATAATATCGCGCCCCGTTGAGTCCCATTCCCCATCCACCGTGTCCAACGAACAACGAACCCTCTGGCGATATATTCGAGTCGACGGAAGTACGAGGGAAATGCCGCAAGTGTCCTGCAACTAGTCACTTAGGGGCTACATGGCTGCGGCAACCGATGATACCGTTCTCCATAGCGCGATAATTTGCATAAGGCTCACCACTGGACGGAGTAAATCCGTCCATTCAAAGCTGGCCAGAGACCAATATGCTGACTATATTTGTTGGCATTTGCTCCGCTCCTTTGATGAATGTACGGTTAGATGCAGCTTCCCATAATACGCTGATTATCAGTAGGAATGCTACAGGATGGACGGCCAGCACTGATACAGCGATACCTTGATGGAAGTGAGCAGGATGTAAACCCTGTACGACTATGCATAGTACACATCCCCTGTCAATTTGCAGGTCGACACGGGGAATATCAACAATGATTCAAACATCTAGATCAAAAAGTCCATTCTCGGGGGCGTTTGACTTGGACTTCTCAGTTGGCGTAGTATACTGACACGCTCTAATGCGTACTAGGCGCCCGTAAGGTTCCTGAGCCATCACCGGTAGCTCGTACAGCGTTGTCGCTGCTTGCCATTTGGTGGACCGATTTATATCCCATAGCAAAGCGAAACAAATAAAATAATAATTAATTGGCAGCAGCAAACTGTATTTCTTAACATCTAGCCATTACATTCCGACGATCAGATAAGATCGTATACTGAATATTACCACCTACCGCAAACGGATGTTGCATCTCGCCTGCATTACAACTACCACCATGTAATTCCGAGTTTTGAAGAAGCAAATGTTCTCTGCTTAATGCTAAAATTTGTTTCGTGACTGCTCTGCTTTCTTTTCTACTCTCTTTTCTACTCTCTTTTCTACTCTCTTTTCTACTCTCTTTTCTACTCTCTTTTCTACTCATTATTCTCCCATCTTTTCGTATTTTACTCAGAGTTTAGACATCTGTGTTAAGATCCCGTGTCTGACTAAAGATGCAACTTAGTTAAACTCAGATAAGATTATCTCTTGATGATGGCTTTCTAAGTCAGTTCTAATGACGGGATTCTGACTGAATCTTTTGATGTTTTTTTTTTTTTTTTCTCTCACTTTCGTCTTCTGCGTTTTCCTCAAAACTGGCTGGAAAACGGACAGAGCACCATGGCGACGGACGACGAGAAAGTACCTGAACATGCCTCTCAGCCTTGTACATCGCAGGACAGCTCTGAGGAATCAGTGTATTTGTTGAGCAAGGAGAGTCCGGGTGTCAAACGGATTGAAATCATCTCCTCGCACATCCATCTAACCGACCGGATCTTCTTGTTCTCCAGCATCTTTCTCATTGCTTACGTTTATGGCCTGGATAACCAGGCTCGGCAGACATATCAGGTACCATCTTGCAACTTCTCCTGTGCTATACGACCTAGAATTGAACGCATTTCTGACTCTTGTGTCAACATGACAGCCTCTGGCTACAGCCGAATACCAACAACACAGTCTGATCTCGACAATCAACGTCCTACGCGCTGTGATTGCAGCAGCAGCACAGCCTACAGCTGCAAAAATTGCCGATGTTTTTGGCAGAGTCGAAGTGATCATCCTCTCGATCGTGTTTTATACAGTTGGTATGAATTGTAACGTTTTTCACGGCTTCTTTCCTATCTATTCTGACTATCGATTAGGGACCATTGTGGAAGCTTGCGCGGATAATGTGGAGACATTTGCTGCTGGCGGTGTGATATTTCAGGTATTTTGAACTTGGATGAACTTGCTTGTAATATGTCTACTAAATCCGTGATCTTTAGGTCGGTTATACCGCAATTATCTTGCTGCTTCAGGTCTTGATCGCCGATATCACCTCTCTCCAATCCCGTTTGCTTTTCTCTTATATTCCGGCGGCACCTTTTATAGTAAGACCTTCTCTTCCGAGTATAACGAACCACGTTGACCAAGTCAGATTAATACGTGGATCAGCGGTAATGTCACTTCCTCCGTTCTGCAGGTCACTACTTGGAGATGGGGAATCGGGATGTTCGCAATCATCTATCCAGGTACGTGAACGATTGTGCCGTACCTTGTATAATGCTAACCAACTCTAGTGTGTACAATTGCGTTGCTCATCCCACTCTACATAGTACAGAGAAGGGCCAAAAAGAAGGGCGCCTTTGCGGCATACCAAAGCCCTCTCCGTTTACTTGGAGCACGCCAGCTTGTTAAAGAGTCCTTTTGGTATCTTGATGTGGTCGGCAACCTACTTCTGATTGCCTTCTTGGCCTTGATATTGACACCATTCACTATTGCACATGGGGTACAATCGCAATGGAAGACCGCCAAAGTCATCGCCCCCCTCGCAGTGGGCGTCTGTTGTATTCCGGCATGGATCATTTGGGAACGCAAATGCAAGCATCCAATGGTACCATTCAAGGTCTGAATTCGAATAATCTATGGAAATGAAAAGAGAGGTTGATTGACATGTACTGCAGCTACTGAAAGATCGGGCCGTCTGGGGCGCGTTGGGAATTGCCGTCATGTTGAACACTGGTAGGTCTCTACGAAGGAATTTGTGAATGACTGAGTCTGATCTCCCACATAGCATGGAGCCTTCAGGGTAATTATTTGTATACCGTTCTTGTTGTCAGCTTCGACGAGTCGATTACCTCTGCGACCAGAATCATCTCTTTGTACAGGTCAGTCTAAACAACGATCGATAACAGTCATTATGAGATTGTACTGACACTACTCAGCTTTGCATCGGTTATCACCGGCTGTCTACTCGGCTTTGTGATCCTCAAGGTCCAAAGATTAAAAATATTCATCGTTATAGGGACATTGCTTTTCAGTGTTGCCTTTGGCATCCTCATATATTTTCGTGGAGGATCAGGAGGATCGAGCCATTCTGGTGTTATTGGTGGACAAGTTCTGCTAGGCATTGGTAAGTTTTTTTAAACCATGAGTTTTAGATGGTCTGGATGCTAAATTATTCGCAGCTGGAGGTCTATTCCCGTACTCAGCCCAAGCCAGTATCCAGGCAGCTACCAAGCATGAACGTAAGTGCCCGGCGTTTATGATTTCCTATGGACTTGACTAAGACGCAACAGACCTTGCCGTGGTGACCGGTCTCTTTTTGGCTTGCTACAATGTTGGAAGCGCACTTGGCGATACTATTGCGGGCGCAATCTGGACCCAGGTCCTCCCAGGAGAACTCAGCAATAAGCTCGATGACTCTGCACTCGTTCAGCAGGCATACGGGGACCCGTTTACCTTTGCGTCTTCCCACGCCATGGGAACTCCTGTCAGACAGGCTGTCGTCGACTCTTATAAACATGTTCAACGGCTACTTTGCATCACTGGCATTTGCTTGACGGTGCCCTTGATCGCTTTTGCCTTATGCATGAAGAACCCGAAGCTGACCAATGAGCAGAGTTTTGCTAATGCTGAAGAGAGCGAAGAGTCTTCGTGATTTGTATTAGGTATTTTCTGGATGATGGCGTTTGGCTGATATGCATCAAGCGTTTGCCTCTGCTTTTTTGGGGATGGTCTGTATATGGTATCTTCTAGCCTATGTATTTAATAGTCAGCTATACATGAAAACACGGCAGTCATGCTTATAATGATAGGTTGGCAGTGTAGACAAAGCCGCATGTATTTATCAAACGAAATTCACCCGCTGGTACTCTCGTCATCAATAGGTCGCAATTCGACCTTTCCATCTTCCTAATCCTTTCTCCTCGCCATGCCTCTCCTGACTGATCGCGTGAGTAGCCCGTCTATATCAACTATCCGACACTTCTAGCCCCCACCCAGAGCGCAATAATTTTCAGCCATGCCGAACTGCCCCAACGTACTCTCGCCGAGATAACCCTTGAAGAAGCGGTATTAGATGCCTGATCATCATTCAACGCCACTATACTGATACGTATTATGCCTATAGATCCCAAGGCACCACGCCATGGACACTTTCATATCGCAGGTGGAGAAACAGCCCGAGAAATGGAGGATTGAGCGCGCAATCTTATCGAGGATAGATTCTGGGACGCCTGGGTACTGGGAGATGGTGAATATACTGCTTGGGCAATATGGTGTGGCTGCGATCGGTTGTTGATGAAGCTCCCTGGCTAGTACGGAAAATTCGCTACATTATCCAATTCAAGTAGTTAGGAGTTGCTGTTTAACATCGGAGGTGGGACGTGAATTGATTGTTTTGCATTTATTGTTTCTAAGATCACGTGTTGATTATCCAAAAAAGAGGTTAGGCCTATTCCGAAAGAGGAAAGCAGCTAGGCAGCTACGATTTCAATTTCAACGTCGACAAAGTTTTCATTCTCTGATGAATACATATATCAATTCAAGTGGCATTGAATACTAATACTAATTCACAGAAGTCAAGCCAGCAACAGTTTGAAAAAAGCCCTTAGCACGAGGAAAGCGGCTCAGTGTACTTGCACGCATCGCTAGGTCCAGAACCAATCTTCTCAGGCTCGTCGCCGTTGCTGTTACCCTCATACTCAACACAGATGTCATCAACATCGCTAGCGCAAGTATCCTGTGCATGCCATATTAGCCACGAAGACAACAATCACAGCCAGGAGAACATACAGTGATGGTGGCAGTGTCGCCATAGTTGCTGTTGATACCAGCAAGAGACTTGCCGCTCACGGCCGTGACACCAGAGATGGTCACAGTCCGCTCGGACATGGAGTCACAGTTGCCGCAGGAGCGGTAGAGCTTGCCAAAGTCATAGACGGTGAAGTCTTCGATGCTGACTTCGCCGCCGGAGTTGTGCTGGATGACCTTGTCATCGGCGCCCTGGGCTCCACCGCCGATGATGCGGTAGGGGCCGCTGCCTTCCTTGAGGGAGAGGGCGTCTATATCGAACATTTGTTAGCCAAGTGGTGTATACGTTTGTCAGGGGAGAATCGACATACCTTCGCACACAGACTCCCACCAGACGTTCTCTACAGTGCAAGCACCTTGGCAGTGCACACCCTCGATCTGGTCAGAGCCAATGATGGCGTTCTTGAGAGTACCACCCTCCTTGATGATGAAGACGGCGTCGCTTTCGCCACCCTCGCTTTGGCCGGTACATTCAACACCACGACCGTACGTCTTCATGCCTCCGTCGAAGACATCGGTGATTTCCTTGGGCTCGTCAAAGGTCTCGCTGCCCTTGGAGTCAGGAAGGGGGAAGGTGTAGCGCTTGGTCAGGTGACCGTGGGAGCCTCCATGGACAGCAGCGAAGGCGCCGGTGGCAAGGAGAGAGAAGAGAAGGCTTTTCTGATACATGTTGGAGCTTGTAAAGAGGAATATGGTTTCCAGAACCTTGAAGACAGTTGAGCGATTGAGAGTGCTGTTGGTTGATGGATGATGCTGAAAGGTGGTCGCGAAGCCGGTTTATATACCTGCGCTCATGGCATACATTTATCAAGAGGACCCTGTCCTCTGCAATATTGATCTATTTTCATCTTGGCATGTCTCAATGTGAGTCCTCATTATCTCAGGAAAAGAAGATTGAAGATATACGTGAAACTGCTGGGAAGTTGATGCTTCAACAAAAAATACCACGGCGACATTGATTCGTGCAATTGCAGGCAGGACGGCCACCACTTGGATTGAATCAGTCAACGTGCCTGCCGATCATCACAATTCATCTCGGTGCTCACAACAAACATTCGATCCGGATAATTATGGACCTCTTTGATTTTCTGATACAACCTGCTTGCCTCGTTCTCCGTGCCAAGGTGCGGCTTCCGCCGACATTCCAGACGTGTCTGCCATCTGAGCAACCTCGATCTTTGAACTCTGAAGTGTGATGTGCAGTCAACAGTCTTTTTGCTCTTCTTAGCGCCCTCACCCAGGATACACATAACCCAATGACTGGTGGTTGTGTTGCGATTCTCATTCTTCATCCCCCAGATACCAAGAACCTTAGCGTGGAAATCGTGGCGCAGCACAGTTAGGGTCTTGGGTTCTCCACTACCTAATATCACGCTGCATTGGATTTGTCCTGTGGCTACTAAACTACCCCTGTGATTCATTTGGCTAGCTTAACTGACTCATGTCTGAGCGCGGTTTCTGACGTGTGATGGCAGCATGTGTCCCTTCTACTGCGAAGTCGGTTAAATCAACCGGCGCTTGAATAACAAAGATACTGCATAACAGTTGACCAGAATTATCCGTTGCATAACTTCATGCACTTTACAGAGCAAATGCGGAGTACGGATGTGACGGTGGCAGTGATGGCGCTCCAATTTGTTTTCCGTCGGCGTCAACCCTTGGCATACCGGAAATTCCAGCCACCCAAAAATTGCCAAGTTCGAAGTTTGAGGTTAATTGTTGGCAGGTGAAGCTTCAGATATGGTGTGGTTCCGTGGACATTCCAGAACTCGTCACCGCAGTTCACAAGTTGAGTTATGTCGAGTTGTGTTCTAGCGATGAATATGAAATTCAGGATTATTTACTTGGCTGTACTTATGCCGAGTACTCCGGCATCAACTCGTCTACGCTTGTCCGCCATGTTATGACATATGTGTCGCAGGGATTGCACGAGTGAGTATCATTTTGTGACGACTAATGGAAAGTTATCGGACAACATGGAGATGTGCCATACCGTCAGTAAAGTGTCTCTCTACCCTGTGTGGCTGTCTCGTGTAATGTCCTTGATCTACAGAGCTATGGTAGATTCCCTTCATTAGTATTAATTTGGTACGTCGGCATTCGGACTAGAGAGCGAACATTGTTGAGATACTTTTCACATGATAGTCTCAGTTGTCTAAGGGAAATCATATAGGAAACCCTGCAGTATATAAATGACCCAGCTCCGATCCGTACATACAGAAGATATTTCTTACACTGTCGCTGTGGTACGGACAAAACTATTTTTATTGTACCCTTCATACAATTGTCGAACGATCATAGCGATACAAGAATAGCCTTATACGGCAGTGGATACATCGAGCCTACTTGCTTGACATCCTACGGTTTGCCCAGTGACTACAGAATTCTATTGAGGACGCGTCTTCTATCCAACTGCTATTCAGCCACCTCAGTACACTGATAGACGAAGATCTCTGTTGTTCTCCAGCACAGGTTGCTGGTACACTTCGCTTCAAGATTCAAGTCCACTGCCAATATGGAATCTCTTCCGTCCGAGGTTTCCCCGGATATCCACTGCCTATTGGCCACTGGATAACGCCAAGATTTAAGCTCTTTTAGCGCTGTCAGCAACTTGCATTAGCGTCGTTTATGGGGTCAACGAAGCAATCTACGGGAGGCGATGTGAGGATGTACTTGTAGAGCATGAATTCGTAATGTACAAGAAGAGACGCTGTACACGCAAGAAGAACCTAGATATACCGAAAGATAACTGCATCCCCCCTCTTCCTTCGCCAATGATTCGTCGACGTCAGTAACTCCGGACACCCCCGGACAATCCACGGCCACTTCCTCAGAAACGCCTCCGTCACCTCCCAGCTGCTCGGGTCTGTGGGTTCGCCCCAGACAAGCATACTGCAGCTATCCGTCGACATATCCCAGAATCCCATGATATCCACGCAGAGTTCCTCGTCATCAAACTCCCCCGCGCGAAGCAGATTGTCACGCATTTTAGGAAGCGGGAAGAAATCAAGCCAGGGATGATGCGCTAGTGACTTTTGGAGCTTCGTCGGGCGAAGCGCAAGCGGGAGATTAGTATCTTCTGCGATTCCCGGACGCAGCGTGCTGAATGGTGATATTGCATCGTCGTGCATCCATTCCAGCTCCGAGCTCATCCCCATAGATGCCATGATTGCTCCGAATGCGCGGAAGACGTTCACTTTGCTGAGGGTTAGGAGGTGGTCGGATGTTGGACAGCCTAAGACGTAGCTTTGGTATGCGGATTCGCTGAATTTTTGGAGGTAGCTGAGTATCTGGATGCCTTGGCAGCGTTTCGTTGTAGATGTGCTGCTTGCTGAGGACACTGGAGACACGCCATTTTTTGTGGATTTTGTTGTATCTGAAGACTTTGCTGTGTCTGGTGGAGAGGCGTCACTTGACTGTGGTGATGTTTTCACTATCGTAGTACTCGGTTGGGTATATGGATGCTTCTGAATTCGTTTCCTCTGACCTGCTATCGTTAGCTCATAGTCCTAGCATTGAGATCCCAAGTACTTACGATGCGCTCTCTGGTTCAACCGATTTTGCCTCCTTCGCCTCTCCACAGGATCTGTCAATCCCGACCATGCATCATCGGTCGGCTCCGTTTTGGCCGTTATTGCAGAACTAGTAGTGCCTGAGCGCCTCGGAACGTTGAAATTTGTATTTGCCATAGTGATGACTGTCAGCAGGGCCTTGAAGAGACCTAGCAGTTAGTTGAAGATGCGGGGACCCGATGGACCTCTTATGTTTCGCTGACACGAGGATCTGCTGGATGGTTCGGAGTTAGGGGTATCTCCGGGTGGGGTGGAATTGGCTGGAATTGAACAGCCTAGCCCTATACTATGACTATTTCTAGTGATCGACGAGTTTGTTGGCTCACTACGTGTGCTACTACTGAGTAACAACTATAAAAGACCTAGCCCAATCACTGATAGAGAAACCATCGGTTCCCAACCTCAATTCAGACGCTCCTAGCAAAAGCGCAGTGGCAACAGCGTGGCCTGGCTATTTGGTAATGCTAGGCAGTTGGAAGGTGATATTACGGATATGGAGAAAGGGGCCGAAGGTGGCTGGGCCGTTGGACACTGCGAGGATCGAGAGGTCAGGGGTTGTTCCTGCGTATTCCATTGATGCTATCAAGATAATCGATTAAACATTAGGAGCCTTGTATGTGTGTGTATCAAAGACTCTTAAAAGCCAACTATGCAGGTTCCCGCCAGCGTGAGGATGGCCGACTTTCGGTATTTTCCCGCTTGTATGCCTCGAATGATCGAAGCATCGCACTGTGGTCGAGTCCGCTTGCAACTGCTATCATAGCGCGATGCTCCCCTTCTCTCTTTCGTGCCTTGACGATGTTCTTCCTCGTCTTTGTCCTGACTGCAGCATGGATACTCTTCGTGATACCGTAGCCGGGATAAGCCACAAGACCGAGTGCAGCTGACCGGTTAGTACCAGATTCAAAAGAAAGGGAAGTAAAGTTTGCTTACCAGATGACATCTTAGTAGTAAGCCCGATAGTTCCCTTTGCAAATCCCTTAGCCACACCCACTGCCCCATCTTCAACGCCGCCTTTGTACGGTTGTCTGACGATATCAGCAAGGCCCCTGCTCATACCATGCGCAAAATTCCTCCCCCCGGCAAGAGCCCCCGACTTCCAATCTTTAACGTTGTAGTCTTTGACATCTTCGCCATAGAGTCTAGGAACAGCCCGCAGCCCCTCTGTCGTCGCGAGCGGAATATCAACCAGCACACCCTTGTAATAGGACCCCAGAAATTTTCCAATACCCTTTGCGCCCGCTCCAACCGCTCTCCCGGTAGTAATCCAACCAGAGTGAGGGTCTTGTTCTATGGCACGGGTCACTTCGTCGGCATTTGGTACCTGGCTGTCCGAATCTGCTCTCTGAATGGAGGGAGAGCTGGTTGTTCGCGGGGTACTGGGTCTTGATGAATTACGTCGACCACGGCTGATTTCTTGGTACGGTTTGAGGAACATGTCGGTTGTTGCTCGGGCCAGGTCGGCGCCTGTGCCGATTGCGGCGGATGTAGTGCCTGTGATGGGGTCCCATCGTCGGTTCAGGATGACAATTGGATTTGGTGAGTGGCTGAATTGTTAGTTTGCTTGACGAACGGACATGGAGAATCGCAACTTACAATTGCAAATCCTTCGAGTCGAGCCGTAAATGATCAGCAAGAACTTGCGCCGCTGTCTTCGACAGGAAGAGCGGTTTCGACAAGGACTTCTCGTATATCCACGTCGCCGGCTCATCCGGTAAGATCTGGCATTGCATCATATCCCAGGGGAGATTGCGGTGGAACGACTCGACAGCGGTTTGGACACCGCATTCTGCTTGCATCATATTGGCGATATTACCTGCCGCGGTTGATGTCTCTGGTCGCATGCAGAGTCGAATCGCATCTGCTAGGTTATTGGCGTTTAATAGGGTATGCTTAATGGGTTTTGGGCCGGCTCCGGCTGCGGCGACCATGTTTCCCCAGAATGGTTGGCTGAATGGTTAGTGACATTCAATGGTGGTAATGGATGCTGGATGCTAAACTTACTCGCCAAAAAAAGGTACAATAGATGTAGGACGCCCATAGCGCAGACCACACGCTGTCGTTCCAGCACCACCATGATGGATCACAGCAGCAACGCGCGGGAACAACCATTCATGGGGACAGTCGCCAAGATAAAAGATGTCTCGTGTAGAAGGCGAGGAGCCACCCAGCTTACTCCAGCCGCGCGAAATAATGGCACGAACACCGGTCATGCGAACAGCCTCGAGAAGAATCGCCGTCAATCGCTCAGGATCTTCAATCACGATACTGCCGAAGCCAATATACACGGGCGGAGGCCCGCTTCTGAGAAATGCGTCGAGGTCAGGAGGGGGTTGGTAGTTTGGCGGGTCGCAGAAGAAGAAGCCACAGACATCTGTCTTTGTTAGCATGGTATACCATTGAGAAGATTTTCAACATACCGATATGCGAGGCCCAGTCTGCAGGTTTAGGTATCAATGCTGGCGACCAACAGTAGGTAAACGGTATCTTTAGTGTTGCTGCGAGATTGGGGCCTTCTGTGATCGGAACTGCCTCTAGGTCAATAGTTTTTCGCCAATCGTTGATCACATCGCCCAGGCTATGTAAGTTAGATAAGCAGTCACAATGGACATAGGACTAGTGTGCTTACCCCTGCCAAGTCATCCATTCAACGATACCGTACGAAGCGAAATTGGCAAAATTTGCGCTCGTCTCGGAATACTTCAGATTAGCCAAAGGATGCGGAAACGCTGTCGTGTGTGACCACGGCATCGTAAACATGAGATGCACTGGGATTCCCAGAGCCTGTGCACAGTGTACATGTGCGAAACTTGGGGGATTTGCGATGATAGCATCCGCCACAAAGGGTGTCGCGGTTAACGGATCATCTTCAATGCAGGAATTCCAACACCCCTGCAACATCTCAGCAACCATGTTTCGCTTGCGTTGGATTTCTCCCCCCCGCAGAGTCTTCATCTTCGGAATAAGACCCGGGTTCTTGACCATGTACGCCATGAGGTCTGCCGGATCGCCGCCGATGGGATAGAACTCCAACCCGGCGTTCCGTACAAACGAGTCAAAGACATTGTGCGTGGCTATTCGGACACGATGGTCGTGTTTTTGTAGTTCATTCCCCAGGGCAATAAATGGCTGGACATCACCCCGACTCCCAACAACCTGAATGACGATATTGAGCTTGGCCTTGCTCGTAACAACCTCCGTATAAACCGGAGGCGGGACGTCAAAATCCTCGCTTGGCCAGGGAATCAACTTGATGGCCGCCTTGCACGCCGAAGATTCCAGATCAACTTCAATACGGCCGTCATCTGTTGTATGTTAGAGACTGATATCATGGCGGGGGATCGGCACGCTTTACCTTGAACGCCGGCTGCATCTTCGGCGATTTCCAGGTATGGAGGAGGAGGTTGGTCGAGAAAGAGTTCATCAGGCACGGTCTGAGTCTTGGAGGATGACATCGCGCCGATAGTAAACCGTGGAACAAGAAGACGGGAGTTGAAAATGGAGGATTCGCAACATTTTAAGGACATGCCAACTGTAATGCATGGGTCTGAAGATCCGCAGATAAACGCCGTTGGTTGGAGGAGTTGTCTGGTTCGTATTCGTATCAGATGCCCGTTCTGGAAGTGGGGTTGACATGGCATTTTGAATAGCTTCAATAGTCTACAAGTTCTATGTGTAAAGAGCGTAGTTAGTTCGGGCGTTTACCTTTTTTTTTTAGACATTTGTCTCAATTCTATAGAGTTTGAGTGATGCAATTCTCAATGCTCCGTACCAGGGGTAATCCGTATACTATGACAACCAATAAACAGAAAGAGAAGGAAGATATGCTAAAGCAACACCATACGAATGAACCTCGAAAAGAAAAAGAATATACAATTAAACACCCTCCGCGCCACCCAATGCTATCCCTCCACTTTCGACGCTCTTCGGCCGTTCAACTCGCAGCTCACTGGGGAAGAACACGCCGTAAATAACCATGGCAGCAAACATCAAGACCGCATCAAAGATGTACAGGGTCCATTCATGAGTAAGCGGATATCCCTCCTGGCCCATAGCATACTCCACTACTCGGAAAATGGACCGAACCAGAATCAACGAGCTGACCGCATAGAGCGTGTAAAGGTGTTTCTTCCACGGAAGCTCGGCGTCAAAAGCCTGATGGGTTGGATAATGGTGCATCCGGACCTGGAAGATCACGGCGGTGATTATGAAGAGGATAAACATCACCACTTGCACCACCAGACCGACCATGATGATATCTTGACCAAGTGATGCATTGCTCCCAGTGGCCATGATGCCAGCTCCGGTGCCTTGGAGAAGGAATGATACAACATCTCCCGTCACAAAGATCTTGGTCAACCAATTCACCTTAACCACCGAGTACTGTTCTGCGCGAATGCTGCGAATGATGCGTCCCAGGGTCATGTAGACGGTGGCGGCGAAGAGGGTCGGTCCGAGGAGAATGAACACGTTCTGGATGGAATAGATCAAGACGCTACCGGTGCTGTTGTGGGCAGCTGCTCGTGCACCAAATCCTACTACCTCGACTGACGTGGGTTAGTATAGGCTAAATATGATCGAGAAGAATACGAATACGTACATAGTCCACCAATTGCAAAAACGATGCAAAACATGGTCCGTGTCTTCCATATCTTCCACATGTGAAAGAGGGTTGCCGCTAGGAATAGGATCAGGAATATGACAGCTGCTGCCAATGAAGGTATGTAGCGCCAGAGGTAGTAGCCTTTGTATGTTTCCAATTCGGCCATTTTGGGTGGATGTATAATGAATGCAAAGGAATCGTTGTAGTTGTTTGATCAAGAACATCTTGAGCGATGGTATTATTTATACTGAGTAGAATGTAGCAAGTGTTCTATTTCTATCTATACGCGTAAAAAAATATATATATTATCTTGATCGTATACTGTCAGGAAAGTGCCGAATACGCGTATAGAGCTCTAGCACTGACCCGCCATACCATTGGCTGGTAAGACAGTTGGCTCGTGCATACGCGGAACTGAAGAGGTAGTCTAACCCGGAAAAAGTTTGCAGAACCAAAATGGAAATGGAGTTGCCATGGAAAATTTCGACATGTTTTTGGTGAAAGGTCCGGAGCTTCGTGATTGATTGTGTGGCCGAAAGGGGTATATGATATGTAGGCGAGAATTTCCATGCCGGCTACAAGTATAATTATAGCAGAATCCCGCCACATGAACCAGTAATACAGGGGAACTGCCGGAACTGCCCTAGAATCGAGTATGCCCAGTAAGGCTGAGCAATGGTTGTCGTACTGTGTGGTGGTTGTTCGCCTTCAAGACAATATGTATTTACATGAAGCAGACTAGCTCCATACTAGACCTGTCACAGCACCATCTCTAACACTTCTGCCTAGTCGACGGATAGTGAAAGCGAAAAGAATGTTATATATCCTGGAAGCTGTCTCTAAATGCGTGGACATATCTAGAACTGTCGTTTTGCCAGTAATCACAGCCTTATGACATATCGCTCGCAGGAGGCTCGTGTTCGATGGCAGATTCAACCATAATACAATACCGCTACCATGCATTCTACCCTCTTCCCAAGTAAGTCCGCGCCCTCCAGTCGCATAGCAGTAACTGACACTCAACCAGTATTGTTACAACTATAGGTGAGCGTTCTCGGTGCTACTGCTGCCTCTAAGCATTACCAACCCGACCGTCTCGGCCATTATATGTTTCCTGCCCGTCTCCTGCATGCCAATATCCAATGAAGAATACGGCAACGGCATGCTGATCGAATAGCGTCCAGGAGCCACTTGTCAAGTACCCTTGTCCTCGGATTCTCTTAGCAGCGGCACCGTCGGGTATAGACGATGGAAAGGAATGGAGTACTCTGGACTTATGCTGTGTCTGGGATTTATACCGTCCGCGTCACCGTCGTCTACTGGGGTCCTAGCTAAGCATTATGGCACTAATATCGGGCACTCTTGATTATTAGCACCGACCCCAATCCCCACCAGCAGGTGGACTCGATGCGAGACGTCGGGTTACAGCGCGGAGTTGTTTTACTCGAGTTTGTTTTGGGGAATTCGAATACGGTGTTCAAATCATTCCCGGCCACTTCAACGAGACAATATCAAACGCATTCGAACCCGCTATTACATCGACTCCTATAGACAGAACAGAAAATCTACCATTACCAAAATGTGTAGCGGCTCCCCTGAAGATAAAGTGCGTGGCTGTGAAAACATCCCGTTGCTTGGCACCGGTTTCATATCGACACTTGGCTCGTGTTGAACAGATGGCCGACATACGCCAATCGGAAAGCAATTCGTTGCAGAGATCGTCGTCGAACGGACAAAAGACTCGCCGGTTGATGTGCTTGAAACTTCTGTGCGTATCAGAGATATGGTCGAATCCGGTGGCATGAGGAAAGACTTGGATTCCGGGGCACTTCATGGAGTCAGTGGTACCTGAAGATCAACACTCGAAGAGTCAGGATACTTTGGATATCTTGCTTTTCGCTGCTATTTCCGTCCGGATGCACCAGAATCTCTTTATATTCGATCGGCACCGACCTGTATGGTGTTTATGAAATGCCTGTATGCATGCTGCCACGCGCGGCACAGCCTTCGGATATTTAAACCCAAAGATCTTGTCGGCTTGATCCCAACTCAACCACTTCAATTCTTCAACTCCTACATTCTCTATACTATTGTCGTACGACTGGTTCGTCGGCCTTCTTGCAATTCTTTTTTACTGCCTTGTTGATCAAGCCTATCACTTTCGCTTTACCAAAATAAAAAACCAACCGATTCGTTGATATTCAAATCCTCCAAAGATGAGAATCCAACTCCTTTCTGCTCTCGTTGCGGCCTCCGCCATTGGTGCTGCTGCCGCTCCCGCGGCCGAGCACAACAAGGGCAGCCTGTCCACCATCAATGGTGCTCGTAACCTTGTGGCTCGTCGTTTTGCTCCCGAGTCGTTCAACCGTCGTTTGACCAGCTTCAAGCGGGACGACGACGATGACGACGACGATGACGACGACGATGAAGACTCTGAAAGCTCCTCCAGTGCTGCTCCCAGCAGCTCGGCTTCCTACGGATCTCCTATGATTACTTCTGCTCCTCCTGTCAGCAGCGCCGCCGCTGGTGGAAGCGGCAGCGTGACTACTACTCTTCCCGCTTCGTCCGGTACCTCTGCTCTCAACGCTGTCAAGACCATTGCCGCCGGCGAGACCTTCGATGGTGGCATGGTCGCGTACGACCGCGGTGTTTCCTGCACTGGTCAGGAAGAGGGCGATGACAGTGACGCCGTGTTCGAGATCGAAGATGGTGGTACGCTCTCCAACGTCATAATTGGTCCTAACCAGATCGAGGGTGTCCACTGCTACGGTGCCTGTACTCTGACAAACGTGTGGTGGAGCTCCGTCTGTGAGGACGCTTTCACCATCAAGGAGCAGGAAGACGGAAAGACCACTACCATCACCGGTGGTGGTGCTTTTGACGCTGATGACAAGGTCCTGCAGCACGACGGTGGTGGTACCCTTGAGGTCTCTGGCTTCTACGTTGAGAACTTTGGCAAGGTGTACCGTAGCTGCGGTAACTGCGATGACATGCCTACTCGTCACGTTGTCATGGACAATGTTTACGCCGTTGAGGGTTCTGAGATTGTCGGTAAGTACATACTTCCTTTCAACCCTGCAAAATGACTTGTGGCTAATGAGAAACACAGGTATCAATGCCAACTACGATGACACTGCTACTCTCCGTGGCATCACCGTATCCGGTGTCGACGACATTTGCGTCACCTATGAGGGTAACTCGAACGGTGACGAGCCTACAGAGTCTGGCTCTGGTCCTGACGGTACCAACTGCAAGTACTCGAACAGCGACATCACCCAGCAGTCCTAAATCACCGGATGACGCGACCCGTTACTGGTGAAGAGCAAGGATCTAGTTTCGAAGGATCACAGAGGGGTTCGCCTTATTGTGTACATCTTACTCTGTACAATAGTACATACTATACGGATTGAGTGGTATTCTCTATACACTTCAATTCCGTCTTACTGTCCTTAATATCATTGTGATCTTATTTCATAGCCAGTTTCATCCCTTTTCTCGCGTAGCAGGTGAATGGTCTCCCACCAGAGTAGATGTCGCCTATTTTATTCACTTTCTGATATAACCAAAGGAACACGTCTAGATTATTTTGATATTCGTCATGAATGGTTATTCTCGAAGAATCGAGAAGAAATGCATTTCCGGTAGTGTATATAGTAATGTAGATGCTATGATACGACCTACCAAAAAGGGTTTAGCGTCACTCATCAACTTCCTCATATTCAATTATCCGATCCAACGACCACTTTCTCCTTGGTCTGCATTATTGATGCAGCATGGTTGCAATGCCACGCCGAGCACATAAGAAATCCAGAAAAGGCTGCGTGGAATGTAAACGCCGGCACGTCAAGGTACTTCTGGAAAAGATAAATGTCGCGGCAAGGAAGCTAACTCTGGCCAGTGCGATGAGCGACGTCCGAAATGCGTCAATTGCTCGATTTCAGAACGGCACTGCGAGTATTTGGCAGAACCAGTTCCTACGACTACAAGAGCCCAGACTGAAACCAGCCATACAAGTCGCTCGTCACCGGCCGTAGTGTCAATATCGCCGGCTGGAATGTCACCGGCAGGAAGTGTCCCGGCCTTGACACAGGAAGAAGACTACCCTGCAGCTAATATGTTACATTTTGAACTCCTCTACTACCTGTCAAAGGAGACTATTCCGTCAATGGAGCTAAATTTTGAGCGAATTGATGTTCCTGTCGACGAGCTCTTCCGACTTTGCGTGTCCGCTCCTTACACGATGAATGAGGCTTTGGCATTCGCTGCGCTGCACTTGGCTATAGTTTCTCCCCCGGAAAAGAGAGATTTCTACAAGGCTCATGCAGGGCACCTGCAGACGCAAGCTCTCTCCATGTTCAACGCCATGAAGCCGGAAGTGAATGCTGAGACTTGTGGTGCGATATTTCTCTTTTCAGCGATGCTGGGGAATCATTTAATGTGCGATGCACTTGTATTCCGTGACACTGGCTTCAACAATTTTATGGACAAACTATGCCATTCTATCCGATTGCTTCGAGGTGTCCGCATAGTCGCTGGTTTGTCATTCCGCACGCTTGCGGAAACCCCATTAAAGCCAATATTTCGATATGACGTGATGCCATCTGAACGCGATGAATTTCTCGGACCGGAATGCGGAAGACTTCTAGATTTTATTATATCGGCAAGGTTGGGGCAATCGATTACGGACTGCTACAAGGACGCGATTGAGAATCTCCAGCTTGCAAGCAATTCAGCGAAGTCTACTCCAGGATTCATGAGCAAATCTCCGATAATCGCATGGCCAGTGCGTGTACCTGACGAGTATTTCGACGCCTTGGTAGCGCGGCGCCCTGAGGCGCTGATTATCTTTGCTCACTATGCTGTGTTGCTACATAGCATCCGCGACTCGTGGCTCTTTTGCGACTCTGGGTTGTATCTGATACAATCCATCAATGCATTCATTGGACCAGAATGGGAGGAGTGGATGGCCTTCCCGAATAGCGCACTCGATATGGGATCTGCTCACTTTTCAAACTGATGCACAAGCACACTTCGTATACAGATACAACGCGAGATAACAGTACAGACCAAAGTCAGCCATTATAAAATTCATCCAAGAAAATGGGCACCCTGGACTCCTGAAGGCAATCTCAACAGGATCACAAAGACAGGAATATTCGACGCCAACCATCAAAGTATAGCCCCGAGATTTCGACGCCAAGGGACCTTCCATGCTTCAGTTATAAACCCTGTTTACAAGGATGCAACTTGGCCTGAGGGCGATGTAAGTGAGCCTGTATAGATTTGGCAAACAAATCTAACCTTATAGGGCGCCCTCAAGACCAGTCTCTAGATTGGCGATATGTGTATTTGATCGCAAAAATTCCCGTTGTGGGGATCAACTTCGGCGTGTGTGCCTTTTACTCCAGAGCGCCGATACAACGGAACCATGCGACTATTTAACCCCGTTTATTAGTTATTATATCCTTTCAATGTTCTCCTTTCACAGGAATTGGTACAATTAATAAATGTATAAGACTGACACTAGGTGGCGTCGAGAGCGCCATTCTGGGCCAATTTCAGTTTACCTGAAACGACGGTAGCGCGAGGTCCTTACAGGAGTCTACCGCCCAATTTTCCAAATCTATCGGCCCACTGCAAGTTTCAAGGAGTCGGAGATTTCGAGTCTAGAAAATGTAGCTGGACTACTATAAAAAAGGCTGATGCCACTGCACCAAAAACTTACCAGTATCTCGATCCTCGTCGCCATCAAACACCAAAATGTACACACTCGCAAGTCTCACTACTCTTGCCCTTCTTGGGCTCGCCAACGCGCAGTCCAACATCGGCTTCGGCCCTGCGTTCTCTCTCGGTCCTACCCAGTCATGGATCCGTGAAGCAAACACCACTCTCGTGCTTCCCGAAATCCCAAGCAAGGAAGTTGATCGACTCGCTCTCTGGCCTGGAATGGGAACCAGTGGCGGTGACTTGATCCAGGCCCTCGCTGTTTCTTTCTCAGACCCAAATGCGTGAGTGATTCAACAGGAGGTCATTTGAAAATTGGCAGCTGACATGTTGTAGGAATTGCGGCGCTAGCGCTGGGCAGTGGTGTACGTGGGCTAGTACGCTTCAGGGTAAGGATCCCGGATGGATAAATTGTTGTAAGAAATGAGCAATGCTGACTGGACAATAGGACAGCAACTCGGAGGCAAGGAAGTTCCTGCCAACCCTGGCGATGAGCTTGTCATGCATTGTAAGTTATCCTCAGTGTTCGACGATGATCAAAGCTAACAAACCATAGACGAGTACAACGATGACACCAGCAAATATGACCAGACCGTCTCCATCAACGGAGAGGTCGTCTCAAGCCTCTCGACCGGTATGTTGTCCTTCCCTTCCTCCATAAGAGCACACATTAATGATATCAATCAGATTCGGGCCAAGCTCAAGGCTGGGGTACAGCCGTCGAATGCCAGGATGACGCCTGCGAAAACAACCGCGTTGCTGCGCACCGTAAGTCTCATCATACGAGCATGAACGAGTGATCGCTAACCCCCGACAGAATACAAGTCGACCACTATCGTCCTCGACTCCGCTGACTCTTCGTTCAAGGACACGCTTGTCCTCACGGAGGCCGACTCGTCGGACTTTACTACTAACGACAACGGCAAGACTTGGACTGTCGAGACTATTAACATCCATGCGCACACTTACAATCTCTAAGGGGGGTTGATGTCTCCGTTGATATAGGGTATATTTTTGTTTGTGCATAGAGGGCGTTGTCAGGACTACGTGAATATAGTCAGACTGTGCCTGGTTGCAGGTCCTAAAAGTTACCTTTCGTTGTCCAAGTAACGTAGATTTATACACGGAAACCAAAATATATTTAAATAGAAGAGAATGAAAAAGAAAAGACATAACTATGGATGCAACGTAATGGTCCTCGCGCGAGCGCCCCCGCAATCATATGCCGCCAGCAACGTATGATGATCCAGCGCCATGATACCCGGCCAGTGGCTGATCTTGTCACAAACCACTTCCGGCTTGCCCCATTGAATCTGTCCGTTGTGAGGAGGCTGGCCAAACACGACGCTGACCGTCGCGTTACGCGTCCACTGCACCTGTGACTGGTTCTCGTCCGTCATGAAGATGACAGCCAGCGAGCCATCCGCGAATGACGCGATCTGCGGCGATCCACAGTTGTGGCCACGAGCCGGCGTGTACACATTTTGCCTCCAGCCCCAGGTGCGGCCGTCGTCGTAGGAAAGCAACGCTTCCACGTTGAAGGGACCGTGGCGCGTCGTCTCGAAGACCATCACCAGGGCCTCCCGGCCGTTATCCCTAGTTTCGGCAATACCAGTCATGCCATCGCGCAGGCATTCCGTCTCTCCGTGCAGACACCGCGGTGGGGACCACGACGAACCTTGGTCGGTCGAAATAAGCATCATCGAGCACTGGTTGTTGTGCGCATACTCCTGCGAGTAAACCAATTGCACCTCGCCGCCACGACCCTTCCGCATGAAGGGCTCCCAGATACCATTCGGGGGACCCTTCTCCATTGCCTGCGACGCGAAATGCCACGATCGTCCGCCGTCCATGGACCGGCAGACGGTGATGCGGAAGTGCGTGGGGCCGTGCGGGCCAATGTCGTGGTTGCGGAACGCCGCTAAGATAACCCCTGGCGCGGCCTCCAGCAAGAACACGTTGTCACAATCGCCGTCAGCCCGAGACACCTCGCCATGCTCCGCCCAGGACTGGCCTCCGTCGGTACTCCGGGAAACGCGCAGGACTCGAGTCGGGCCCTCGAATTGGGTGCATGAGGCTAGGATCGAACCGTCGGACAGGCGAGTTAGACGAGGATAGGTGCCTTTGCCGTTGAATGAGACGTGGCGCTCGTCGCTGTTGATAACTCGTCTTCCGCTTGTAGGGACTCCGGGGTGATTCGCGTTAGGACGGGAGGCGGAGCCCTGGTTTTTGAGCTCGTCAATGCCCTTTTGGAAGCCGTGAAGGATCTTTTGGCCAATTTTGTCTGCCATGGTGATATATATATATAAGTAAGGTACAAGTAATTGAGGTAAGTATATATATAATATGTATTGTGGAAGACTGGGGATGCAGCTCAGTTATGTACTCCGGAGTACGGAGTAGTATCTGGCTGCGGGGGATGATGACATCATGCTGTAAAAGACGCTGCCTGTGCGATTGACATTTCACTAACCTTAATCGGAATAAGGAGATCGGATGGTGCTCTAACTGTATGAGGTATAGATCTGGTTGCTATATTTGGTAGCCGGATTTGGGGACGGGGACTTCGTTTCGGAAGCACCACAGCACTACTGATGGAACTTTGGAGGCCAAATGCTAGGCCCGGAGAACATATCCTGAACTATACGAAAGAGAAACCACTGGACTTCAATTGGAAACTGAAAACCCGACTACCAATAACAAGGGCCTATCCTCCATGGTGCTCACCCAGCTCCAGCTTATTTGACCTGATCACTTCCCCAAGGTGGACGCTCAGCAGAGTAGTAATAGACACTCAAGTATGGTCCGGTGCGTTCGTTGTATGCAAACGAAATCCACGCTTGCAGGCGCTCAGTTTGCGAGATGTTCTGGTTCGGACTGCGGCTGGTTAGCATAATCCTCACGAGCTGTCTAATAGTTACTCACTATATTTGACGTAACAGGTGCGGATATTGTCTCGCGTGGTCCTGCCATCCCAGGTGTGTGAAGAACTCGGAAATGGACTTTGATACCTGCAAGTCATTCTCGCCGTGAACTGGGAAGTAGAATTTGGGCGCTGGATGTGGACTGCCCTTGTTGAGCTCGTAGTTCCAGATAATCGGCAAGGTCTTTCCACCATTGTCGGCCGCAAATCCACCCTTGTAGTCGCGGTCACCTTCGTTGATCTGGAGCAGTGACCACATGTGCTGCAGTAGTTCAAGACCAGTCTTGATGGTGGCATTGTTTTCGATTCGTCCGCCCAATGTCCACATCTCCTTGACCTTATCCCAAGTCACTGCATTGTGAACGCCGTACAACTTGAGCCGAGACCGTTCGATATCGACGCAATCCCACGACACAAAAGAGTATTCGTTCCAACCATCGCTTTCCTCCATATAACTGTTCAGGATGGAGAAGGAGTCCCAGCAGTGCATTTGGGGCTCCAAATTGCGAATAGAATTTGAAATGAGCTGTCCCACAGGGGTCCCAGTAGCTCTGTTCTTTAGTCCGGCGAACGCATAGCCCTTGACGGCGACCCGGCCACCTTTCAGATCGAACCCGAAAGCTGTTTGGCTGCGGACGGTGCTTTTTCCATTGATTCCACCCTGCTTCTGCAAAGATTCGGACTCGGACTTTGACAACTCGAATTCGTTTGTGAAATGATTGAAAAGCTGGGTATCGAATTCATGCAGCTGCAATTTTGACAGCTGATTCAATAGATCTGCTGCAGCGATCTTGTTATAGGGATCCTGAGGTGTCCCAGAGAAGCGGCTCAGTGGTTCGAATCCAATACGCAGCAACGGCCGGGAATTCAGCTGAAAGTTGAGACTGTACTCGATTGGCAATCCAGTTGGAGTGATAGTGCTGCGCCATCTGGCCGGATAAGGTCCCAGGGATGGAAGGATGTTCTTTATGAAGAACACCAGGTATTGGTATTGGGTGTGGACATCATACCCAGCGCCTTTCAGGAAGCGTCCGAAAAGAGGACCAGTGTCCCGCCACCACGCCTCTTGGTCATGAGTGGGATAGTCGTAGTAAGAGGTCAATACTTCAGAGGGCATTTTGGAATCAGTTCCTTCGCTGGGGTCCGTATACGAGGTCATATTTGGCGCTGGGGAAGCAGAAGTAATGGATTAGGTTGTTTTGGAACTGGCTGACTTCCTTCGATACTCAAGGGGCTCTCTTATATGCCGGTGTAACAGGCTACATTTTGAAAACAAGTCTATACTGCGACAATATTCCCGAGAATTTTCTAATCAAGCGAGGTTGCCGGAAGTATTGCGCTTGTTGCGGTGGCTCCTTCATGCCGTATAATTACCCGCTGGCAGTCCTACTTTTGATTGTCAGCGTTATACGAGTGCCCAGCATGTTGCGCCATTTCCGTTACATTTTATTCCTGCCAGCTCGATTATAAACAGGCCTAGGCCAACTACGTCAAAAGCAAATGCCTAATCTCTGGAACCCAGTCCGGTTCCAGATATACTCAATACATCCTATTACTTTCAACTCTCAGGTACTATTCGGGCAAAAAATCGCGATTTAACACATTATCGTAAGGTCCCGATAAAGTCTTCTCATGCATACTCATGTCCCAATGGACAAGGCTTAACCTTTCACATCTAATTCGATACTTGTCCTTCTCACCTCGTTTGCCTCTGACGTGGACCTATGCATTGCATTATGTTCGTCGAATAGCTATGCAGTCAGCATTCTTAGTGTCGTTAGCTACGAGTGAGGACATGCTCACCGAGTCTATTGCCTCCAAAGATTTTCCGCTTGTCTCCGGATAGAGAAATAACAGAATGAGAGCTGAAACAAAATTCGTGGCCACGAAAAGGAAGTAAAACTTCCATCCACTGTGATCCAAGGCAATCGGACCTGTTTGATTGAACAAAAGAGTTACTGACCAATTGACCGCACTGGCCATCGAATATCCCTTCTGCAAGTCCACTTAGTACTGGATCTCTAGTTTTGGAAAGACGCACCTACCGATCTGATTTGTGTTGGGAAAATCTCCGACGCATACACCCATGACAATGGACCCCAAGTGGTGCAGTAAATGATAAAGAATAAAAAGATCATTGCAACGCCCCCAATCTGCCCACTTACTCCCAGTTCCGATGCCTCTGTGAGTCCTGCCATCACTATCAACGTGGCTGTTTGTGAGATATTCGCTATCATCAGGGGAGTTCTCCTGCTGAGGCGATGTACGAAGAACAGGACTATAAAGGTGGTAGCGGCTCCGACAGAGCCGTAGACTCCTGTCAGGAAAATTGCTCGTCTGCCTCCATATCCGAGAGAAGTGAAAAATTGAGTCAAGTAGTAGTTGATGACCTGTCTTGCTGTCAGCTTTCATTTGATGTCACGTTGGAAAAAGACGTACATTGATCCCAGTCAGATTCAGCATTAGCCAGATGCCGGCCCCTAGGAGGAGTCGATTCCTCCATGCCTTTCGCCGGAAGATCTGGAGGTAACTACGTTCCGAGGCGTGTGCTTTCTCTTGTTTGATCTGCTCCACAATCTCCCGGAACTCGGTGTAAGCCGAATTCGGGTTCTGCTTGTCAGGATTCAGGCGCTGTACTACATGTAACGCAGCATCCAGTGCGTCGCGCTCCACAAGCCACCGTGGAGATTCGGGAAGAAACCAGGAGCCAACGAAAAGCACAATTCCTGGAACGACCTGTAGAGCGAGTGGCACGCGCCATTGGAACGAGGAGTTCACGAAGCTGAAACCATACCCAGTCCCTGGACAGGTTAGCATTCTCTTTCTGTCATCGTGCATCAAGACCTACAGTTGGCAGTGGCGCTCCCCATAGCTAGCATCAGTTGCTGACAGCCGACAATAGTCCCTCGCCATTTAGGTGGTGAAATTTCCGCCTGGTCATTGTCAGTATGGTAATCATTGCAACATACATGGTGGGGTAGCGTACCTGATACACGGGCACGGTCATGGTCAGGGATCCAACACCGAAGCCAGTAATAAAGCGTCCGGTTATGAGCATGGCGGTGTGATATGCCGCAGCTTGGAGAGCGCCGCCGACCTATACGCTCCTGTATTCAGATCGGGATTACCAAGAGCAGACAAAGCCAGAGGCTTACCACCACGAACACACAGCCGAACATAATTGCTTTCTTCCTTCCCCATAAATCTGATAATTTCCCCGCTGTCAGACAGCCAAAAAAGCCCCCAGCTTGCATGATTGCGATAATTGTCCCCATCATGGACGATGTTGGATTAAACTGCTGGAGGAACTGTTCCTGTGCAATAGTCGTGGTCATGACCCCGGAATCATAGCCAAAAAGGAACCCCGAGATTCCGGCAATGGCCCCGCAAAACAAAACCAGAGATAGCCCCATTGCGACAAAGTGGACTCTTCAAGTTAGTGTGGAACTAAAAAAGAGAAAATCTGCCGCAGACGTAGTGAACCTAGTCAGTTCACAGTCCGTCAACATGGAAGTTGAAATAGAGAAACAAATATTGGCAAGCCTCGCTTGTCTTGCCAGTGTTGTACAAGAAAGATAAAAGTCCGTAAGCAGTGTCCACAGCCAGTTACGCCACGGTCCTCTTTCAGCTCCTAGCGTATTGTAATCTCAACTGACTGGATGCACTCGATTTAGACCAGATCGGAATCTGCTGGCTGGGCTCCGCTAGACCTTCCGGATGTCTTCAGTATAAGAATCTTTTAGCCGCTTGTATTCCTGTTTATATGCGCCAGTGGTTTTCCAAGTTTGCTTCATCGCGGTCACATTGATTCCTGCAATGCACCACCTCATCAATGAGTTATGTTCCTTGACTGAAACTCTAAATACAGAGGCTAGTATTAAGCAAGAAGTTGTGTGGAGGCCATCGTAGCAATATATCTGTATATGAGTATATCTTAGTCTTGTTTCATCCTTTTTGAGGCCATTTCCGACCTGACTGTGTAAGGAAATGCCTACTTCACTATGTGTCATTCTACATCTATCCCTGAGCATGATGAGCGTCCGCCCATTATAGTGGCTCTATAGGCCTAGTTGTATAATTTCTGAGCTCAGGAAGTAACTTTAACACCGTGAAAATGCAGCTATATATCTCCTACAATTTGCTAATGAATATATTCTTTCTCAATTTTCATTGATCGCACAGTGCGGCACTCGACTGTCCAGCCATAGACATGCTTCACTACTACGCAGTGGCTAGAAATTAAAATATTAAGTCAATGAACATGAAGTCGAGGATAAATGCTGTGGTCTTCTGCACAAATATATCCCATATAGTTAACTCATATTGGACACGGTGCGTTCTTTAAAAGAGCCTAGAAATGCATACAATGTATATGTCTGAAATAATAAAATATAGAGTAAAAGGTAACAGCGACAACAACCGGTCGCCTCATTCTATTGCATAGAAGCCGATGTTGTTGTATTACCTATTCGAGACATCTCATCTTATCACCGCCTGACTTCCTCACGATAAACCGATCTCCTTTCTTGACAATCGCAACAAATCCCAACCTCTATGCTATCTATACCACCATTAAATGTTGTCGCGCCATCTCACATATCTCATTCACACCAACTCCGATACGAGTGGCTTCGCTCCGAAGTACCTCTCCCAACCGCTCCTTTACTTCGCCGTGATGGCTGTCCTCTTCCTCCAGCAAGATCCGGAAGCACTCTAACAGTAGAGCCTCGAGAATCTCTACGAACTCCGCAGAAAGCCAATCGGTGTCATATTCAAGGCGCACAGTGAGTTGCTCATGCTCACTAGCTCTGGTGGCCTGCCACTCGAACAACAAGGGGAATTTCGCTCCCTCCGCTGAAACGTACTGTCCTTCCACGCCTTGTATCGCCAGAGGTGGCTCTGTTCCGCGGTCGTCGTGGAAAGTGACGCAACAGGAAAAGAGCTGAGGCTGTGCGGAGGGGAAAGGGAGCCCCAAATGGGACATCAATTCCGACCAGGGTACGCTGTGTGCCAGCGCCGATTGTGAGGATTGTCGGACGCTTTGCACGAACTCACGAGCGTCGGGCCCGCCATTATTTTCGTTCTGGTGTTTCACGGAGATGCGGACGGGTAGCGGCTCCAGGAATAAGCCTATTACCTGTCGGTCCTCGAACGAAGGGCGATTGACAAATGGGGAACCAAGGACAATGTCGTCTCGACCAGTCAGAAAATGCAACACGAGACCAGCAACAGCCATGCCGAATTGGTGGAAAGTGAAACCGTTCTTTGTCGAGGATATGATAAGGCGACGATACAGACTATCGGACAGACTCGTCGTTCGTGAGGTTCCTCTGTATGAGCGTGGTTCGCGAATCTTTGTGCCGTTCGAGTGATCACAGCCATTGGCTCCATTGACTCCATTGACTTGACTGGCTAAATTGGGCTTTTTGAAGCTGAGGCCTTCTAGGTACTCTGCCCAAAACCGTTGCTTCTCCTGGTCGACCGTGTGGTGCCATGTGACATCAAAATACTCACGCACCACCGGAGATAAGGTCAATCCATGATAGGTATCTGCAACCTCATATAGCAACGTGTTGATAGATGTTAGATCACATAGGATATGCGAAATACACAGAACCAGTGTCGATGGCGATACAATCGTGTGGATAAGGGCCTCACTGCTGTCGATTTCAAAAGGCTGGTTAATCACCTCTTGGATGTTGACATCATGCACTGTCCGTTTTACGCTGATTGGGTATTCAGACAATACACGTTCGTTACTTCCATCCCTTCTCACAGCAAATCGCGATCTCAACACGCGATGGCGATTGAGGACCGTTTCGAAGGCGCTCGCGAGACGTTGCCAGTCAACTGCTGGCGAGAGTCGTGCAACGTAAGACACATTGAAGGTTGACTGCGACTGCGAATGGCGGTATTTACATGCCCATTCCATCTCTGGGGGTGAGAGGTTCTTAAATCCCAGTGGTCGATCCACGATACTGTGAGCAGGTGCACCGTTAGGTGCATTTTTCTTTCCATGCTGCTCTTGCTGCTGCGCAACTAGGATAACCAAATCGCCCAATGTGGAAGACCGGATGATGTCCTTGACCTTGATTGGAAGCCCAAGTACGGAGCGAAGGCGTGCCGCCAAGTTGAGTTGTCGAATGGAATCACCTCCGAGAAGGACAAAGTCGTCTGACCTGGAAAGTGGTTGCGCTGGATCGAGGCCGAGAAGTTGTTGCCATTCTTGAGCGATAAGCTTCTCAAGGTGCGCTTCGTTCAAGGCATGGGAAACACCATTGCTAAGACCATTACTGCTCGTTTGTTGGACTGAATCCAGCTTACTTGTTTTGATAACCCCGTTGGTCGGCACCGTACCATTGCGAACTTCCATAGCAGCCAAGCTCTTGACATCAATTTTTCCATTCAACGATAATGGAATATGTGCAATGGAATAAATGGTTCGCGGGATTGCATGCGGGGGCAGAGCATCCTTTAATCGGGACCGCAGCTCGCCCGTGTCCACGTCTTCCGGCTCCACGCACAGCACAACTCCACCGTCCTTGACAAAAGCAGCAGCGTGGCGAATTGTAGGCATACGGAGGGTAGCCATGTTGGAGATACCGTCGAGATTAATACGGAAACCGCGTACTTTGACCTGACGGTCCTTACGGCCACAGCACTGAATCTTTCCGTCTGTGTCCCAGAATCCAATGTCACCGGTGTCGTACATGCGCTCGTTAAAAGATTCAGGAAGAAAAGGGTCAGGGAAGTAGGACTTGGCGGTGACTTCAGGTAGGTCGAGATAGCCATGGCTCACTTGTACCCCCGCAACAAAGAGATTGCCCAGAGTGTTTGGCGGCTGAAGCTCCCTATGGTCGTTGAGGATGTATGCTCTCACAGAAGGGAATGGTTGGCCAATAGCAACTGGAACACCCGCTTCAAGTCGTGTCCTCGTAACGATGATTGTGGCCTGGAATGGTCAGTAATGGATCACAGCAAATGTCAGACATCTTAAATGATCGTTAGTTGAGAGGATAGGAGAATGGTACGCACCTCTGTAGGCCCGTATGCGTTGTAAAGCTCTCGATCTACTGCCCATTTATCTGCTGTTCTTTGTGGGATTGGCTCTCCAGCAAGGTAAACCTGATTCAAGTCTGGTAAGTCTATGAACAAACATACGCGAACAAGGAGGGCATACATAGTCCAAATCAGAATACTCTGAAGGATCCAGCGAGCCAGCAACAGTCGCATTCATAGAGACCACGTCCACATCAGCCAGATGAGAAAAGGGGTCATCGTCGTCCTTGCGCAGAACGAGTGTGCCTCCATAGCAAAGACTGGCGAAAACCTCATGGACGCAGACGTCAAAGCCAGTTGACATAAACTGAGCGATACGCCGTCCAGGCTTACTATGCAGCCGTCCTTCAATGGAGCATGATTGCAGCGAAACCACCCCTTGATGCTGGCAAAGAACGCCTGTTGTGACGACATACATTAGCGAAATTGCAATCACAAATTGTTGATATACTTGCCTTTGGGAACACCTGTTGAACCCGATGTGAAGCAAATGTACGCCCCGTCGCTAGGTTTTTGTGTTCGCCATGGGCAAAGTGGCTCGATATCGCTAGCCAGAATGCCTTCGATGGAAATGGCTGTCACACCATTATCGGCTGTTGGGAGTTGTGACCTGCTTGGGACCAGGAATAGCTTGGCATGACTGCGCCGAAGCAAGTCTTCTCGGTACTCAGCTGGATATGATGAATCCAGCGGACAATACACTGTGTTGGCAATCGTGGCCCCCATAATGCCGACTATCCAGTTGATTGATCTATCGGCCAGGATAGCTACTACTTCTCCTGGTTGCGTCTTTTGCTCAACTACTGCAGCTACCCGAGCTGCACATTGAACCAGGGTAGCGTAGGTGACTGAATGTGGCCCCTTTTGGACCGCAACATGTGTGGGGTATAGACTAGCGACCATACCGAAGAGACTGGAAAGAGTATGTCCCCCGTTTACAGAAGGAACCCGTGAAATTTCAGAATCGATGTTTCCTGTCTGCAGTATGGTCCGATTCATTTCAATTGGAAACCGGCGATTCATACAGTCCTGTAGATTTCTTCCGGGATCAAGAAACGCATCGAGTAAGCTCGTGTAAATGGCTGCCATATCCTTCACATGGCTTTCAGAGAACCGATCTGTGCGATATAGAAAGGTAATTTGGCCATCATTTTCGACTACCACCGTGAGCGGGAGCAAATTTGACTCTCTGACTTCTGGGTTCCGAAGTGAAGAGATAGCAGTAGTCCCAGACCGAAGACCAGAATCTTGCACAGTCAAAGTGCTTGCAAAAGGTGGGGTATTCTTCGGACGATCCGCAACTTGAAACCGAGAGATATCCTGAATTGTTTGGTGGATTTCACGGACAAAGCTGGCAGATTCAACCTCGCGTTCAATACGGCACCGCAAAGGCAGAATATTGAGCAGCGGCCCGACCATGCACGGGGCCCATGAGAATGGAAGATTTCTTCCAGAGAAGACAGCCCCAAAGATCACTGTGTCTGAATTTGTGTAGCTGGAGAGCAGCAATGCCCACGCTGCATAAAAGATGGCGGCCGGAGTAGCCTGGGCCTGTTGTGCCGCGAAGCGTAGGCGTTGGCTATCTATACTAACGTTCGCGACATGCTCAGCGAAGTCCATCCCGCTTTGATCCGTCAACGCCTCGGGGATGAGAGGCTCTCCCGCTGCCCCAGGATACTGTGTCTCTTGGTCTTTCCAGAAGTGGTCGACTTCGGGTGCTATTTTGTCCCGCATTTGAGCGATGTCTTGCGCGGCAAGCGTGAAAGGATGGGAAGACTCAAAAGGCTCATCTTTCAGCGCTTTGTCGACCTTTTCAAACACCAATGAAGCGGAATAACCATCTATGAGCGCATGATGCACCGCCCATACAAAAATGCTCTCGCTACGGGGAAACTCCGGTCCGACACAATGCAGCACGCGGAATCGGGATCCTAGCCCAGTAGCGGCAGGAAGAGACTTGAGGCTTTCTTCAATGGCTGCGTACGTAGTAACAGTTGTCTCTTCCCATATGAAAATCCCAGCACCGATGAGTCTCTGAGACGGCTCTTGCGTATCGTCTAGCTCAAAACTAGTTTGGAAAACAGGTTCATGAGTCACCACCATTTTCCAGGCCTCTCGGAGCCTTCCAATGTCTTCCATCTTATACCAGGAGATGTGCTGGAGGCAATTGGCCCTAGGATCCTCTACTATACTGTCGAGAACCATCCGCTTCTGCAAGGGCGTAACTGGTCCTTGGGTGGGCATAGAGCTTTCTTCCGGTGTCCTTGTGGCAAATGCCGAACTATCTGGTGTATCCTCAGTTTCATGGCGACTTTTCTCAATCAAGGAGTGAAGAGATGGTTCCGTGAGGATACTCTCGACAGAGACGTTATATCCATGATGGCGACAAAATGTCGACAACTTAGCTGCGGCTAAGGAATGCACGCCCTGAAAAACGGCGGAGTCCTTCAAATTGATTTCGCCCTGAGAGACGCCCAAGACCTGTTGAATCCCTATGAGAATTGCTTGGCCAATCGTTAAAGGGCCTGAATGCCAGCTGTATTGCTTTCGGTTATTGGCATCAGGGTTGTCGTGCGATATGCTGTTCTGCATGATCGCATCTTTCTGCATTACATCCCGCAAAATGCTAATAACTTGTCGAGGATCGAATTTTCCGTTTGCTGTCAGCGGAAGGTCATTTAGGGCAACCATCTTATCGGGCACGAGGTAGGGCGGCGCCACCAGTCGCCAAGCTGCCTGTAGATGGCGACAATCAACCGATGATGGCACAACTGCTGTGCAAAGCTTTTTATCGAGCACCACGGAGAAGACAGCGGTGATATTCTGATCAAGGCGTCGAAGACCAGCGTCAACGTCTAATTCTAGGTTAACCAAAAATCCTCTGATTTTGGTAACCCTGTCACGCCGCCCGCAGAACTCTATGGCGGTCTCGCTGTCCTCTGTGGTCACGAATCGGCCTAGATCGCCAGTGCGGTAGACACGTCGCCCCTGATACTCAATGAATCGGTCTTTCGTACGATTCTCATCCTGCCAATATCCATCCGTCAAACATGGGCCTTCGATACATATTTCCCCTTCTGTGTCTCTGTCTTGGACCGTTTCCATTTCCTCGGTGAGCAAGAGCACATTTGATCCGGGGATGCAGTGTCCTAGCCTCGTGGGATGGAATTTGCCAGTCTCACTGGATGCTTGGAGACGACCACTCAACACTGCACAGGTAGCTTCGGTGGGACCATAGGCAATCCAAAGGGCAACATCGTTGAAGGCTGACCACGCTTCCAGCAATTGCTGTGACGGAGTTTCGCCACCAAGGAAGATACGTTCTAGGCTGGGATAGTCTGATGGAGATTGAGGAGGGCTCAGCACATCTAGAATGGACGGTGTCACGACAAGTACTGTGCATTGTCGAGACCGTTCCTGAAAGTTCAATCTGTTGGCCAGGATCACCGTGCCTCCGTTGCAGATCGTGTTGAACAAGGTACCCATGCATGCTAACGATTATGTATCAGTTTCGACGATTCAATGAAAAAAGCGGATTGAACATACCGTCAAATGCTACCGAAAGTACCAACAATAACCGGTCTCCTGGCACTATATCGTAGTTGAATCCCGGTGATGTTACAAACCGAGCAACAGAGCTATGTGGAATCATGACGCCTTTTGGCTTGTCGGTAGTGCCAGAGGTAAAAATGATACACATTAACTGTGGTCTTCGATTGGGCTCGTACTGTGTTTCGAGCGCGCTTTCAGGCCAAATCTGAACCTGGACAGTGCGACACTCTTCCTCCAGGCTCACACCGGAGGGGATGTTGTCGCCCGTATAGACCACAAGGCCCGAGCATGTACGGCTCAACACATAGTTAATGCGGTCCGCAGGCCATTGATCAACATCAATGGGCACATAGACTCCGCCGGCTTTAAGAATTCCCAGGACCGCAATGACCATTTCCAGACGGGAGGTCGTCAAGAGTGGAATTACTTGGCCTGCCGTGATTCCATTCTGCTGTAGACAATAGGCAAGTGCGGAAGACTGTTGGTCGAGCTGACTGTAGGAGAGTTTGCCATTCGGCCCATCGTCGATAGCAGTGTTGTCTGGGTTTTGGCAACACCGTTGACTGAAAAAAGAGAGGACGGAGTCGGATTCGATGGAGCCCATCATGCACCAAGTGGCAACGGAGAAGACATTCAACTATAGGCAACGGATCTAAGGGGACAAAGAAAAGGGTGGTTCAAGAGATCCTCTACAACGGACTCGACCACAAGAACCCGCGATGGGTCCTGCGCTTGGCCTGGCGGTCCTTCTTTTGTACGCCGTATAATTATAGTTCGTCATCTTAGATGTCCAATTTGGCGGAACCAGCGGCTCCGTATGGCGTTCAGCTGGCGGTAAAGAAACTACAATTCCTGCTGGTTGCATTTGGAAAACACCCGAGCTGAGGTTGCTGTTTGTGAACCTTTGTACAAGACGCCATTGAACAGTGTAACACTGGGCCTCTTCAAGAATAGTATTGTCCACTTTCGGGACCGCTGTACGGGGATGACAATGACATCGGACAATGGTCTTTCTACGCTCTCAGCCCTGAGTAGATCTTTACTTGTGGGGCGCTTTATGAGTCCCCGGCGACATTGCGTAGTCCCCGATTCCCTTTTCGTTTTACCTACCTTCACAGTAGAGTGGTTACCATTTGATTCTTACATGTGCAATTTCTTGGACTAGCTGAATGATATTTCCGATGTGGTGGTGCATTTCAATTATTTAGCCCCGACAAGAGCTGGATGATTGGCCATTATGTCCAAGTATACGGGCCCGAGCAACCCTCGCGAATGGTGAAAATCTCTCTTAGATTTCTGTGGCACACGTGCATATGGTGCCAGGATACCCGCACCGAATGTACTTCTTCGTTTTGTCTGGTCTTGACCTATCACCTTAAGGGACCAAAGCAACATCATCCGATGTGCCGGGTATACCTGGTCATTATCTGAAGATGTCTTACTTTCCACCAGCTGCGATATAAAAAAAGTCCGAATAGTCTAGATCGCAATCTCCTTGCAGTGTGTTAAAATTGGTGGCAAGATATCTCCTTGGCTTTACATCCTGGATATCGTTGCATGCAGTCTCGTTTGAAACCACAGTCGTCATTGCCAAGGCGAATTCAATTTAGAAAATCTCAAGCTGACAAAATCCTTAAAATTTTTCAAGGCTCCTGGAATTAGAAGTCCTGATAATATCTCCATTCGTCTGTTGACAGCTGAACAAACTGCCAACACTATGTGGGACTCCCCGATTATTTTCACCACAATGAGAGAGCTCGTGCAATCAGTCTCGCCCGCTGCCCTGTCATGGGCGGTTGTTGCCATATACCTTGGCACATTCTTTTGGCTTAGATCTCGTTCTTCCAAGCAACGTCTTCCTCTTCCTCCTGGGCCCCGTGGCCTTCCGTTAATCGGCAATAGTCTTCAAACACCGGCTGTCAATCCGTGGGAGAAATACAAGGAATGGAGCGATGAATATGGGCCCGTGATGACCCTTTCTTTGGGTTTAACTACGACTATCATTCTGAGCTCCCATCAGGTCGCAAATGACCTGATGGAGAAGAAGAGTACCATTTACAGCTCCCGGCCACAGCTCGTCATGTTTAATCGTCTCTCTGGAGGGATGAATTCCTCTGGAATGGAATATGGCAAACGTTGGCGAGACCACCGCTCACTGCAGGCCTCAGTCTTGCGGCCGTGGATGACGCAGAGATACACGGCACTTCGCGACGTCGAAACCAAGCAACTACTAGCAGAGCTCCTCAACACCGATGACTTCAGTTCATGCTTTAAGCGAATGGTTGCTAGCTTGTTCATGACACTGGCTTACGGCAAGCGCGTTCAGTACCCGGATGATCCAGAAATTCGGGGAATGGAAGAACTGGTGCGAGTCAAATCGGAAGCTGGCGAGGCTTCATTTCGGGCAACCGGCCAACTTGTGGAATACATTCCGCTTCTTCAATACCTGCCGTCATTCCTTACTCCTTGGAAGGAAATGTGTGATCGGATCTGCGAGCAATTCAACAAGACCTTCGTGGATAGACTCCGTGATGGAATCAATGCACCGGCGTGGACTTGGGCTAAAGAGGTCTCGAAGCACAAGGTGGCTCGTCCAATGTCGGAACTTGAAATTTCATATACGCTCGGTACACTCTACGAAGCATCTTTGACGTCGCAGCAGATCTTGCGTATCATTGTCTTGGTTGCCGCGTTATATCCGGAGAAAACTGCCAAGGCGCAGGAAGAACTGGATAGAGTCGTCGGAACAGGCCGTTTGCCTGCAGCGGCCGATGCACGTAATCTCCCGTATATCGACGCCTTTGTTAAAGAGGCTTTACGGTGGAGACCATTCGCGCCTCTTGGTGCACCACGCGAAAGTATCCGTGATGTGGAGTACAACGGCTATCTCATTCCAAAAGGTGCCACTATCTTGGTTAATCAATGGGCACTAGACTATAATGAAGATATGTTTCCGGAACCGTTTTCCTTCCTCCCGGAGCGATGGGTTGCGAATCCAAACCTGCCTTTTTCCACATTCGGGTTTGGTCAACGTGGCTGTCCAGGACGATACTTCGCGCAGGACAGTCTTTTCATCTCGACTGCCCGGTTGCTTTGGGCCTTCAACATCCGGACTGCATCTCCAGTGGAGGTCGAGGACATGCTCCGGAATCCGTCGGCCGGTGCTTTCCTTTCACCCATTCCGGAATTCGACGCTACATTTACTGCCCGTGATGCACAGCGAAAGGCACTGATTGAGAAGGAGTGGGAGATCTCTCCGAAGGAAAGTTATGCCATTCTGCAGGAGGTTGAGAAAGAGCTGATATCAGAAGGGGCGGAATAATAAGCCCTGTGTGACCACGTTGTGCTGTTTCCCCCTACTTCTCTTGTTGCCAACACGGCCAAACGTATTTTTCCTTTTCTTCTCCCCGCCACTCTGTGTTTACCTGGATTAGTTTTCCTTCGAGTGTCAAGAAACAGAAATTGAAATTCAACATCCACCTGGGTTGCTTTCCAGTATTAGTCTCACTTCCCTCGTAAGGTTAACCGCTGTGTTCGCTGTTCGTATGTACTGAAGCCACGGCTCCGTGTGTGCAACAACAGTCAGGGTCTCGGCTGCAGACTCGTTACATTTGTAGTGTGTTATTTCTCGGCTGATCCATCAGAGATCGACGGATGGTCCAAGACGACAATTTGGCGAGTCCGAGTCGTGGTCTGATCATCTCGTCGCACAATGCATGTACCTTGATTCCGTGCCACCCGATTTTCTAACATATCGTAATACGGAGGCCCGTTCCTTGCAGTTCTGACAGGCCTCGGGGAAATCCATCGAATGTCGTGCATTCCAAATTTTCCGATATTCTGTCAGACTCGTTTGACGTAAGCTCTGTTCTTACGGTCCGTGACAATCCAGACTGGTTAACACGCATATTCCATTAGCACAGAAATGATGATAGTGATTTAGTACTCTGGGATGTACTCAATCCGTTCTTCCCTTTACTTCCATGGGGAGCTGTCGCGCTGGGCTTGTCGGGCTACGGTGTCTAATGTGTTGTGTACGGATCAGATACAAGAAAAAGGAAGTTCAAGGGAGAGGGAACTCTGATTCATATTCGATGGCCGTAGCTCATTGATTGTTTGCATATTTGTCGTCGGGAAAGAGAGATACAGGGAAACATGCTTAACAGTAAACTGACTATTATTACCGATATGCATAGCTACGCAATTCATAAAGAGTTAACCAAAGCGACACGTAACATTATGAAAGCGAACGATACGACCAATGCTCTTTGTAGATCTCGTCTTGGTAGATTCCAGCATTATAGGCATTCCACAACTACCACAACCCTCCGAGATGGATGATGAAACCAAGGTCAAGAAGACCTTCTAAAACAATGACATGTAGATGCTCAGGTATGGCTTGCCTTTCCGGAATGAAAACGAAATGGCCTCCTGAACATGGCGGGACTGTGTGAAGTCGATATCCGGGCTAGATAAAATCAGTACCTCTTTCTAGAATTGATGAGTATGAGGACTTACAAATACGATGCTAGGTTTTTCTTGTAGTCCCTCGCCAGGTCCGTCCATCCACGCCTCTCGAAAAACGTAACTAAGCAGTCTGAAATGTGCGAATCCGGCAGGCCAAATGGCACCAAATAGACCTGAGGCATGGGATCTGAGTGGCCTGGCAGCAACGTCCAGTTGACCAAGGTAGGCAACATGTACTCGGGCGGTTGGCCCACTGAGCAGTGACTGATCGCGACAGATCGCGGTCCAGCAGGGATTTGCAGCAAGTCCCATAACTCCAGAAGCAGCTCTAGGCCCTCTTGGTTTGTCGGGGTATTGACACGGCCACCCAACGTCCAGAGATCCACGATTCCCTCGCGCGAAACCTCCTGTTGAAGGCCATACATCTTAATGCGGGCATCGTGCGGATTGACCATGTCAACGCTCATGAAGCATAACATCAATTTCCCTATGCCATTGGCAGAGTATTCCTCCAACTTGTCCAAAGGCTGAGTAATTCTGCCTTCTGTGTCGACCTCCCGGACTGCGTCGAGCATCAACTTTCCAGTCGGAATTCCCGTCACGACTGACTTGATGCCAGCGCAAAAGTACCCTTTGAACATGGGTCGTGAGCCTTTCAGGTCTACGGCGAATCCATGCATGCCTTGTCCAGGCCCGAAGTTGAACTGTCCTGTGGTAGCAAACTGCCGCGACTCCTCTTCGGTGAGCAATAACCGTGAGGAAAACTCGGCATGCAAAGTAGTGTCGATTCGGTCATCATGCTGCGTTAACCCCTTCAAGCAGTCTTGGATGATGTTCATGTTCTGGGGATCCTTTTCAGTACCGACATCGGGGCCAATAGGCTCAAATGCGTAGCGGAGAATGCCTTGGGAGATGTTCAGGCTTGGCTCAATGGGGATACCGTATGGGCACAGGAAGCTCTTCCAGCGGGTAGCATCATTTTCGACGGTTGGGAATTCTCCGAGGTACGGCAGGACACATTTGTAGACCATGCCTAGCTGAGCGTATTGGGCTTCAGTATCATACCCTTGACTTTGCATAGCCTTCAAAAGCATGGGACCCAACTTATCCCACCAGGCCTTCTGGTTCGCATCCGGGAAAGGGAGGACCCGAGAGAGTGTGTGGTAAGGCTGCATTGTGGGAGGTGACAACGTCGCTGATAGTATGTATTCTGAGAATAGGGAATTGAATAAATGATCTTGAAGAGTGGGTACGTAAAGCTGCAATGGAGGAATTATAGATGATATCGCTCGAGACTCGAGGAGATGCTCAAAGGGCAAGACTCAACCCTTTGATACAATTGTGACACATATTTCAAACCAAACCAATCTAACGTTGCTGTCAGGCTATCTGCGCACCGACATGTTTGGAATGTGATTTGTCTTCGTCTTCCGCTCCGGCACAGATGTTGCTGACCTTCTCACTCAGCCCGGAAACTCGGGATCTGATCTGGCAGTCAGCCGTTGGGCCACGCTCCAAAGTAATCCTGTGCACATTGTCAAATTAACTGCGTAAGTCACCCAATGCGGAACTCATCGAATCCTCTGTATCGGGGACCTTGTCGTGGCCGCATGGGTACACTCGAGCTCGTATAGACTGATGCACGTGTAACACGCAAGAGGTACCGCATGCTCGGGGACCGGGATCTGGGGCATGCGGCTTTGCTCTGCCACTGTCGTATGTATCCTTGCATAGGTTGCCCAACATGGAGCTGAGCATCTGCTTGTCAGTGAGCTGAGGCAGGATGAACATCGGTGGTTTGTAATGGTTCAAGAAATGGGACATGTTGATTGTGCCAGGCCCCTCTGTCTCTATGAAGAGAATAGATAGGAAATGTGTCAGCCGAAATGGAAAAGTTCGATGTTCAATTCATAGCCAATAGACTGTAAAATTATATTCACAATCCCAAGTCATCAAATTCTTTCATTCCCAGTTAGAATGATAACTAAATACTAAATGTTCCGCTCAGGGGCAAGTCTCTGCTCGAGCTTCCGAGATAAACCTTATACTCTCCCTCCTGCAAATGCCACTGTTGTGCATCGACATCCCAGACACTCAAGTCCCGACGTGTCAGCGGAAAGGCCACTGGCGTTGACTCCCCTGCCACGATCCGCACTTTGTCAAATCCTCTCAGCTGACGGACGGGTCCGTTAGGTATACCGAGGTACAGCTGCGGAACTTCGTCTCCGTCAACCACGCCAGTGTTCGAGACTCTCGCGGACACAGTCAGGATCTCATCCCATAGGTGTGGGTTGCCACCTTGTTCGATTGTCGCGTTTGGCGGATAAGCCGTGGTCGAGACATTTGACCGTCGCGTTTGCAGGTCTGAATAATCAAATGTCGTGTAGGATAGCCCGTATCCGAATTCGTAGCGGGGTGTAATGTTCTGGGCATCGAAAGCACGGTAGTCGATAAGTACGCCTTCGCTGAAGTTAGACTGCGGGAAGAGCCAGTAATCGCCCTCGCGCTGCGCAGGGTGCAACAATGAACCATAGTCCTCAGCTTGGCGAGCAACCGTGTAGGGCAGGCGCCCTGACGGATTCGCCCGGCCGTAGAGCAAGTCGACGACAGCCCTGCCAGTATCCTGTCCAGGGAGGTGGGCGAAAATCACCGCTGTGACATTCTCATGCTCAACCCAAGCATCCACGAGACGAATACCAGCATTATGCAACACAACCACGGTATTTTTGCATTTGTTGGCTACATTGGTCACGAGAGTGTCACTGTATTGGTCTGTGAGTCCTGGGCGATCCTGGCTCTCGGTGGCGTAGCTGTTGATGAAAACCAGGCAGACATCGCTCGTCGAATCAAGCTGAGGGTCAATTGAGTCAAAGTTCCATAGGATTGAGCTGCCATCTTCATATGCCTGTCGTTGTAAAGCATCAATGGGCGCGTCGACGTACGCCGGCGAATTCTCTCCAGATCCACCACCTACCCACAGGGTGTGGTTCCTTTGAATGGCCGGATAAGATGACTGGAAGCTGATAGTGTTGAACTGCAGAGCGTCTGGGCCCTTGGCGTCATATCCGAACACTGACACGAGACGCGGGGACTTCAATGGAAGGGCGCCGTCGGTGTTCTTGACCAAAACGTGACCCTCGATGGCGCTCTGCAGAAGTGTATCCTTGGAAGCCGGGGAGGTAGCAATGACACGTTGATGTTCGGCATCCACATCCTTGGGCATGCCCAATCCTGGATCCGGAAAATAAGTGTCTTGGCCAAGGTGATACCAGGTTGCGATAATCCTAGACTAGTCAGTGGCACATACATAAACCCTAGAATCAACAATGAAGCTCACCTAGTAGCCATGTCATCCAATCGAGAGGCCTCCATCGTACCATTAGCAATAGCATCTGTAAGGTTAGAGTTCCAGAAATCGCTGTGCGGCATTGCCATATCCAGGCCGGCGTTCGCTGACGCGATTCCACCATGTTGGGCATACCAATCCGTCATGACGTATCCCTGGAAGCCTAACTCTTCCTTGAGCAACCCGTTGAGAACCTTGCTGTTCTGACATCCGTACGAGTTGTTAATGCGCTGGTAGGAGCACATAATCGATGCACTTCCAGCCAGTACGGCGTCCTGGAATGGCCAGAGATACAGCTCGTGCATCGTTCTATCGTCGATGTTAGAAGAGAGAGACTCCACATATTCTCCCTGATCGTCGGTTTCAGGATTACGGTTAGTTTCTTGCTCATTGGCAATGAAGTGCTATGAAGAAATACTTGTCAACTCAACTTCTATCCCATGGTTTCAGGATTAGCTCACCTTGGTGCATGCCCCAACACCTGTAGATTGTATTCCCTCCACGGTCTCATAGACGAGCACACCACTTTGATAAGGGTCTGCTGAGAAACCCTCCCAGTTACGGCCACCCTCTGCTACTCGTCCGATAGGGCCAACCACGGGGCCAAGGGCAACATTGACACCTTTCTGGCGATACTCATAGCCCAAATGAATGGCCCGTTGTCTAGCAAGTCTCTTATTCCAACTATGAATGTCAGTATACCACATGCATAGGCCCATAGGAAGATAAATACCTTGCACCAACATGCAATCCACTTGACCAAGCATTGACAAAGTCCGTGCCTCTCTAGATGAAATTAGTATAAAAATGAAGAGCCAAGCCAAGTTTTAACATACAACACCATTCCCAGCATCCGTCACACATAATCCGGGAAATCCCACGCGAGGAATCGCGGGAATAGAACCCGCACAGCCACTATCAGCCGTGATACCGGCCGTCAAATTAACCTTCTCTTCCGCCGTCAGGCTCGCTACAAAGGTGCGGGCCTTTCCGTAAGCAATAGCCCAGGGTCCGGTTCCCGTGGCCTCCGCTATACATGTCGTCAGTGACAATGATTAAAAGTAAAAAGCGTTGTACATACGAGAGGGATATACCGGTGGCGACTCGCCATAGAAGTGAGCGTCGCTCGTGATATTCTCTGCCCTGATGGCAGAGGCTAGCAGAAGAGCACCGAGTAGGCCGGTAATGCTGGATCGGACCATCTTGAAAAGTTGCTGTTCTGGACAGTTTCTTCTCTTCCAAGTCAGGCCGAGACGTCCTCTTTATACCCTCTGATGCCCCTGGATATCCCAGGAGCGTTTGACTACTTTCACTCTATTTCACCTCTCTTTCATTGACAATATGTCTGACGGCCGGCTAATCTTCGGGACTCCGGTTAAAAAGTGAAGGGAAAGAGAAGCATCGGTGGTGCCCTGAGCGTCCTCAGGTCATGAAATACCATGAAAAAGACCAAAGACTAAGGCATGGTAGTCGGATATAGCCGTTCAAAAAGGCAATTCAGTGTCTTCACGGCATATTATTGGACCTTGAGAGGGGGTTCTTTGGATATGGTTGCATCCGTCATGCTAACCCCATATTGCGAGGAAAATTCCGAAATGTGTATTCCCACACCACGCGAGGCCCCACATATCTGGGGTCAATCTGGGGTACAGATTATGTGGGATGACATTCCATAGCAAGCTAGAAATCACATTGTCGCTCGTAGTGGCCGATGGTTCTTGGCCGGAGAAACTCCGATAACCCAAAGCGTCTGGTGACCATATTCAACTATCGATGACTCTTTTCATCTGTGGCCGGAGTAGTTTGTTTCCCCGCTTTTATATTATCATGAAGACAGTTTCTTTGGTGCGGTATGAGGGCATTTCTCATTGACACTGTGATATCGCCATCTTTGACCTCGGTATGACTCAAAACGGTATACTGAGTAACCTCACCCAGGCCCCGCACTACACCGGAAGCTAGGAAATACGGCGCATTCGCAATTCAATGAAAGCAACCGGGTTATACCATGCCGGTCATACTGCCAGAGAAAGGTATGCCCCGTTTGACTAAGGTGGAACCATTTCTAGTCCTACTCCGTGGCCGGCTTCATAAACGACAGAATCTGCCGAACTGAGGCAATATCGCTCTTGTGAGATTGAACAGTCAATAAAATGGGTCTATTGTCGCGGCTGCCACAGCAAGTCTTGCCCACACCATCTGGATATTCCCTCATAGTGGAATGCTCAGAGAAACCAAACTGTGAACGTCTATAGCCATATCCCGGCCTAGGTGGTAGCACACACGATTATCCCTCAATTCGCAGGCGCACCATAACTGTCTCGCTCCCATCCCGAGATCTTGCCAACCTACTCCGGAGTATGTGTACTGTTGCGGTCTTGTGCCATGACGCGAGTGCACGGTCGTTGTTGCAAGTGAGATCTCACTCTGAAGGATAAGTCGACTGAAGATGACCTCCGGCGGCCCAACTGGTAAGCGACATTGATAGGATCCTGGTACGTATTCTGCAGTGCCCCCTGTTCCCCTAATGTACTCCGGATTGCAAAATCTCGATCTGTACAGCCAGCCAATCAACGGCCAAGTTGGTACATTAAAGGCCCACCACTCGCACTAAACCGCTTCGGTCGATTATAGATCTCATTAGTCACCTCGGAGACTTTATTTTCTTCAGTCGGCCCGATTCAAGGCATGGAATGAGGCGGTCTCAATGGCACGGTTAATCTCTATTCTTCCACCGCGGAACCCTCAGGTCAATTCGCCGGGTTGATTTCAAAGCAACGGGATTCGCCATTAACTCGCGGCCATAGTATATAAAGAGAAGACGACGCGCCGTAGCTTGTAGTCAGTAGCCACCATTATCTCTTTCTTCATACTGTAACTCGGAAACACCATGTCTCTCCCTGACGTCGACATCAAGCCCGCGGAGGGTATCTCCTACTTCACCCCGGCCCAGGAGCCTCCTGCGGGAACTGCAGCCAACCCCCAGACCAACGGCCAGGTCGTCCCTAAGCTCTTCCAACCCCTTACCATTCGGGGTGTGACATTCCCGAACCGCATTGGCGTGAGTGATCCCGTTGAAATCTTCGGTTAAGACATATCCTAACGTTTTTGCACAGTTGGCTCCTCTCTGCCAATACTCCGCTCAGGATGGCCACATGACCGACTGGCACGTTGCCCACCTTGGTGGCATTGCCCAGCGTGGCCCCGGTATGATGATGATTGAGGCCACTGCAGTCGTCCCCGAAGGCCGCATTACCCCGCAGGACGTTGGATTGTGGAAGGACTCTCAAATTGAGCCGATGCGCCGTGTGATCGAGTTCGTTCACAGCCAGAACCAGAAGATCGGTGTTCAGATTGCCCACGCCGGCCGCAAGGCTTCCACTGTTGCTCCCTGGGTCAGCTCAACTGTCGTTGCGACGGAGAAGGTTGGCGGATGGCCAGAAAACGTCAAGGCCCCCAGTGATATTCCCTTTGCCGACTCGTTCCCGAAGCCCAAGGCCATGACCGAGGGGGAAATCGAGGAGTTCAAGGCAGCCTGGGGTGCTGCTGTGAAGCGCGCTATTGCTGCTGGCGCAGACTTCATTGAAATCCACAACGCCCATGGATACCTCCTTTCTTCGTTCCTTTCGCCTGCTGCCAACAAGCGGACTGACAAGTATGGTGGCTCGTTTGAGAACCGCACCCGTTTGCCTCTCGAGATCGCCCAGTTGACCCGTGATGCCGTGGGCCCGCAGGTTCCCGTGTTCTTGCGTGTTTCGGCAACCGACTGGCTCGAGGAGTCCCTCCCCGAAGAAAGCTGGAGGGTGGAGGATAGTGTGCGCTTTGCGGAGGCTCTTGTCGCTCAGGGTGCTGTCGATCTGATCGATATCAGCTCTGGAGGCGTTCATGCCGCGCAGAAGGTCAAGTCTGGCCCTGGTTTCCAGGCTCCATTTGCTGTGGCCGTCAAGAAGGCCGTCGGCGACAAGCTCGTTGTTGCTACTGTCGGGGCCATCACCAACGGCAAGCAGGCCAACCGGTTGCTTGAGGAAGAGGGGTTGGATGTCGCTCTGGTCGGACGCGGTTTCCAAAAAGACACAGCCACAGTGTGGACATTCGCCCAGCATTTGAATGCTGAGATCTCCATGGCCAACCAGATCAGATGGGGCTTCACCAGACGGGGTGGCACTCCTTACATCGACCCCTCCGTGTACAAGAGCTCCATCTTCGACTAAGTGTTTTGTTTTTGTTTTAGCCTGTGTATAGACTATGATTCCTGTCGGATATATATTGATAGACTGATTTGTCGACAAGCCCCTTTATAATTGAAAATAGACGTTCTAATCACATTTTCCCGGTTTAAGCCCGCGATTTAAATAGAGTGACCTTGAGAACCCGAGTGGTAATGGAGCATCGTCCGGTGTCGGATAGTTATATATCTGAATTGGCTCTGTAGGCAACGTTCTGTTCACATTGTTTCTAGAAGAAGGTCAGCAACGAGGCTCAACCAACACAGGAGCCATGGGCACTCACAGATAGCAGGATCTCAGTTGTTGACGTTGAAGTCGTACAGCTTATGTGACTGATGTCCCGTGACTGTCGCGCTTGCGGCTTACCTTTTTAGGAATAGCGGCTGGGCATATGCCTCCAGGCAACTTCAGTTTTAACTCCTGACATGACAAATGCATATTATCAATTGGATATGTTAATAAGTATAAAGCGACTATGTACATGCTTCAAATATTGACAACTCGATGTTTGTACAGATCACGGAAGACCCGGCGTGTCAGCAATGCGGAAGACATACTTGACGGCGCTAGCCTTGTTCTCCTTCAGGTCCTTTAGTGCATCCTGAACTCCCTCTAGGCCACCGGATCTCACTTCAAACGGATGTCCTGAGAATGTTCTCTGTTGCAGGCCCCGACCAATCCAGCGGCAGAACAAGAAACACAGGTCCCGGCAGTCGTCAGCCCCTCCCTCCTGGTGAGCCGAGCTGACCCAGGTATTGGTTGCAACGGCAGGAGACAGGTCTGGGGGGCTGGCCAGAACGTGGTTGACATTGCCTCCGGAAGTGACAACAGATCTTAACACATGGGTGCTCTCCTCCAGAACGATGGTGTCCAGTGCATGTCGGATCTCCGCCCCTCCAGCAGCCTTCCGGATGTCCTGGATGGTCTCTTCGGGCCCATTGCGATAGTCGACAATGCAGTCACCTTTGCTCGAATCAAGGAACTGCTGAGCGTAGTGTGCTCCTCTACCAGCCACACCAATGATGGGATGGATGTTGCTCTTCTGTGCGAGCTTGATAGCAAATGCACCAACAGCCGTGCTAGCACCATACACAATGAGGGGGGTGGCATTCTTTGCTGGTGCCCAGGGGAAGGGCAGCGCCAAGTGGTGATAAAGCGCAACGACAGCTGTCAACCCTGCGAGTGGTATAGTCGCAGCTTCTGCTAATCGTTAATAACCGACAACTGTCTGCAGATCTATGGGAGTGCTGACATACTTACCCTCAAAGGATGTCTCCTTTGGCAGGTGGAAGGTTGTGTGACTCCATGCCAAAGCGTACTCCGCGTACGAACCGCCAGGGGCAAGCATTTCATGGAACGCCGCAACCCGGTCACCAGGCTACTTGGTCAGACTCAGAGGAACTATGCCACAGTTCATTGTTCGGAACTTACCTTGAACTCGACCACGTTCTTGCCCACTTTCTCGACGATACCTGCGATATCATCGCCCTGGTTGACGCCCTCCCGGACTTGCGAGTATCGCTCGAAGAATGGATGTCCGTCAACGGCGGCAATATCAGGCACTTTCCAGTCCTTGGGGTTGGAACCAGACACAACGACCTTGATTACGACCTGATCATCGTTGGGCTCGGGAATGGGGAGGTCAATGATCTTGACGGCTGGACCAGCCAAGTTGATTGCGCTCTTCATGATGTCGAAATTCAGATTACAATTGTAAACGAAATGTGCTCTCAGCAACGGGGTGATACCCAGCTACCACTATATTTATATATGGCGCATACCTGGTTGTTTCGCTTGGTAATCATGTTGAGATCATCGACCGATTGTTACTCGGTATCGACCCGGAGACATAAAAACGCATATGTTCCGTTATGCAGAATCGGCCGACTTGCCGAAACCGGATTTATCTGTCTCGGCCAATCATCATGGGGGACCGAATTGGCAATGATCCTGGAGGATGATATCGGGATACCGATAATTTGTAGAGTCAGGGTATGGTGTGATAAGTCACGGAATAGAAGAGAATTAGAGGATCGTGCTTCGGGTCACAAATCCTTCAAGGCGTCAGGGTTTCTGTCCAATCCAAATAAATACCGAGCCCGAGACCGACCCCGAGGCCGACTTTCGATATACGAGGGGACTGGAATCTATATAAACAAAGTCCGCCTCGCTTATGGATACAAATTTTCGCAAGCAAAAAGGTTGGCACACACATCAGCAGAATGCCCCAAATCAACAAGGTATGAACTCCATTCGCTGTGGTTGAGATTACTTGCTCATTAAGACAGGTCGTCATCATAGGAGCAGGCCCTGCCGGCCTCGCAGCTGCTCTTCGTCTTCATGACATAAACAATATCTCCGTGACGATATACGAGATACGGGAGCAACCCACCCACCTTGGTGGTGCTATCAATATTCCAGCAAATGGCCTGCGTCTCATTGACCGACTGGGAGTGTACGAATCACTTCTCAAAGGAGGCTCTATTATACCACAGCTGGTCGTCCATTCCATTAACGGCAACGAACTGGGTCGCCTCGATTACATCGCTAAAATCAAAGCCAAGACGGGTTATGAATTTATTCGCATCAAGCGGACAGTGGTTGTAGACGCCCTTCTCTCCGAAGTTCAAAATCGTGGCATACCAATCCATTTCAACAAAAGCCTGGTGGCTGTCGACGAGAACGCAAAGACAGGCGCTACGATTACCTTCTCGGATGGGAGCAGCGATACGGCAGATCTGCTCCTCGGTTGCGATGGTATTCATTCGGCTGTTCGCAAGCTGCATGTTGACCCTAAGATCAGACCCGAGTACTCCGGAGTCTCATCCATGTCATCTATTGTTCCCATGCCTACTGAGCTGGCCGGGATGCACACCACTTTTACATCGCAAGGATCCGTAGTGGTTGTTCCGTGTGCAGAAAACTCACAAGAGAAGAGTTTGTTTTGGTTCCTGACACGACATATTCCGGAGCCAGACACGGCGGACAAGAGGGATGGGTGGAATGAACATCGCGAGAAGGAAGTCGCGGGGTTCAAGAATACACTCGAGGAGGTAACCAGTGAGGTCGGCGGAGATTGGGGATCTTTTCTTCGTGCTGTCGTGTCTAAAACCGATACAGTCAATTTCTACCCCATCTACCGACTTCCGCATGGAGGCGTCTGGCACACCAGCCGGTGTGTCTTGATCGGTGATGCGGCGCATGCTATGCAACCACACGTTGGACAGGGCGTGTCCATGGCGCTGGAGGATGTATTCCTCCTATCCCGACTTTTGAAGAAGGAATCCTCCCTGCAAGAAAGTTTACGCCAATTTGAGACAGTCCGTCGTCCACGAATCGAGGAATTCGCGTCCCAGGCGGCCAACAATGGTAATAGGGCCCGTCAAAAAGGGCCGTGGCAGATGGCCATCACGGAATGGGGAATGTGGGCATGGTTCCGGGCTCGTCGGGTGTTTAGCTCGTGGTCGTGGGGTTTTCGCGAGGAGGAATGGACTTACGATATTGACAGGGTTGATATTGATTATTTTGATGCTTTATAGAGGTAGTTTATACCAGAAATTACTATCTACGGTTCTGTAGTGTAATGGTTATCACTTTGGATTCTGATTCCAACGATCCCGGTTCGATCCCGGGCAGGACCTCTTTCCTTTTTGATGATTATTTTTGTATTTTCATCTTTTCTTTTTGTTCAGCACGTGTAGTTTAAAAATTTCCTTACAAAGTAGTCTGTTTTTAGTGCGTATTATGGTACATTCTTGGTCTATTCAATCTATATACTCTATCGAGACCGGAACCACTGAATTCATATACAGTTCAAAAGGAAGAAAGATTATCGAAAAGTAAAGGGACCTGCAAGGGAAAAACGCTCAAAGCTTGCTCTTCGGAGCACCGACCTTCAATACATTCTCGTTCCATGGATACGGGTCGAAGACCAAGTCGTTGACAGGGTTCTCCTGGCTCGCACGTCGGAAGAGATCAGGATACACTTCGCCGTCGTACCGACCGAGACTGCTGTCGAGTTGCCAGTCAGGGATCTTCCATGCGTCTACCAGACGCACGGCATGCGGGCGGATCTCGTCAAGGAGCTTCATGACGGCGTTGGTGCGGGCGAGGCCGATCTGGCGGGTTGTGACAGCGCTCGAGGTGAAGAACTCGGACGCTTCGCGCTCGAGGGTGTGCAGCGCGTGGAGGCGGAAGAGATTGTGCAAGAGGCTCAGGGTCTCCGGGTCGACGGCGGCAGCGAGCTGGGGCGAAGAGACGGCTTCGTAGAAGTTCTTGACGACCAAGTACTGGGAGTGTGCGGTCGACAGGCGCCAAAAGTCTACGAGAAGGCTGTTCCACGAGCGGTTCTCGACATCGCGATGCTTGAGAGCATCGAAGGTCAGGTGTGCTGTCCGCCAGGCAAAGGCGGCGACAATGTCACTGTCGACTTCTAGCACGTCGAACGATGCGCCCTTCTCCCGGCGATCAAGGTAGCTCTGGAGAATTTGGCTGGTATCGTTGTTGGGGGCCTTGCCGGACAGCACTGCGCGTGCAGATTTGAGCAACTACAACCGTCAGTAAATGAAGACAGTCAGTTCAGAAGGATGGCAACTTACGTATCTTGCAACCTGTTGGGTCAGCATGTAGTTGTCACCCTCCCAGGTCAGAGTGGGCAGGTAATCCGAGTACCACGGACCGATACCACTGTAGCTGCTGTATCCGTGTCCACCGCAAGCACGGCGGCAAACCTCGAGACCTTCACCAGCGGTGGTACTGGCAAGAGCTTTGAGACCGCAAGAAGTAGCGTGGAGGTCCGCAAGCAAGTCTGCGCCCGCGCGCAGCTGCTCAGGGCCAGCGCCACGACTGTCCTGGTCGGGCTGGCTGGCCGCCTTCATGCGGTTTTGGTTCTCTTCATAGAGCTTCATCATTCCCCGACCAGTGAAGTGCAATGCGTACATGGCGGCCAGGAGGGGTAAAAGACGGACTTGGACCATCTTGTAGTTCAATACTTGGTTTTCACCCTTAGGCTCGGTGGCTTCGCGGTCCTGGAACTGTCTCCGAACAGCACAATAGCGGACGGCAATGGTCACACCGCGGGCGAGGACACCACCAGCCTGCAGAACGATGCTGGAGCGTACCCAGGTCATGGTCCCGTAGAGCAGGGATGGCGATGCGGGACGAACGTATTGGTTGGTCTCTTTGTCGACGCGCGTGAAGCGGGCCAACATGTTGACATGGGGGATCTTGTGGTTGTTGAACAGGAGGAACCCATTGTCCATGGTGCTGATACAGTCAGTATCCTGCTACCAAAGCTCAGCTAGACCGCGGTACTCACTTGTATCCAAACTTGGGCCCAATGTCGCCCACATACACATTCTCCAGAGGCTGATGAGTCTGCAAATCACGGATCTGAACGACAAATGGGTGAGGACCAAGGTTCTTGCCACCGACGTAGAGCTGCGCCATGACGACAGCATGGTTGGCCGTCCGTCCTAACGATCCAATCCACCATTTCGACGCGGTCAGGGTCGGGCTGTTGATAGTGAAGGTCTTGTCGTCGGGGTTATATGTAGCCGTGGTCTCCAAACCACGGACGTTCGACCCGTGACCCAACTCGGTTTGTGCGTAACATCCGACGATCTGGTACTTTTGCGCACGTTCGAGGAAAAGCTTGTGCTGTTCCGGTGTCCCCTGTTCCCGCAGTGTCACCTATACATAGAAATACCGGTTAGCCACCGCCCTGTACAGGGAATGCGAATGCAACATACCAGGAACATAGTTGAGTGCAGGCCATATGGCGTCGGTTCACCGACCAGCTCATTGGCCGTGAGAACCTCCTCCGTCGTCCATTTGTGCTGCTCCGCCAGTTGCTGCAGTCGCTTCCCCTTTGCCAATGACCGTTGGATCCGATCCACACGGCCCAGGGAGTGGTTCTGCGACTTGTCAAAGACCTTCTCGGATTGCAGGAGTCCCAGAAGGCGCTGTTGCCGCTCCAGAGCCTCCTTTGTGTGCAATAATTCTGCGAGTCTGCCCACCGCGACGTTCGACTGGGCGCGTTCTTGTGTGAGCAATTCCGAGCCTTGCGGGCCGGCGGGCTTCAAGGCCTGGACCCAGGCCGGGGGAGGGTTTGGCATGATGATGGCGATTGAGGTGGTAGAGGTGGTTGTACAGGAGAGAGTGGGAGACCAGGGTTAAGAGAGAATCCGGGGGGGACGGAGAAGAAGGACGGGGTTGATAATAAGAGTAAGAGTTGAGCAGAACACGAGCAGATGAATTGCAACCCTTTGACGTTGATGACACTCGGCCGAGGATGAGCGGATGTCCATATGCGGTAATTGCCTCGGCTCGGGAGCAGTCGCCATATCCGCGCGTAGATGCCTTGTCCGCAAGCTCGGGAAAAGCAGGCCGGGGGATTGGATCAGGAGGCTCATGATACAGCCAGGCTGCTGTAGAACTCTGCCCTCAGCAATGTGTACTCGGAGATCACCGGTCCCGAGTCATGGCCAGCCGACCGAAATCGGCCACGAAGCAGCAGCTGATCCGAGGCTGTGTGTTATCTGATAATCAAGATCTGCATATGATGCATCCTACTGGTAGGCATGTACAGTGTGATTTCTACTGTAAATACAAGAAGTATTGGAGTCTGAGATCAAGTGTATCTTGTTCTCACAGTTTGGATGGGTGATAGTATCCACTACACCCCCCGGTGGATCTTGTTCAACCGCGGCAGCCCCAGCCATAATATCAGGATCCCCCCGGACAACCCCAGAATAAACGGCTGGAGAACTTTCACCCCCTTCAACTGGGCAATAGCCCCCACAGCAAACGGAAGCACGGCCGCGCCTCCCCCACCGAATGCGGCAGCAAATCCGATCGAGCTCACATGCAAATGCCGTGGCAAGAGCTTTGTCGTCACCACCACAACCGCGGGGAATAGCGGGCCCAGAAAGAAACCCTGAAGGGCGACGGCGACGGCAGATGCATAGAATTGAGGGACTAGCCATAGGACGAGGCCAAATACGATTGACAAAACAATGTAGGCCTGGAGAGTCAGCCATCGAACATACATAGTGGATTGTATCATACCGAAACGGAGATTTTCTCCCCCACACGAGGCGTCACAAAACCCAACGCCACTCTGCCGACTGTAATCCCGAGCCAGAAACCAGTGGCCGTCATACCACTGGCAAATGCGGGACCGTTTCGCACCTGGGTCATAAAAGTCACGATCCATCCTCCCAGCGCGACCTCGACACCAACATATCCCAGGAGGAACAAGGCACAGAGCCAGGTCACACGTGACGACGGATAAGTGAACAATGCTTGTCGCAAGCCGCCCTTTTGATTCCCGACCTGTGCTCGTGCGGTGGTTTGACGAAACACAGCGCTTGTGGATTTCCAAAAGGTAGACGTGCAGAGTACGACCTCGACCGCGGCACATGCAATCTGGACCGGTTAGCACTGGGCATGTCAGACAAGCCGAACTGACGTACCATGATATAGTAGAAATAATACCACGGGCAATTGGCTTTTGTGATGAGCGATGTAGCAGCCAACGGACTCAACACGGCACCGACGCCATAGAATCCGTGCAGAAAACCCAGTATCTCATCCGCCCTGGCCATATTGCCAATCCATGCATTCCAAGCCGAGTCCGTGAGTCCATTTCCGAATCCTGCAAAAATGAACGAGACTACCAGAACCGGATAGGGTGGATGGAGAGAGTTGACGATATACGCGACCAAGTGGCATCCCGGAGCCAGCAGCGCGACTCCCCTCTGGCCAAAGGCATTGTGGATGCGATGGTTAAACAAAGCGGCGAGCACGTATCCACCCAGAGGAGACAGAAACACCAGAGAGACGATGGTGTAACTGAGGTCATAATAAGATTCCAGCTGTAGCAGTCAGCCGTCTTCTCGCTTCTGCATCGAGTCCGGGAGCGAAATGGGTCATACATAAGGGATCAAAGCCTACTTGGTCAGCAAGATTCCCTGGCATACGTGATAAAGATGGACATACACCATAGGCAGCATCATTTGCTCCCGACACGATAAAACTCCAGAAGGTGGCTATGAGACGGGCAATGTTGTGTCGGGGATAGTTCCATCTCTCCAAGGCACTGACAGCGGTCGCCGGAGGATCATTATCACCATTGACGGGATTTTCCGTTTCCAATGCCTGTTCTGGTGCAGGCTGTACTTCAGATGATCTACCATCTGGCTCCAACTGTGTCATACAGATTGTAGCCATGGTGTTTGGTACTCTGCCAATGCGCCTGTTTCCCGTGGACTACAACAGATATATATCCAACCCCGCAAGCACTCCCCACGTCGCCTTTCGTCTACATCCATCGAGGATGTGGGGACAAGATGCCGAATCATTTCTCCGCTGCATCGGATCCTGGCCGTGATGATTGGACCAACCTCCCTCCAGACGAGCTGTTCTGGGCCCCGGCAAATCTTCGGGCTTGGCTGGGAGATTCAGGGTCCATTGCGCCGGCGATATTGGCTGCTTTGTGGCTATGGACCGATGGAGGGAGTTGACAGGATATTCAGACCTTCAGGGCTGCCAGGTTATCGATAAGACCCAGATGCTCAAGCACATAGCCGGCTTTCACATGACAGAGCGTGAGGTCCACTTTCACATGAGGCTCACAGCTGCCAGGTTCAACCACGGGACTTGAATAGTAATGCTCAGACGGAGAAAGGGAGATATGTGAAGAAGTTGGGGGTTATCATGGAATGATTCTTGTGCAGTCGCCGGTAGCAATGCGGACAATCAGATGGTATGGTATGTGAATACCGTCGGAAAGGAAAACAACCACCATATGAACAATATATTCGGTCGGGAGGTCAAGCTCTCGCAAATATAGACCATCTAAATACATTAATATTACTATGATACCGCTAACTCATGCAAACTCCGTAACGATGGGTATTCGAGGTCGAGAAAAGAAATGCGTCCAACCATTGAAGATACAGAAAGAACAAAAAAGGAAAAAAGAAAAAAAAAATAAAGAAAAATAGCAGGTACGTTTACTGAGCCCGTATTGCCTGCTGTGATTGTGGTCGCTGCTGCTGCTGCGGTGTCATGCCCGATCGCATCACTGGCGACTGCTGGACCTTTTCCCAATTATGCAGCATCGCTGTGTTGACAGTCGAGATACGAACTTCTCCGCCAGCACGAGCGATCATCTCCTCCTCGTAGGACGAGATGGTATCTGCTTGGCTTGCTTTGCCGGAAGCAAATTGCTTTACGGCCTCTGCCAGCTTAGCAGCGTCCGTTATGGAATGGTTTAGGCCCTGGCCGCGTTGGTACGTCATGGCATGGGCTGCATCGCCAGCCATGGTGACTCGGCCTCCATGGTTGTCCCAGTGGTGATCCTTCCCGCCTGGATCGAAATCCGACAAGCCCATGTACCACACCTGGTGGTCATCCGGTAACCAGTCGAATGCACTTTTCCAGGGGTCAGCAAAAGACTTGGAAAGCTCCTTCACTTGCTGCAACCGCTGTGCGTTGGTCCAATTGGCTGTCCGCTCCTGCTCCTCCAGCGGGGAATGCCATGAGATATAGAAGAAGAAGGTCCATGTCGAGGGGTCGTTCGGATCTTGGATGTCGTGCATACCAAAGAAAGAGAAATACCCGGCCGGATTGATGCCCGCGAGGTACAAGGGATGAACCTTGCGCAAGTATCGAGCCTGGTCAGCGCTGTATCGTGCCTGGACAAAGGTCGCACAGTACGGAAGACGCTGGGTACTGCCATTGCCGGGACCCAGCAGCGTCTGTCGCAGGGTCGAATGAGCGCCATCAGTCCCAACGACCAGATGCGACGTGATTGATGTGCCATCTTCGAACCATGCCGTGGCCAACTTCCCATCCTTGGAGTATTCCATCGAGCGCAGCTCCTTCCCGTAGCGAATGTCTAGACCTTCTGCGAGCAGACCGCGGAGTTTGCGACGACGAAGACGATAGAAACGCTGGACGGGGATCGAAGCCATCATATCACCCGACTGGGCATTGTAAAAGTTGAGGGAATCGTGGTCGGCGGTGGGCGCATGGGGATCGACCTGGACGGATTGAATGCGATCCCACAGATGATCGGGCACGAGGGAGTTCAGGGAGGATGCACCCCAATGCAGACCCATATTCCAGTCGCGTGAACGAGCATCCAAGCAATCATATTTTTCGACGACAACGCAGGGGATTCCGGCCTGGAATCAGGCACATTAGTGGAGGTTGCACGGCAGATAAATAAGCAAAAGTTACTATAAAAAAAGCAATGCACGTATAAAGAGTATAGAGATATAAATATAAATATAAATACACAATAGCATACCTTTCTCAATCCTTGAGCCAACGCTAGACCCGTCGAGCCTGTAAACAGTCAGAATCACATTCTGTATATCAGAATCACGGTCGCATACCAGCGCCGACAATCAGCACCGTGACGGGACTAGGGTCTACAGGATTAGATTTGCCCATGACAAGTGCCCAGAGATTCCTAAAAACGTTCATGGAGCGCTGGCGACGATGCGAAGAGCGAGGGAGAGGGGAGCAGGGAGAGGGAGCGGACGCCATGGCGAGACTGAGCGCGAGTTGAGGTTGACAGAATAATACATAAGTCAGTGAACGCCCAGTTATCCCTCGGCCGTTAATCTCGAGTGAATCAGCCACGGCCGATAGAGCGGGACTAAGGAAAGAGAGTCCGAGCATGCCTAATATCAGTCCGGTACAAGTAGCTCTACCAACAGCCGGACATGCTGACGGCATATCGCATGGTCCTCAAACAAGAACCCCTTCAGTGGAGATGGCCATCATGCCATCATGCCTCGCTGTGCATTAATTCGCACTATGGCAAAGTGGAGATACGATGCCCACTTCGACTCGTGGCCGGGAGGGACTTGTCTGCGGGTTTCTCAGCCATCGGAGCCGTGTATGGTGCATTTGGCGGACAGCGGGTCTGCACTCCTGCACCGGCGGCCAGGATCGGCTGGAATGGAAGACGATGTATCGTGGAAGGGGAGTAGAAGGTTCGGCCGTCGCTGAGACGGTTCTTTTCACTCTCGACAGGAGATGCCCGGGGGTTTGCGAGCCGGCACTCCCGTATATGAACACTGCTCGGTCTTCGACATATTACATATTGATACGCGATACGGAATAGTGGCTGATCCCCATTGATATTGCTTTTCCCATCGATCTCGTATACCTCGTGTTCACTCTCGTCTCCTCCCCGGTTGCTCTTATCCTTATTCAGCCGTGAAGAACTGGTGGTTTGTTTGCCAGAGCAAAGTTTGTGCCACCGGTGGAGGAGAGTCAGGTGACCGGCGCTTTTCAAAGCCTCCCAGCTCGCCTTGCATTCTCGATTCAATTCAAATCTCTGGTTCATTCATTTTAGCCAAATCATCTATTCAAGTGTTCGACGCCTCGTGGCTACCCGGAGTGCAGATCTTCGTCATGATGGCTGCTCCTTCTAGGCGCTCCAACTCGTCCACTCCGGTCCGGGACAGCAGTAATAATGCCAGTGCTCCGACCACAAGAGATTCTTTCTATCACACAACCAGCGAAGAAGATGACGACGAAGGGCTGGAAGATGTGGACTACCGGGACGACGATTTGGACTCTGCATATGGCGACGATTCCTTCATCGGGGACGATACCAAGACCCTGTCCTGTTTTATCACCGACTACCGCTTCGAGTTCGGCCGGCGCTACCATTCCTACCGCGATGGTGCGTACTGGGTATGTTGGTTCGAACACCGATAGGGAAGAGAAGTGCTGACGGCATAGGGCCCCAACGACGAAACGGCAAACGAACAACAAGACGTCGCGCATCACATGTATTACCTGACCCTCGATGGGAAACTCCATCTCGCCCCCTTGAAGAACCCCCAAGAGATCCTCGATGTCGGCACCGGGACCGGAATCTGGGCTATGTGAGTTATCAGCGGAGATCCCACCGATCGGAGTCTTGGACTGACGATCCGATCCTTTTCGACTGCAGAGATATGGCCGATGAATACCCCAGCGCCAAGGTCACCGGAGTCGACCTCTCCCCGATTCAGCCCTCCTTCGTGCCTCCGAATTGTGTTTTTGAAATCGACGATATGACCCTGCCTTGGACCTACTCTCCCAACCAGTTCGACTTTATTCACATCCGGGAAATGTTTGGCTGCATCCCCGACTGGGACGAGTTTTTCCGCCAATGCTATACATCTCTGCGGCCAGGGGGCTACGTTGAAGTGGTGGAACACTCGGTTGAGCCGACCTCAGACGACGGTAGCGTGGGACCAGACCATTTCTACCGACTCTGGGGCGAGACGGTCGTGCAGTCCGGAGTCCAGTTCGGGAAGACCTTTACCATCTGGAGCGAGAGCGCCGAGCGTCTCAAGCGCGCAGGCTTTGTGGACGTGGTGGAAGTGGACTACAAGTGGCCTATGAATGGGTATGTCCCTTGTTTCCCGGGTGTATCCCCGGACTGATCGCTAACTGACGGTGCAGCTGGAGTTCGGACCCCAAAATGCACGAACTGGGCCGATGGAATCAGTTCCGACTGCACAACGGCGTGGAGGGGTTTATGCTGCGTCTGCTCACCTCGACCCTCGGCTGGCCGTATGATCGCGCACAAATACATCTGGCACAGATGCGAGCAGCTTTACGAGACTACAAGACCCGTGCCTACCTCCCCGGAACGGTCGTCTACGCGCGCAAACCGGAATCACCTGTGCCGTGCAGAGACTAAAGTCGCGGGCGGCTTTTTACAATCTCTCTTCTCTTCTTGCATATTCCTTTATGATCATATTTTAATCATTCGGTCGGCGAGAGTCTGTTTTGTTGTTGGAGGATTGCGTTTTCCATATATACCCCTGATGTATACCATGCCCGTCATGAACTGTGCCATACTTGAGCTGCCATTTGTATTTACGTTGTATTTATGCTGTTTTGCATATCTAGATTTGAACGTTGACTGTATAGAGTAATGACAACGGTTGTCGAAGACCGCGCGGAGCTCGTACAATTCGTTACCTTCGACATGACACTCGTATTCGAATGCGGCTCACTGCGCCGCGACTACCGGTCACCAATGGCTTCTCTGATTCGCGGGATGAGACGATCAACATCAGTGCGTCCGTCTGCAGCGGCTAGTAGGACTGGGGGGACGAGGCTGTCCCCCCCCTCCGAACTCCCCTGTTCCCCCAGTCTAGATAAGGCTGACCATGGCCAACGTCTTCTGCAGGAAAGAGAGCCATTGAGAGTTGGTATCTTGACCATCGCCATTGACGATTCTTGACCATGGAGAGGATTCACAACCCGTTCCCCGCGTCTTTGCGCTGTGCGTCTCCATATCCCCTGCAAATAACGCGCGAAGAGATTGCTGATAATGGCGTTACCAGGCGAGAGCAAGAAATCCATGCGAATCCTCGAATCCTTTATTCGACCATCGTCTATTGGTAGTCCGGGGTTATCGCTTCCTGCTCATGTCCTGGAGAAGGCAAAGGTACAGAATATCTGCAGCGAACTGACTGCGACTGGCTGAATTAACGGGTCCGCAGGGTTTAGTTATCTTCACCGTGTTTCGCATCGGCTTTCTGGGCTCAGCTCGATTCGGATCGGGGATTATGGTCGCGCGTCTCGACGATGGCAGCTGGTCGCCTCCATCCGCCATTACAATTTTTGGGGCTGGATTCGGGGGCCTGATTGGCGTCGAGATGACCGATTTCGTTTTCGTCCTCAACGATCCCCACGCCGTCCGGACGTTCTCGCAGTGTGGAAGTGCGTTACTGAGTGCCAACCTCTCAACGGCACTCGGGCCAGTTGGGAGAAGTGTTGAGATGGGCGGAGGAGCAAGTGCGAAGGGTGTTGCAGCGACGTTCGCATACTCGAAATCCAAGGGGGCATATGGAGGGATATCTCTTGAGGGGGCGATCCTGATCGAACGAAGATACGCCAACCGGAAACTCTACAAGCAAAAGGTCAAAGCGTCGCAAGTGCTGACGGGTGCTGTCGCGCCGCCGCCGGAAGTGAAGCCGTTGATGGACATACTGGCGCTGGACATCTTTCATCCGAAGCTCAATGCCGCGACGCTGTCTCGTGAGATGCCACCCGATGATACAGTCGAACTACCAGCTCAAGGAGAGCACCAAGTGTCAGAGCTGCACACGGAACCATCTCAACCGGTATATGAGCTGGATGCTGGGCCAGCTCCTACGGCTTCCACGGCTCCCACGGCTCCCACGGCTCCTACGCCTCCTACGCCTCGCGTTATTCAGTCGGAACAATGACATGCGCAACGTTGGGGTTTCACTTTCCGTATTACACCCTGTCCCGTGCCTTGTTTGGACTTCTGACCGAAGAAACTTTCTGTACATTATACCGTAGTCAACGACATCCCTGCTTTACTGATATGTATATATCCCAGCTTCACATTGGTAAGACTATACTTCTGCCGTCACCCTGGCCGCAATGAATTCAGTGCAAGCAAACATTTCCAGACATCAGCGCGCTTCTATCGGCGTTTTCGAAGTGTTTATGCAGCCTTGACGCAGGCAACCCTGCCGCGTTTCCTCTTTGGGCGGCCCTGGTCAGGTAAATTGGGTCCTTCCTGTCGTCAAGTAACGACGTCCAAGAACCTCGCGCCCCTGGAAATGCCCACAAAGCATCTGTGAACTCCCGGTCAGCAAACAATGATTCGACGGCGAGCAGATTGGCTCTACCAGTCAAGGAATCTGCTCCAGAGTCCAGCACGGCTGTAATCCAGCAATTGATTGCCAACTGTGATCCAGCCAGCTTTGGCCGCGGAAACAAGGACGTGATGGGTCCGGAGTACCGCACCTGATACTGTTGCATGTCCCTCCTGGCTGTCATCCCCCCGCCAGCGGAGAAGAGAAAAATTCCTGCTTAGACCAAAGGATCTCGGATGAAGCGGGCCGAGTGGAGAGAAAGGCAACATCAGCCAGAGAGTAGTGTACGAGGATTGATATGGGGAAATTAGTTATAGCATTAGCTGAGTCAATTATGAATGATGATTCTGTATCTGCGAGGGCCACGTGATGTAACAACACGGAATTCCGAACACGCCAACCGTCGTCTCCGACCTCCGACATTGTCAACAATTGAGAATGCACACCAGAACAAACCCTTCCAGAAAGAGGCAACGCGCCCCGCCCCGTAAGAAGGCCTGCAGTAATTGCACGAAATCCAAAGTTCGCTGCGATCTCGAGAGACCGGCTTGTTCACGATGCCGATCACGAGGTCAGAGCTGCGAGTACTCTGCCAATGTGGACGTGAGTCCGTCTGTCGATGCTTCGCCTGCGATGGAACTCGATACAGCAGTGATCGGGATTCCGCAGCCGGATCGGGCGGCGGACGTGCCGGTTGAGTTTCCTTTCGGTGCAATCACGACCGCCCAGAACAAGCCGCAGACAAGACCAGACCAGAACAACGGAGCTAAGCTTGATCTGCGATTAGTCGACTTGGCACCTAGTGCTAATGCCGGGCAAATTCGGGACCGCTGGCTGAGGCCTTACATCCTACCTTCTTTGGAAGATGAAGAGATCCCCAAGGCATATCACCCGTTCACTCTGCAGTACATCGCACGGATATTATGTACATATCCCCGTTGTATGCTCAAAGATGGTGGTCTGCCGCCTATTATCCACCGCGCGCAGATAACAGGAAAGGAAATGCCACGCGCACTCGCAAATTGCTATAGCTTGGTGCGGATGTGGGAGCAGGCGGTGCCGGGGAGTGAGGCAATGGTAGTCGGTATAGTAGAAAACGAGATGCGACGGTTGGCTGAAGAGGTATGACCTTCCCTGTGTTTTGCAAGATATGTTCTGATCAGTATAGCCTCCGAGTCACCATGACTACGAACTTCTTGCGACATTCCAGGGATACCTGATCTATTCGATTATGATGTACTTCGCTCCCATCTGTGGCCCCTCCGTCGTGAATGACCAGGTTATAATGACTCTAATGGAAATGGCTTCACGTACCGCAGGGAATGGCCTCTTCTGTACCGCTGAACTTTCTCGGTCACGGCCAAACTGGGAATCCTGGATTGTGGCGTCTACAAAACGCCGTGTTATTCTGGTCATGTACCTCTTCAGCAGTGTATATAATGCTGATCGTCTTCTTCCAAACTTCGTTGCTGAAGAACTACGGGGTATGTATGCACCAGAAAGCAGGTCGTTATGGGATGCCGTTGATCGCGAAACATGGACCAAAGAGTACGACCGTCACTTGCTTCATTGGGAGGATGGCATGCTGGAGATTTCGGAGTTGTGGAGATCAGTAGAGACTTCTTCTCCCCCACGGCGAGAGAGAATAGAGCGCTGGGTACAGAAAGTGGACGAATTCGGGATGATGATATTCGCTGTTTGTGCTCATATCCATGGATGTTGATCTCCTAGTATGCAAGTATACTGCTCGGAATTCCGAGCACCATAACGCAGCCAAGGAGCAGTCGCCAATCATTTGCCAAGTTGCGCTCGGAATTCCGAAGTGAATGTCACGGCAAGTGTGGCGTCGCTATTATTTAAAGGTCAACTTTTCAGTCAACACCCAAGCTCAACAAAAACTTATCATTAATCCTAAATCAACTTATCATAATGGCAGCCTATACGACAGACCACTCTTCTTCAGTCCTCCAGACACACAGTTGGCGCACCGTCGCCAATTCAGCACCACACCTCCTGCCGCATATCAAACCCAACATGACTATCCTCGACATCGGCTGCGGACCCGGTTCAATCAGCGTTGATCTAGCCCGTCACGTACCTCAGGGACATGTTACTGGTATCGAGTACATATCTGATCCGCTGGACCAAGCACGAAGTCTTGCGGCAAGCGAGGGAGTCACGAATGTCGACTTCTGCATCGGCGATATCCATTCGCTCAGCTTTCCCGACAGCAGCTTCGACATTGTGCATGTCCACCAAGTTCTGCAACACATTGCGGATCCGGTCAAAGCACTCCGTGAGATGCGCCGTGTTGCCAAGACAGATGGTGGTCTTGTTGCCGCGCGCGAATCGGCGCAATACACATGGTATCCGGAAAACGTAGGAATCGAATCGTGGTGGAATTTGACCGACAAAATGTCAAAGGCAAAAGGCTGTAATGCCTGTTCCGGCCGGTACATCCATGTCTGGGCGCGGGAAGCGGGATTCGATCGAGAGAAGATTCAGAAAAGCGCGGGGTCGTGGTGTTTCAGTAGCCCTGCGGAGAGAGCGTATTGGGGAGGATCCATGGAGGGACGGGTAAAATCTTCCGGTCTTTCGAAGACAGCAGTGGGAGAAGGACTGGCGACGCAGGAAGAGTTGAATGGAATGGCGCAAGGCTGGAGGACGTTTGTCGAGGACGAGGATGGTTGGTTCGCGGTGCTGCATGCAGAGATTCTTTGCTGGAAGTAATTGTCATATAGTTTAACTATCTATACACCCATGGCGTCCTCTTTGCGTTGGAAAGTTTGTAGAAGCGAGGATCCTTTTTCGGATCCCGACTAACGATATATATCTGCCATCGGGCCAACGACTGGTCATAATAACCGAAATTTTCGCCAAAATTCACACAATTCTTTGCGACTACGATGAATTTTTCGAAAATTCCCAATGAAGTAGGTTACCTGATCTTTCTGATCTCGACTACGAGAGCGGAACCAGTGCCCTGTCCTAAACAAACCGGGGCTTACACCATGCAGTGAATCCCTTGTATCAAAATAACGTGCGCCATGGACACAATTCAGCCCTGACATGGGAGGTTATCCGCGCATGCACAACCACGGTTCAGATGAGCCTGAATGAAGGGGTTCCGTTTGATATCTGCGACGAGTTCTTGGAGTGGAAACCGACGGCCCTGGCGGCCATCCACGGCCAGGGAGCAATCTTGCAACTACTCGTGCGAGACTGGCGTCAATCCGAGCCCGAAAGCAGGTTGGGGCAACTCAGCCAACGAGCATTATGAGCCATATGAGCCAGGAAACTCTCTCTCTCTGGCAGCACAACACGGCCATGAGATCGTTCTCCGCTTCCTCATGGATTTGCCGAACTGAGCGGACATCGATTTTATCGCCTTGTATTAGGGGCGTACTCCATTGGCACTGGCAGCGGCGGTAGGGCAACTCTCTATTGCTCGGCTTATTATTGACAATAGGGCACAGGCTGAGGCTCTCGATAACAGCCAAGCCATCCTCTAGCTCTGGTAGTGGACGCAGGTAAGCATGGTGTGGTACAATACCTGATCGATCATAAGGCAGCTGACCGAGGCCATACCGAGACTGTGTAGTTGTTTGCACATGGGGCTGACGCAGCGGCCACCGCGTTTTGGAATTCCCGAGTTGAGCAGCGTAGTTGACAAGTTTGGATTTGCCTAGTGAAGGAGGTATACTAAGGCCAGACATATCCACAGATGGCGACAAAAGCAACCTGAACACGCCCGCCACATATAGAAAAGAACAGAAAGAACCCATCGCCTGCCGACCACGGACATACACTGGAAGATTTCTACCCTCCCAAAAATGGAAAAAGAAAAGCGGAGCCAAGTAAAGTATGTTAAGAAAGCCCGCGCAATCTTTGTAGCAGTAGTGAAACTTCATGATCGGCAGCATCTTTTCTTCCATATAATGTGAACGCCACATCCAACTTCTTTTGCCAGGTTTCTTGGATAATAGCATGCCTAGCAAGACTGGAATTGCTGTCTGTCTCGAAACATGCCACCGTATGTATTAAGCTCGGTCTAAGCCTTTCGATCATGAAATCGTCGAGCAATCCCTCTTCTTCGAGCAAAACATGAGACAGGAGATTATACACCAATCTAGATGAAAGAGGCAACCTGAAGGTTTCTGCGGCAATTTTCAGTTTGGAGTCGATAATGATTGTAGAATGCGAAATTTGTCTCTGCCCACCCAAGTCCACGCCAAGTAGAAGGTATTGCAGCCCCCGGATCAATCGCCGTCGCATGTCGCTAAGTTGTTGGAAGGGAGTGCCGGGTAGACACGCTTTGCAATCGCAAGCAAAACGCAGAGCTTTATGACGCTCATCTCTAATCATGCCTTCAAAACCTGTGTCATAACAGAAAGTAATCTCCTCGCCAGAGTCTATGTCTCTGGTCGCAAAAATTGAAATGATCTCCCCGCTAGGGGTTGGAACCTTCGAGTTGGGTAAACACGAATGGTTGAAGCGCGAGTGAAGAAGGAATAGGCCATAAGCTGGATGATCGTCGCGGTCTGAATTTGCCAGGTTAAACGAGTTTTCAGCGAAGGCTTCATTCATGCTTGTGAAAGGCCTCGATCCATTGTCGCGAAGGAGTAAAAATTGTGCTTTCTGGCTGGCTGACAATCGTTGAAAGGCTATAGCAACATGGTAATCCGTGATTTCTGTATGCGGCCTCCGGATCACAAAGAGGGGCTTTTCGCTCAGAATGAGAGATCCTCGGCCAATGCGTCTTGTGGCGAAAGCACCCCATCCTTTGCCTGGCGAGGGTTTCAGCTCGAATGATACATCGCTGGGAACTTGGAAATGGAGATAGGCTACAGCATATAGGAAGTTAGACACCCCTCCTTAATATACTGAACAAGGCAACGTACAATGAGTCGTAGACATGGCAGTGAGTGGTTGATGTTGTGAGTGGTGAGCTATGACGATAGGACTTGATATAACGGGATTGCGGAGCTGTTGACTTCCATATATGCCGAACGACTGATATGCTCACTGCTTTGACTGACCAACCAAAGCCTGACTATCGTGCCTATCTGTGACGTACAACTCATGGATGCCCGAGCATATGCATGGACGGATACGGCTAAATGATGATAGGACCGGGGACCTACGGCTATGCAGTTAGCATCCTTTGACTATGGTCACCGCATACATGCATTATGCACTTTGTACTCCTCTTGTTGTCTCTTTGGACTTCTTTCGCAACGGGATTCCCTTTTGCGCTTAGTTGACGGCCGCCAGAGTGTGTATAAAAAGACCTTTATGATAGATAGTTTTCTCAATCAGAGTTCTTCCTCTAGTCAATCCGAATAGTGCCTATGGTATCGTTCCGAGCATAAGAGTTGACACATGTACATGGATTGAAGTTCTGCATCGGCATTCATGCGACAATGAGGATTCCGGTGTCCTGTGATGAGATCTGATAGGTCGGATCAAAGGGATAGCATTAGTCCGACTAGCGAACCTCCGATATATGGCCAGCGTTCGCTACATATAGATAGACAAGCACTCAAGCACTCGTGTACTCTAGGCTACGTTAGATAGAGTATATCAATCATTCGTTTCAATTGGCTCTTCTACATATAGGCCTCGTGCAGTCGGATGATCGACTCCGGTTTCCCTTGAACCTCCGACGGAACCCATTTCAAAGATATCTATCTGTGCTCGACGCCGATCCTGTTGCAGCTCTTCGAGCTGCGTCTTGTCTATGTATCTGTAGATAGCCTGACCTGTAGCTTAACCTGTTCGTCAATTCCTAATATATCTGTACCTGACCCTGCACCCTGACATCCGGAAAGCGGCAGTTGTCACGGACAGATACTGTCGAAATAATATTTCTATCTAAACTAGGCAGCCTTACGACGAGAATGTCGAATCTGGAAAAGGACAAGAAGAGGAAACTTATCTAGAGGATAAAGATATTGTTCATAACCCTGTACGACAGGGTTCTACTCATGTCGGCTTGGTTCGGTGCTGTTTATCATATGATCACACAATGAGTAGATAGCTTTTCTTCGTCCTGCTAGACGACCTCCTTTCTTCTTCCTCTCCAGATTGGATATTCTCGTCGATGGCTACCTGTGTCAACCCCCAGAACAATGTTTGGCCAAGGCCGGCATGGAGCAAAGGAGCGTCAACAAACAGCCAGATCTTCTTCATACGTTCTCTGGGAACCAAAGATGTCACCAAGACCAGCAAGGAATGTCTACCAGCAAGGGATACCCCAATATATATAGCTTGGTTTGAAAGATTTGCGTTGAAAACATCGAAAAGAAGAGAAGAGTTCGGACAATGCGCCTGGCTTATGCGCCTCTCCGATTTCCCCCACGTCCTCCACGTCCTCCACGCCCTCCACGCCCTCCACCGCGATTTCCTCCACGCTTCTTTTCAACCCCACCACGGTCTCCTTGACCGGCTCCAGGACTTAGCATATCACGAGTATTGCCCCTACCAGGGACGCGTTGTCTATTAAGTTTGCTCTCACCCCGGTCCTGTCCGCTCCCATAATTGAATCCAGGCACGCCCTTCAGACCCATCTTGCCCACAACCTTCTTGTCCATTGGTGGAGGCCCAGAGCACGCCATGCCTTTAACGGCCATCTCATTTGCGAGTTGAACAAGACCGGGTTTGTCGAGGCGCAGCTGCTTCATAAGACCCGATCCGGCAAAGAAGCCTAAGAAAGATGAGTACGCACGTTGTTTTGCCTCCTCATCAACGTTGTACAGGGCCTGGGTGACGGCGCCGGCGCATGACGAAGCGTCCGCGTTGATAGCGTCGGTTTGAGGGTGAGGTTTGATAGGCAGGTGCCGATTGTTCTTCAAGAAAAAAGATTCGGTTTGTGTGAGGAGGATGATAGCGCGGCCGTCGTTGCCTGCGCGTGCTGTACGGCCGACACGATGAACGTACTGTTCGCCGTTCGATGGCAGACCGACCTGGATGACCAAGTCGACGTTAGGGAAATCCATGCCACGGCCGATGACATCTGAAGCGAACATGATCCCGGACGCTGCCTCCTTGAATTGAGCGGTGGTTTTTGTGCGAGCACTCTGGCTGAGCCTGGAATGCATCTCAAGCACTGCCAAAGGAGTTAAGTTCTGGGAAAATACTCGGGCGAAAAGGGCAACCATATTTGCAGTAATACCGAAGACAATGATTTTAGAGTTGCTTTTGATTTCGAGCTTGAGGAGGGAGGTGAGTGTGGTGAAGGTGTCTGCCACGGACGGCATCAGCACGTGGTACTGGGGAACTCTCTCATGCGTCGGTGCTTCATTCTTCTCAATTGTCGATATGGTAGTATAACCTGGCTTCAGCACAACACTGACCACATCTTTGACTTTGGGTGGAACAGTGGCTGAGAAGCACATTCCTTGCCAGCCAGCGCTCTTTGGAGGAATGAGCTGGAGTATTCGTTTCACGTCAGCTAGAAAGCCAGTCTCCAGCATCGTGTCGGCTTCGTCCAAAACCAAAGTTTTGATGTTAGACAACTTCTCAGCCGTGGCTTCTTCAGATAGGTAGTCCTTTAGCCGTCCGGGGGTTGCTACAAGAATCGACGGCGCCCCCTTCATGAAGCGCGAATGGGCAGACGCGCGCGCCGTTCCACCAACCGCAATGTGGCATTCGAGAGGCGTTTCAAGTTGCGATGTGAGCTGATCACACGACTTCGCAATTTGCTGGGCGAGCTCTCGCGTGGGAGTGATGATCAAGGTGGTGACCTGGCCGTTTGGTGCCGAATGGCCTTGGAGAAGGCAGTGCAATGAGGGTAGCAGAAAGGCGAGGGTCTTTCCAGTCCCAGTTTTGGCCTGCACAAGGCAGTCACTGCGCCAGTCAGGGAGTTCGGTCAAGACATGGTGCTGGACAGGTGTCATGAACTCGAATCCCATCACGTCGAGGGCTTGAAGGAGTTTGGAATGTAGCTTCCCAGCCATGGTAGCGTATGGGACGCCATCGTTGATTTCTGGATCTTGCATGGGGCGCTATTCAGGAATGTGCAGGTATTTCTAGGTTGTTTGATGAAACTCAACACGTGGTAGCACTCGGTGAATTAGTGTTGCTGACAGCAAAATGTTATATCATTGATATAATCACTATTCTCTAAGCAATGCAGAAATATATAGCCTGATGAAAGTCAGTAGAATATGTCTCCCCTTTGTTGAATCAATCTACAAAAGAACGTCTACAACAAAGCAAAGATTTGTAAAAAGAAATATTCTCCCCGGATCATCACGTGAGACAGATACGATATGATAAGGAATATGAAACGGGAAGCTTCGGGGTAGCGGTGCCGATTCTCCGGATAGCCGTACGAGACTGATGAAAGTCGAGATGGATTAATAGTTGATCCGATTACCGAGGCCGACAGATTCCTCATATACGGACACACTCGTCTAGATAGTCAAGCACTCATTCTACCATCAATGACATCTATAGATATCATTGTCACCCTCCGTGTAATCTAAATTTCCTCTTCTTATATAGCCTCGTGCAGTCCGGATAATCGACTCCCCGACTTCCCCGACTCGGAGTTAACCGCCTTATTGGTTTATCCGTTTCATTGGTTATGAGCCCGGGCCTACCATACTGACGTCTTAACAAACGCTTTGGTACCCCGGGGGCTCTATAGTCGCTTAACATCGTCTATAGACCGATCAATTGATCCCAACTGCGAGCCTCACCCTCGATTAGGCTGCGGCAAAGCCATGGCTAGCCGCGGTTAGCCAAAGCCAAAGCCGTAATTCGCGGGTTTGGTTAGCAACCCCCCAAAGCCGCCCGCACTGCGGGCGGTTTTGGTTAGCAAAGGGCTAACCGCATGAGAGCCATGGTTAACCATTGGGGCTGCAAACATTATAAAAATGCCAAGATTCGTTAACTGCGAGGGAGTGCATAAATTATGCATTTTTGATTGTATTTTTGATGTTTTTAGATGTAATTATTTACACATCTCTTTATCTTGAAAATAAACCCTTCAGGTTTGCACTTCTTTGTCTAAATCATGACTGGATTTCTTTATCCAAATCTTTACATTACAGCTTGTCTATCTCAAATCCAGCTGGCATTCTTGGTTTCTTCCGAATCCGCCCTGACCGCGCCTGTGTACCCTCTTCAGTTGGTATTTCAGGAAGTGGGAGACCATGATCAGCATCATCAAGAGCCTCAGATGTTCTCTTTTGAGACTGCCTTCGCTCTGCTTGCCTGCCTTGGGTTACTGCTTGCATGGAAGTGAGCTCATCAGCCTCATCCTTTGATCTATCCTCTGATCCACCCTCTGAATTATGATCTGCCATATATAGGCCTGGACATTGTCCTTGGGTAGACCCAAGTGGTTCTTGGGTATGAATCTCTTACCCAAGTGTCGGGTATGTGTCACAACCTGGCTTCTATCCCACGGGGGGCATTCGACCGAGCCTGAGTCGAATCAAGGCTTGGCGCTTAACTATGGGAGAAAAATACGGAGACTACCCTAGGCTGCGGCATATCGTACGACTTGGATGTGGTCACCACATCCAAGTCCGCAAATTGCGGATGTTGAATATCATCCCGATATCGAAGTCCAATTGCGGATATCCATTGGATATCCAACAGTATATGTTGGATACCCAACAAATATCCGCACTAGCATAAAATTCGCTAATTTACCCTATTCCAGACTATCAGGTGACAGTTATGAAGCTGACAAATCCCTGTTTTAAAACCGAACGTATTCATGTTTTGGTTATGACAATACTATTCTGCACTTTCCCCTACGTACTATATGAAATAATAAGAAATGATCTTGTATTTATCATCAAATACCATTAAAATGATAGATTTGGCATGGATTGTAGAGTAAATAAGGCATGGTTGCGAGTAATTCTATGATTGTTGGTTGATTCACACAGTCAGGGTGGAAATATATATTTAACATAGTGTGAGCTAAGTACATTTTCTAGCAAAGGACTACAGTATAACATTAATCTATGAAATTTCGTTGAATTCCATTTAAAATTGCACAGGAAGATAGAGAAAAGCATCATAAAGCTATATATAACCTTAAATTAACATGTCCGTATATAAAAGTAGAGAGAAAACTACACTCAAAAACCAGATTTGACAGACTTAATGGTGTTCATTTTAATTTTCATGATTGACGGATTTTGCTGATATCCGTTGGATATCCATCCAATATCTGTTGGATATCTATTGGATATCCAACAGACTATCCACTAAATATCCACTTCTGCCCGAAAATACCCAATTAGTGTCTGGTATTATTTATCCAACACATGTCAGGGTGCTGGGTCAGGTACGGATATATTAGGAATTGACGAACAGGTTAAGCTACAGGTCAGGCTATCTACAGATACATAGACAAGACGCAGCTCGAAGAGCTGCAACAGGATCAGCGTCGAGCACAGATAGATATCTTGTGTGGGTCACGTGCCTAGTCACATGTATACATCATGGCTGGCACCGTTAGGCTGACCGTTTGAGATGATATCTCAATCTCAAATCTCATCTCATCTCAGAAAAACTGAGATTGAGATGAGATTGAGATGAGATTGAGATCTGGGAAAAATTTTTGATATGAGACTGAGATATCAAAATTCTTGTATGAGATGAGATTGAGATTTGATATATATATTTGAGATGAGATTGAGATGAAATATATGATTTTGAGATGAGATTGAGATCTGAGATGAGATTTTGAGATCTCATTTTAGATAAGAAAGATAAGATATGGAGATAAGATATGATACCATGACTCATCTTAGCAGAATTTTCACCTTAAGTTTCAAAAATAGCCTTTCAAGCTACAAC